TGTAAGATGCTGACTCTTTAAAAAGAACAAGCCTTCTGGGGCAAGCAGGAGGTTATATAGCATAGGTATGTATCGTGAGTCTAAGCAGAACCCCCCAAACCATCTGTATGTAAAGTTATACACTTCATTCAGGATTTTCTCATCATTGTCAGCTCACTCCGTGTCAAAGGCCTAATCTGTTCTAGTTGTCGTTGTATTCCTTTCCTCCAGGCACTCATCTTTACTCGTGCATCTAGAATTAGGCTAAATTAAGTCTCATTGCAGCTGCGTATCCCGATTGGCACTGGGTTTTTAAAGCATTCTTACATACTGGTTGTAATACGTATACGAGTGATGATCATATCTTAAGTTGCGATAATTTAAATATAGAAACATACGTCAATGATGTCCTGCGAATCTTCCCTTTGGACCGAGGAGCCGACAGCCAACTTTGCTTTCTTTTGAAGCAATATCCGCTTTCTGCCGTGCTCATGCACCTACTAGTCTACGTACACAGCATTATATTGCAAAGATTGCCTAGTTCAGCGTTTCACGGTGAAAATCTTCTTGATAGCTGTTGTAATCAACAACATCGCCACTATGGATTATGATTGCTGCCCGGCGTACTGGCTTGGAAACCTGTAGTATTGCCGTATAACGCGACAGCGAGATAGACAAACATCCGTTTATTCATTTGCGCATCAACTCCAATGCTTCAGCATCCAAAACCTTATTGTCTAATGTAGGCCACACCATGCAGGTCTTGCTAAATATGCCGAAGGCGGGTTGGCTGAAAGGCTTCAACCCCACACTGAAAGCGGACGCTTTTGCTCATAGAAGCAACGACGGGCCACCGCGATGCGACATGTCGGCAGGCTTGGCACTTTATTCGAGATGCGTGGTTGGCAGGCTAATCTACGCCTACTTAGCCGGACGCACCCCAGATCTGCAGCGCAATTCTCGACCCTCCGATGGCCGACTTAAGGTTCGAATGAGCCGGCATTAGTGCGCTACAGACTATTACTATGCACTGCCAGCGCCTCTGGAGTTGTTGTGGATGCTTCGGGACGAAGCGCAATGGTTAAGGTTAACCGATTGTAGTAATGCCATTGAACCGGCATTTGACAAGTTTAGGCAATTCTCTTACCGCAACATGAATGGTAGATGGCAAAGGGACACCACGCAGACTTGCTGTAAGTGGTGTCGGATGCTTTTTTTCTCTTGCTGTTGGAAAGGCACACATAACAGATTTCGAGATCATGGCGGCGAAGAGGCTGACTTCAACATTCAATCATTGTCTTGTTATTTCAATAGTACAACTTCGAGCTACCACTAGATTCTAAACCTCTTTCTTGAAACTTGACGAGAATGTTACCCAACACCTTTTCCACGCCATTGACATGGTATACCTGATTGAGGAAGTTTAGGCTCTCATGCTTTAGCGAAATTTGGTCGCCATCTCTTGCAGAGAGAAATCAGTGTGCTTAAGGAGGTGACCTCTCTACACTGGGCGGGAACTTCGGTTTCTTCTAATTGCACATTCACACATATCTTCACATATTTACAATACCCGGGCGCATCCGTAATTAATCTGCACATAGAGACATGAAGAAATCTCAGTGTGGTACTGGAAAGGAGGCTGTCATAGGCACAAGTGCATACATCAAGAAGACCAAGCGAGTCGCATTATTGTTCAATAAAAACCTTACCACTTGACAGTTCCCAAAGTTTTATGTCATCTATATCGAGAAACATGAGGCTGGTCTTCATCATGATGCTCCATGTTCCATGGCCTCAACCTGAGGTACCTACATGTAGGAAACGACGAGCTATGCGCTAGGGTTTATAGTGCTTTTGTTTTTCGAAGCATTTCAACAGGACCCATGGCGCAACGGTAGCGCGTCAGATTCCAGCTAGGAATCTCCTGAAGGTTATCCGTTCGAATCGGGTTGGGTTCAATACCCTTCAAATTCTTTTTTTGTTCCCTAGCCTCAGAACTTTGGCTTGAATCAATATCCTTACCTGAGCTTCGTACTCATAATTATGTTTTACTTGAAGTTATTGAATGAATCTCTTTCTCGGTTCGGCGTTCTGTTTTAGTTCTGCAGGCTTAAAGTGTGGTAACAACTTACGTATACTTGGCTGCGTTCAGCAATCTCAATGCTTAGCTTGGAGGCTTGCTTCTGCTCAAGGAAGAGACAAAAGCAGAGACTGCGATATGCAGATGCATACACACTTGAAATAACAATACTAGAACCCCTCAAATTTTATTACTAGTTAGAGAAAAGGAGATAGTAAAGGCAAGAGAAGAACAACGTGCGCAGCATCGAGGTTGTGTGCTCATGGCTGTGAGATGAATCTCTTATTTCCTTTCGTTTCTTGCTTGCTGCGATATTGCTCAACACACTTCACGGGTTAGTATTTGGCTTGCAAGCATTTTGCATCGTGATGCACAGATGAATTTGGTTGTCTACCTCTAGTTATTGGGGCATTTGAAGCAGAATTGGTAGATGAGTGGAATGCTTAGAATGCAGGGTACAATGCAATGATATCACACTCATAAATGGAGTTGGCTGAGTTTCTAACATGATTTAATAGCTAATATTACAATTTAATTACTCAATATGAACTGCGAGATAAGACTGAATATAGCGTCGTACTAAGGACGCTGAGTTCGGCGACGAAGCCGTGATACCTAGTATACGTGTACTAAGCATTGCAGCAGAACAATCAACATCGTAGGAGAATATATAGCTAAGTCACTCAGAGGGCACAAGATGAACTTCGCAGCTGGATATAGATGTCTTTTAAGCACCGAAGGTGCAACTAGACTGTTGGTTGGTAAAAGAAATAATTGCAAACTTGATCACACTTGATTCGATAACACTATTGCAACTATAATGATGCCGAACCTTTATGCTTGCTATGGCGAATGTAAATGTGCGGACAAGCCAACTAGCACAGACCTTGATAGTTCTGATAGTTGCTATTATACCATTGATCTACAGAGCATCTACCCACGCAAGTGCAGTGGTAGTCTCCAGTCTCTGCCTGTAATCAGGGTCAATGTGGATGTTCCGCACAACCCCTTTTGCATCCACCAGAAGAGTTGTCGGAATGGGCAGAGCCATTGAATCGTCTCCATTCCTTTCCTTCAAATCAATTTTGAAGGATTCGAATACACTGTTAACAGACTTGGGCTGATCCCACACGATTCCAAGCTGCCTGGCGAACTTGTTGCCAACGTCCGACAAAACCTCAAACTTGAGTTCATTCTTCTCCGTAGCAGATAGAGAAGTGTTGGGCAGCTCGGGAGAGATGGCCACCACGGTCACGCCTTTGGCACGAAATTCGTCCAGATGTAGCTGCAAAGAGCGCAGAGCCAAGTTGCAAAAGGGGCACCAGTCTCCACGGTAGAGAGTGATTAGAACCGGGCCTTTGGCGAGAAGGCTCTCGCTAGTCACTTCGTTGCCGAGAGCATTAGGCAGCTTGAAAGTTGGGAGAGAAGCTCCGACTTGAATCGTCGAGTTGATATCGAAAGTAGCTTGCAATCCAGCAATTGATTCATTGAGAGCTGAGACCACCGGAGCAGCCACGTTCTTGCTGATGCTTTCAGCGGTAGCAGACAGCTGGGAAGCTAAGGTGGACGACATTGTTGGATATTTTGGAGGTGGTATAAGGGATGCGATAGAATAAAACGACTTCAGAGAATGCTATGCAGTTCTTTACAAATTGTATTTGCGATGATGCTGATCCAGATCTCATCTTCGCCGGCATCCGCATCATTTATACAGCTTTCAAGTATTGTAGAACAGCTGTAGATGTTGTTTCAATTTGTCAGGTAGCGTTTTGTAAGCCATTGTCGATATTCTCCTGAGTCAATGATTTTTAATTGTTGCTGCGGAACTGTGAGAAATAGGTTAACAACTTATGACTTAAATTTGAACTTTGATCAATCATAAGCGACGAAACAAATGGGCTTCCATCAGTGTTCTATTGTTTGCGAGATAGTGCAGGGCAAGTTTTTGCGATAAAATACGCTTGCACGCTATAAGCCAGGCTCTGTGTTTGCCACCCAATAGAAATCAGAAATCCGCACGCAAAAACTTGCACTGATCTCCAGTGGTCGGTAACGCTTATTTTGGCTTGCTGAAAAAAGGGCTGTGGCAAGAAAATGCGATACGAAGGTGGGGCAAACTGATATACAGCTAGGTATACTTTTATTGTTTGGTATAAGAACATAAGCAGATCACGTTAAATTGTCCAAATAATGTGATAGCAGCAGATGAAGTTGTGGAAGTTTTACATAGATAGGGCTAATAAGCTCCTAAGGTTTCGGAGAAAGAGAATAATCAATCTGTCGCGATACCGGTAGCTTTATAATCCCCGTTTATGGAAAGAGACAGGTTTCAGAGAAGTAGCGTGAACAGAGGTTAGTAACACTCATATGACAAAAAATATAATTATAAGTTAACACCGATCATTGAAGATATTTGCGTTATTCATTTCTAATAGACTATCCTTTATTTCCTAATAAAACTTTTACACCAAAATGTTTGCGAGTTATTCAATGAGCGCCCTTCTATTCACTGTCCTGCCTAATATGCCAATCATGTCTCTACGATTATTGAATACTTGGTTGATAATAATAAGAGATTTATTTAATCTATTCGCACTATTATTATGTCGGTTAATTCTTCTATAGGTTACTGTAGATCTTCCGCGGTAGGAAACTCAAGGATGACAATGATACTGAGACAAGGCTTGGCTGAAAATGAAGTCCATTCCGCCCATCATGACCTTTATTCTCTGCTAAGATAGCGATATTTGTAATATCGTGGAAATAAATATCAGTGAGATTTAAAGCTTACCAGATATCACACCTCTATGAGGTCGTATCTTGGGGAGCTGTCTCCGGCCATTTGTATACAAATTTAATATTAAACTAAACATTTAGTATATTCATATGATAAAAGCTCAGTTACACTATTCGTTCGAGTGTTCATTAAAATTATCAAATACTATACACTGGGCCACTTTAGCGCCGCCGCCTCTAACAAGTCCATAATTTTTCGGATCTCTGGAAGTTGCTGGGTATTATATGTCAACCGATTTCGTGCTATCTCCAGTGCAGTGAGACCATCGTTATTCTTCGCCTGCGGGTTTGCATTATTTTCAATCAGCACCTTAACTGACTCTGGATTCTTACGCGCTGCTTTATGTAGCGGCATCTCCCCTTCTTCATCTTTAGCCTCAATATCCGCGCTATTTCCAAGTAACAATCCTATTTCTTCGGTTCTACGCCACATACAGGCCTGATGCAGCGGCGTTCTACCATGATTGTCCCTTATCTCAATACCAGCGCCGGCTTCAAGAAGTAGCTTGACCGCTATTCCATATCCTCGCCGTACTGCGAAATGCAGCGGCGTTTCCCCATATTGAGTTTGTGCATTGATGTCTGCGTCGCTTTGTATCAAAAGATTAATAGCTGCTTTCCAATAACGGCCGGATGAGTACTCTTTCAATGCGCAATGCAGCGGCGTCAAGCCACGACTATCCCGCTCGTTGATGCTCGCCCTGTCCTTGAGCAGCAACTCAGTCAAAGCGTTGTGGCGACTTTCGTTCCATTCATCCAAGAAGTAATCTTGACGACTTGTCACCACATGGAGTGGCAATGAACCTTGAAACTTATCTCCAGTATTTGCACCTGCGCTGATTAGGGATTTAACAACGGTCCCAAATCCCCTCTGGGCTGCCACGTGCAGTAGTGACTCGTCATTTTCTCTTTCACTACCAATATCCGCGCCAGTAATACCCAGCAATAATTCGGCAACATCTTCAATCCCTTTTTTAACCGCATGATAAAGCAGCGATCTCCCCTTTCTGTCCTTTACATTAGCATCGGCGCCAGCTTCTAGAAGCATTTCAAAAATAGCTCTGTTTCCCTTTTGAGCTGCTGCCCATAGCACCGATTCCTCATTCTTATTCTTTTCATTGACATCTGCGCCATTGTCCAGAAGCATTCTAACAATAGGTTCATAGCCTTTGCGAGCCGCTATAAATAGCAGCGATTCGCCATCTCTGTTTTTTTCTCCAATACCCGCGCCAGCTTTAAGAAGCAACTCAACAACAGCTGTATTTCCCCAGACAGCCGCGCAATGTATCGGTGATCTATTTTTCCCGTCTTTTACCGAAATATCGGCACCGGCCTCTAGAAGTAACCTCACAGTGGAGTCATGTCCCCCGATAGCTGCGTTGTGATGTGGCAATTCGCCGTATGCATCTTTTACGTTAATATGAGCATCATGCTTAAGTAGAAGTTGGAGGACAGCGTCATTCCCATTTCTTGCTGCCGCTTGAACTGCTGTATCTCCCGATTTGTCCCGCAGGTTAACATCAACGTCGGTGTAATTGAGCAAAAAATCTGTAAGTATGGCATCACCATATTCTGCTAGATAAGTAAGAAAACAGTTTCGTTTAGAAAATCGGAATGCTTTTGAATCCCATTTTCGTTTATTCGAATTCTGAAGGTATTCTTTGTATAACTGGTGGAGCATAGATGCATTCGGATGGTCCTCTGATAACGCTGCTTGAGCATGAACTTCTAGAAATGCCCCGACCGCATCATAGCTATTTGCAACTAATGCTGCAAGCATTGGTAGGCCATAACGACTGGTTTCGGTCTCAAAGCAGGATCGCCTTGATGAATGGTGTCGAATTAGATTTCCCGCATTATGTATTGCCAGGACATATAATTGAGTAACCCTTCGATCAAGCCAGCGACTTTCGAATATTTCAAATACATTGTTGAGTGTGATCCAATTATCAAAGTTCAACGTCTTAAAGAAGTCCTCTTGCTCGTCTTGGTCCATCTCCGCTGCATTCGCATGATATAAAACGTTTTGCACAGCATAATTGAGAAATGGAAATTCTTGTCGAAGCTCTTGACGAAGGTTTTTTGCTCGGATAGACTTTGCGCTAGGAAGTGAATTGGGAAGTTTGAACTGTTGAAATCGGCTATTAAGATAGTCAACACAGAGTTGTTCCAACTGCCTGTGGCTCCTTCTTTTAAATTCCTCGCCAAAATCGTTGCAGATGTCTTTCAGTCCTTTCTCCTTTAGCAAAAAGTCTTTAACAGATTCATGGATAAATTGAACAGTTGGACTCTTGGCTTTAGTGACTTCAGCAAGTCCCTTTGAAGTACTCAGAATAAATTTCTTTATATCGTCAATGGAAATTTCGTCAACATTCCACCTGTCAACGCTTTCAGGTCCAGGGCAGGAAAGAACAGCAAAATAGAGTTCTTCAGGCTTTAATGGCTGTCGCGAAAACAATAACCATTGGATGCACAAAAGCAGCTCATCTCTGTGATAATTGTCCCGAGTTAGAATATCCCGAAAGAGCTGGTGTAGATCCTCAGGAATGTCATCAAGTCGCTGTCGCAGCTTATGTATACGACCGCCGTCATATTCCTTGTTCAGAATCTCAACCACTAAGATAACCCACATAAAGATACCAGCTGATTTCTTCTGAACCTTGGTACGAATATCTTCAGCAAGTTTGCTTTTTCCAATCTTTAATTCGCTGTGGAGGTAGTTGCTAATGTCTTGATTATGCCCTTCTTGCCCTTCGAGTAGGAGAGGCTGTGCGTTTTTCTTGGATATGTGAGGATAGTGCCTGCTTGAGAAGCAGACCAGAAACTTAATGTCGTTGGAAGTCGTGAATTCACCAACATTCTGGAAAAAGGATATCATATCCCGGATTTCGTCCTCGTCACATTCATCTAGCGCATCGATGAAGCACACCAGTTCATCGCCCTTGATATTGCGTATGGCTTCTTCGAATAAAGATTTCAACTCTTGAAGGTTCCAAGCGTAATCTTCTCTAGTTGCTGCCAAAGGAAAAGATTTCAAAACGCTTTGAAGTTTCGGAAGTTCTTCAAAAAGTTGCAATAACAGCGATCGATACATGCCAATGGTACATTTCTCCATATCTCCGCCTCGCGCGTTGAAATAAAAGGAGATGATTTTTTTATCCTTCATCTTCTTTTGAGCATTGGTAAGGGCGAACTTCATCAATGTTGATTTACCAATTCCTGCTTTTCCTTTAATCCATAGAAAACCGTGGTGCAAGTCTAGTTTACTGGGATCCAGCCAGTCTAGATATGCTTGATTGTCGAGTAGCCATTTACAGGTTTTTGCATGAGCAGTTTTTATTGTTAAATGGCGGGCTCCCATTTGTTCGAAAGATAAAGACTTCAACATGCCCGGCTGATTGGTGCGGAGTGTTCGGTATTCTTCTACATAATGCTCACTTTCCAAGACGTCGGGTATGATACGAGGGGGTTCCAAATAGATTGGGCGAAGTCGATTGAGCAGATCTTTTGCATATGCGGCTGCTGCCATTGCTGCATACCCTTGCCAATTCTTGTTTTTATGCGAATCCGAGTAGTCGCATATTCCGCGGATTACTAGGCATGAAAAATCGTTCATAAGTCCAGCAGCTTCCATTTCGAAGCACAAGACTTCGTTTTCCAGCGCCAGCTTATCTCGAGTGGTAGCGTCCTTCATGACCTGATTTGCGGAAGCAACCAGGCCATAATGTATTGTAATATTCTTGTCTGCAGGCCGTTTAGTCCGTGGCACTATGCTTGATGCAGCATCGCCACATGCTATTGAGCAGCTTCCATCATGATGTCGAGGATGTATCGCATCGCTTTTGTAAAGCCTATCCGAGTTCTGATTTGGACGTTGATATGTCTCTCGTAGTCGGGGCAGTCTTTGAAGAGTGCTTTCTATCTCTTCCTCAAGCAGATGGCCTTGGGTCTCGTAATCTGTGCGGAGACCATGGACTGCCGACAGCAGATTCTGCGGAGGCTGGTTCAAGACCCTCGTCATCTGGAACTCCTGATTTTGCATCGTTTTGCCAAAGTCATACTGCAATACGCCACTTTTCCCGTTATAGGGAACGCTGACTACAATGTCGCCCAAACGAATGTCGTGTTTTGCGGTTGGTGCGCCGCCACCAATGCCAACCATGAGACGAATTTTGATGGTTGGAAAACTGCGCATCATGTCCTTTGCAACAGCCGCCGCCGTATCAGTGCCATATTCTGGTAAGGCTGTTATGGCGACATAGTGTTCACCAATTCGACCCAACGTATAATCGTTATTGTCGTCGTCGGGCAGATTGTATTCTCGCGCGTCAAATTTCTCGTCGAGGAAAGCAGTCGCGGCGGTTCGCTCGGTACTGATGGCACAAATCCATCCGACAGTATACTTGTTAGTTGGCGTTGATCTTGTGCCATTATTTTTAGAGTCGCCTTCAGTCTTGCTTCTTTTCCGATGATTTGGGCCATCGCCGTTTGAATCGAAGCCCCTCTTCAACATCTTGTCTTTCGTAGCTTAGATTCGGCGCGGTGCGGTGTTCAATGGCGTTAGAGCTTTCAATTAGTGATACTTGCATGTATAAGATACAACCTGCGCATTGAAAAGTTCATGAAGAGAATGTTAGGATACAAATGATGCTGCTAGACAAATAGAGGGGCGCGTATGGCAAAAGCAATGAGGTGGCAGGGTAGGAGTCAGCCTAACGGGCTGAGTCCCATGCAGCAGCTCAGCCTTTATTTTGTACCAATCGTATTGCTTCTATTGTCGCGACCAATGTATTCCTCGCTGAGGTGTCAAGAGTACAAACTACAATTAGCGATAAGCTTGGGCGGAATTATCCTACCAGCGAATTAAAACCGCGCCAATTCAAACAAGTTCACAAGCAGTATTTGGAACAGTTACCTGCATATATCCAGCACTCCGGTTCTATTATCCAGCACTCTGGCTATACACAGGATGGATAGGCTGCTACTGCTGCTACTGCTGCTGCTAATACATCTAAAATCTTTAGATAATGGATGAATGATCTAGCTGCCTTATTTAGCTATAGCTGGGGTGCTGTAATAGGGTGCCGGATGACTTTTCCTTTTATTCATTAACTCGCTGACAGCTACTATCATTTATGAAACGAGTATACTAGAATGTGATCATCAATAATGCTATGCCCATCAATTAATTACAATGATCCACAGCCGTTTCCGTCACAGCAGCTTTACACCCGCCTGATTGTATATCTCAGCCCCTTGGCACTCATCAGACGCTGAACTTCGCTCGACGTCTGTTCCGGTATGGACTTGAACTTGAACTCGGGGCATAACTCCACTTCTGCCGACCATGCAGTTCTACTTTTCTCGCCAATGCGTTCCCACAACTCTTTCCAACTCTGAGCATTATGCCCAAAGTGCTTTTTCCCACTCATAATACCAGCCCGCGAATATTCCCCCGCAGTCTCGCTGCCTGATTGCCTCCCAATGATTAGAGAGCCAGGCTGTGCAGCCAGTAACTGGGCGACTCTAATTGCAGCTTTCTCCTGCTCCTCAAGACTAAAAAGGTGGAAAAAATCGCCAACGTAGATGATGTTCATCTTTCCAGTCAATTGTACAAGCGGAGAAGAATCGTCAAAGATATCCGCCGCTATAAATGTAGTTTGTAGCCTGTCTTGTCCTTGAATAGTTCGTAGCCGATGGACAGAAAGTCGCCCCAAAGATCAGAGCCGTATGTATTGACAGAAGGCGCGCCGTCGTGAACAAGTTGGCGAATTTCTTGACCGAAGCAGCAGCCAAGATCCAGGAATTTTCCCCCATTTTTTACTCGCTCCAAGACTTCTTGATACACATCCGTATTTCATGATCAGGTCCAAGAAACGGTACCGACTAATGCATGGGTAAGGTCGCTAAAACAGGTTAGTGATGATGATCTGGAGCATGGGGCAATAAGGCCGTCTTACCACCTGTAGGGCTTTGGTTTGCTATTAAATGTTAGCTGAATCAGTATTAATGGAGGGTAACATATGCTTGCGACGTACAATTAAATCAACATGGGATTTTACATCTTCGTTGGAGATTCCGCTGTACTCCCGCAGCAGTTTCAGCCCAGAGTCGAGATCGTAAATCTCGAATGGGTCCTCTTCATTTTGAATAGATTTGCTGGACATGATTGCGCTTCTACCGATTGAACAATCGCATTGGAAAGTCTAGATTGGGAGCAGGCCTCGAAGATTTAAATGCTGATATCAGAACATGCGTCTTCGACTTCTCGCTGTGAGTCAAAAGTTCAGCCCGTAGGCACCAATGTGGCTTCCATTAAGTTAGGCCAAAAAGGGAAGGAGACGCGGGGAGGCTTGCAATGACTGCGAAAGATCATTGCCCGTTGGTTTCGCTTTTAATAAAGAATATGCGTTCTCTTGATTTAGAAAAGAAGATAATTTGTCAACGTTGTCTAGTTGGATATGGTAGAGTTAACCCATTAAACCATCGCCTCTCAAGCTGATGGCTGTTATGCAGAACAGGTTTCGCTTTACTACAACCAAGGTTTAGAGCTTTCTCGTGCTTTTAAGCACCGCCCGATTAAGTATTCTGTGTGATCGGCAAGTAATTAGTTTCTTTCTGGTGGTTAAAAGGCATCTGAAGTTGACACTACGCAATATAAGGGTACCTGCTAGGATTATTGCATTAGCTATATTTCCAGGCATTGTAAGAGCGCGTTGCTTTAGGATGACCGTCTCTCGCAATCTAACCCCACTCGCAAATATCAATTTTCAACCCTCAACTTTTCATCACCGATTGAGAGCCTTTGTTTCCCTAAACTATACACTGGGTACAGTAGAGTTCTTCTACCACCAAAGGGAAATATGGATTCTCTCATCTTTCGCGCCTTGATGGGACTCAGTTTCCCTCAAGACTCCCGGGAAGAGATGCAACCTGAATCCTCAGTTATTAAAATCCAGATTGACCCTGTAGGATTATCAGAGGATATGATTCGCGTCGAACACCTGGATTAGTACCAAAGCGGCATTACCCGTATCGCTGGGCGTTTGATAGCAAGAAATAAGTTCAAATCATCGCCCGAAATAGTGGAAAACTCCGCCACGGGGTTCCGAGCAGCCACCCGTCAGTGGAGGGACGCCAACCCGACACCTTGGTGCATACTAGAGGGATATCACATTTTCGAATCTGCCCCTTTTCAGTCATCGAAAGTCATTCGATATATGAAAAAAGAATTGGCCGAACTTCTTGGGCACTCGGATTTGCTCTGGAGTCGGACTGTTAGAAGGCTGCAACTGGAGAGCAACCATGACGGAGTACTAAGAGGTATACAAAAGCCATCTTTCTCGCATGTCTGGCTTGCTTCTATGAGGTAGCTGATAGGTTTCAGCATTCATTGTATGCGGCACGTATTGCGCCAATTCAGTTGACATCAAGATCAGACACAAGTCGCTTTCTTTAGCCCCCACAGAGCGGTTCTTAGCAGAATTCAAACAACTCGGGGAAATATATCGCCCGCAAAGGACGAGCCGTAATCTCGAGCAAATCGTTCTCCTCCAACTCCACCATGCCAACCTGAATCTATTTTCGGACTTCTTACAGAGCTTCACAAAGGATTATGCCGCCCCTCGCATGTTTATGTTTGACTCTCGAGAGGTCGAGCTACGGCGCTGGAATTTGAAGGCCATCATGACGGACTCTCATCTCTATAGGCAATTCGCAAGCGTTGGTGCTGAACTGACGACTACCACCGAGTCGCTACTTGACGTTGTCTTAGCCCTGGAGGACAGTAAAATGCAGGATGTGGAAAACCTGGCAGTTCTGGGTACTGAGATCCGGGGCTGCAGCAAGGACATCATGACGCGTCTCAGTAGATTGTCAGACGATCTGGAGCACAATCTCCAGCTACTCCGACTGTCCAAAGACATGAACCAGTCGGGAAACGTCCAGATGCTGACTCTTCTAGCCACAATTTTTCTACCGCTGTCCCTATCAGCCGGCGTCCTTAGCATGCAATCGCGCTTCAAAGACTTGGGCGAGCTGCTGTACGATTTCTTCGGCGTCGTGGTCCTCCTTGGGGCGGGGGTTGCACTTTTGGTAACGGTTATGCTTTTATTTTCTTCGATGAAGGAGCTGGAGAGCAGGCTCTTCAAATACCACTGGTACAAAGCCATACTGCGTCCTGTTATCTGGATGACGATATCAGGCATCACGTTCACATTAGGCGCCCTCGTGCTGGCATCTTTTCTGGTGGGCATGTTCAAAGATGTGGTGCTTGGGGCAAAGATTCTGGGCTACGGAATCGCCGCGGCGATTGGTGCGTTGGTGGTGATTCCATATGGGACTCTCATGGTGTTCTGGCTTCCTGATTTATGGGGCTTCGGTGGGTCGAAGAAGAAGCAAAGCGATCTCGAGAGGGAGCCGAAAGGAAAGGAAGCTGCTGCAGATGGCTCTCAGGAAGCAGGTGTCACAGCTGAAGCTGTTTCTAATGGTGAGGATGAAGGCTCTACCACGCCAACCGCGCGTGCTGGAGATAAGCCTTCAGAAGAGGGCATGCCCAGTGTGACAGAGGTAGAGCCATAAGATTTTAACATGTAGCAAATGGTTTAACTCTGGATGAAGATATTAGATAGACATGTACGCTATCCGTATAATATTCAAGCTAGATTTACTGATAACATTATTTTCGTTTATTTTGTAGCGCCAATGTGCGCAATTTGAACCCCGCATCCCAAAGAATCCTGCGATTAAAGTCTGCCTAAAAATTGCACTTGGAACTTTTGTCTCATAGATGGAAGGGAAAAGCGTGAAATTGCGTACTCTCTTTTCAGGCAACCGAATTTCATCTCGAGGCCACAGAAAATAGATACACGCTTACTGTCATCTACATGTACTTACCTACCTAGGCATACAAATAGCGAGACGCCTATATATGTTTGCACCCATCCTCACTTGAGCTTCGTAACAGCGACATCAATTTATTCCTTATTTCCTTGATCTTTCTCATCATTTGTCGAAACAAGGCTGACAAAATGTCTGGCTCATCATTCAACGTCCTGACTACAAACGCTGTGGACCTGCAGCGCCTCCTAGCGGAAAACAAACTCACCAGCGTGGAAATTGTGCAGCAATACTTTGAACAGATTGATCGCCATGAGCCATTCCTCAACGCCCTCATTTCCGCTGCGCCTCGAGAGAAGGTGTTGAGCGCCGCCGCAGCGCTGGATGAGGAGCGCAAGGGTGGCAGAATTCGTAGCGCATTTCACGGGATTCCTATTGTCCTCAAGGTTGATATAATCGCAAACGCGCATCATGTATGATGTCGACAAGAACTAATTTTGTTTGTAGGATAGCTTCATAACTGATGATGATCTGGGCATGAGCACTACCTTGGGATCATGGGCCTTTGTCGGAGCCAAAGGAGCAAAGAACTCTGCAATCGCGCAATTGCTCATAGATGCAGGTCTGATTATCTTGGGAAAGGGCAACATGACGGTGAGATACCATCTAGCCATCATTGTACTTGGCTAACACGACACCATGGCAGGAATTCGCCGGCATGAAAATGACAACCATCATGTCGGGTTGGTCAAGCCACGGTGGCCAGACGCTGTCTCCTTATGTGGGCGAGATAGAAGAAAACGAGACTTTAATAGGGCACTCGGTCAGTATTACCGCTAAAGATTGTGAGATATGTAATTGAGTATGCTCATGTCTACTAGGCTCCAGGGGGGTCTTCCACCGGTTCCGCCGTCGCTGTAGCCGCCGGCTTCAGTCCTCTGGCGATGGGAACAGAAACAATTGGATCAATCGTCACTCCATCGACTCGCTCCGGCCTGTACGCTCTCAAACTGACAGATGGCGCCTTGGACACAACCGGTGTATATGCCTTATCAGAGTTTTTTGATTGCGTGGGGCCAATGGCAAAAAGTGCCGCAGACGTACGATTGATGGCTGAAATCTTGTTAAAGCGCACTTTTGATACTACCAAGCTTGGGACTTGGGAAGGGCTGTCTGTCGGATTCCTCGATCCTCGCGCGTGGACAATAAACGAAGAAATGTGTCCACAGCATGAAGGAACGGCAGAGCAAATGGTAAGCGGAGGCCATCCTTAATTTACCGCGTGTAATACTAACTATTATCCAGGTAGAAGAATACGAAGCAGTCGTTGAACTCCTCAAGAAGAGCGGATGTACCTTGAAGTATCCCGCCGAGATTGGAGGCGTCGAAGGCTTGACTGTGGACGGAGAGCCCGCCATTATGCCAATCGCTTGTAAGTCTAATGCCACCGCATAATGTGAATGGTGGCGTTGACTGATTCAATGTCGCTAGTCTGGGAATTCAAAAACGTATGCATGCCCCGATTCATCGATTCGTTTGACGAATGTCCCGTGAAGAGCGTCGAAGACATTGTTGAATTTAATCGAGAGAATAGCGAGAAAGCTTTGCCCCCTCGTGAGTTATGCCAGCCTCAAGTCTATTCAGTCGCTAATAATGACAACCATAGCATATACGGAGCAAAACGACCTTGAAAAGTCTCTCACTTTCAACGATAAGCCAGAGAAGATTGAGTCCTTGAAGAGCAGATTCCGGCCTGTTGGACAGCAAATCATCAACAACGCTTTCGACGCTCAAGGATTAAATATCATTGTGGCTCCTGGTGATAGTTCACTCTGTATACACGCCGCTGCAGCAGGTAAATAGAGCCTCTGTATCTCATCATTTGATGTTATTAACCTCGACGATAGGCTATCCCATTGCCACCGCGCCAGTCGGACAACTGCGATATAACGGACGGCCATTCGGCTTGAGTTTTCTAGCCAAGGCAAACGATGAGGTGTCACTGTTGCGTTTCATGGCGGCATACGAGGCATTGGCTGCACCTCGCCCTGTGCCGAATAATCTGGATTCTCTATCATAAAGAATGATTGTGTGCCCAGAAGAGGAGAGTATTGTCATTTGGACTTGGCCACCATTCATTCACCCCCCTCCATATCAGCACATGCAAAATTAAACATGGTATACATCGTTAAAATACTTTGACTTTGAACCGCTTCATTCATTGACTGCTCGCGTCTTGAAACAATGTTCAATAGTACGCCGCCACGAAGTTCTGACTTGTGTCATATCGACTATGTTGTCACTCTTAAGACATTGAAGTCTGTCAATCTTGCTCACCTAGACTGTTCCCAGCAACCTTTATAAGTAGCCCCATCAGCCACTCAGCCACATCGCCATTCCCGATCTCTAATTATCTCGTCGAATCATATGTCTAGCCCTGATTCCGAAATTTAACACAAAAAGTTAGAATAGCACTAGGTACGACAAGGCGCTTTTAGTCCGTACCAACGCGAGTATCCGTCGAGCCGTCCCATATGAGAGGTTATAATGATGGTTACTACTCAGTTACAGTCGCCCTGTCATTAGAAAGGCATATGTGTATTAACACACCTACATACGCATGCGAAGACAGCTGCCATTCGTTTGTCAGAGATTATTTCTTTTTTCCAGACAGCTTTCATCTCCATCTTCCATGCTCTTACCTGAAAGTTCCCTTCTCGTATAACATAGACACAAAACGCCACATGTGCATGGTCCCGCATAGGGATATTTGGGTCAAGGACGTCTAAGCCTTCGGTCCAGACCTCCACCCACGACATAGCGGCACAAACTTGCAAATTCGCCTCCAAATGATCCGAATTCAGACACATAATGGATATACACATCTCTCTTACAAAAAATCTTGCGCAACAATGGGTGGAGCAGGATGGCTCTCCTATCTAAAAGCCATTGAGTTCAAGAAATCTGACCAATCAGAGAGGCAAATGGAACGAGAGGAGAATGAAAGGGATGCAAATGGAAAAGATGCAAATGGAAAGAGATGCGGTCAAGCCCGAGTCGATATCACGTAGAAATGTTGGCCCCCATTCTCTGTTCAACTGTAAAGCATTGCTCCTCAACGTAGCATTCTCATACATGGCATCCTAATCCATCGTAAAATGTCATCATGCATCTCAACATGCATCAACCAATTCTCCTCAGCGCATTCATAGGCATTGCATCCTCTCTCCGTCTCAATGCCCCCATAGCAAACGAAAGAGGCTTCACCATCGCCCAACCAGGCAGCATCAAAAATGTCGTCGTAACAAGCTCCAACACCCTCAACAGCACTCACCACAACACCCTATCCAAAACAAAGCTACATGGCTGGAACGACACCATCAGCACTCACAGTCTATCACTCGAACTCTACAACAACTACAACGGCGGTCCAATCAACGCCTACATCCAAGGCCTCGACTCCAACGGCGCCATCGTCTTCATCACCTCAAACGGCACCCTCATCTACCCCCGCTCCAACAACTCCTCCTCCCCCATCGAGATCAAAGACAATCTCGCCATTCCCCTCCGCCCAAAAGGCCAATCTCTCACCCTCAACATCACCATATCCCTCACCTCAGGCAGAGTCTACTTCTCCGAAGGCAACCTTAGATTCTTCATGATCAACCTCGGCGCAGGCGACGGCCTCGTCCAACCCTCGGTCAACAACCTCCACGACCCAAGCGCCTCCCTCAACTGGGGCTTCATCGAGCTCACGTTTCTCAAAAACGGCGCTCTGTACGCAAACATCAGCTACGTCGACTTTGTCGGCCTCATCCTCAGCATGATGCTCTCCACCAAAAACGGCGGCACGCCCCAAATCACACGAGGTCTCAGAGCGAATGCTGTCTACGATCTCTGCGAAGGGTTGTTCAACCAAACCACCAACGACGGCTATCTCTGGCTCGCAATGTGCGTCGTCGGCAAGACTGGCGATCCAGTGCGGGTGCTCTCGCCGAACTACTACCAGCGCGTCTACGCAGCTGATTTTGAAGACTACTGGCAAGACTACGTCGATACGGTATGGGAGTATTACTCGTCTCATACTCTTGCGATCGACACACAGACACCGCTCGGCGAAGTCAAATGTCAAGTCACAAACGACACTCTGTTCTGCGACGAGGATAATCGCGGGTATGCTAAACCCACAGCCTCCGACATCTGGGGCTGCAACAGCGGCCCATTCGGCCTGCAAGAAGGCGATAATCCCGTCCACGTCGCTGTGATTCCCCGTCTTTGCGCTGCATTTGTCCGGTCCACGCTGCTCATTCAGGGGGGAGACGTGCAACCCAGACTGAACTCGTCGTATCACTACTCAGTCAGTCCAACGCACCATTATAGTCGCCTCGTGCATGAGCTGCAGGTAGATGGGAGAGGTTACGCATTTTCGTACGATGATGTCAATCCCAATGGGCATGAGGATGTTTCCGGGCTTGTTTCTTCTGGGAATCCAGATACTTTGACGGTTTATGTTGGCGGGCCGCCGCCAAACTGAATGACAGATATCTTCATTACTGGGCTGAGATGTGCTAAAAGGTGGTGTTTAGAAGCCTAACATAACATGCCTATATACACGGGGAGATTATTCTGGAATGCATGGATCACAGTACATGCACGCTGTATCACAGCTGTTGGTCGTGGGTTAGACGGACGGCTTCATTGAAATTACACTCATTTGTTTTATTTCGCACCCATTGTGCTTCCGTAAATGACAGGCTTCGCTTCATGCTAAAGCTTCTAAACATGGCTATGTGATAGTATAACAAACAATGGCACTGGTGCCAACACGACGTCTTATTGCAGTAGTGCGCTCCGCTTTCGAATGGGATGCTAGACAGGCAAACAGTGAAATTGGACAAAGCACTGACAACCAACACGCAGAAATACAAAAGCAGTAACTGTAGGCTATGCCATGATAAACGAGACACAGCCTCACGGACCTGAAACACCGATGCCAAGGTCGTATCTTCGTACCGACCGGTGTAGTGGATTTACGCTCGAAATATGTGTATAGAATCAGACAGCCTTTTCAGGCCGGAGTAGCATAGGAGTTTTACATCCTGCTTCCGACAAGGCTCAAACGAGTGATCTTTTTAGCTATCTTAATAGCTGGAGGAAGTGGCGCGTTTATTGCCGATATGCCCAAACACGGGCTTCAAAGCTTTCATTTATACAGGCGACTGTAAAGACCGCACGACCGCGCTATGTCTGGCGAGCCGATGTTTCCATGGATGTTGCCAGGAGTAGATATCTCGGAGTTTCAAATTATAGAGTAGAAAAGAAAATGGCTGAGCGTGGCAGTATTTCATACCAGCAGTACAAGAAACGGCAACATACATAGAGCAAGGGTCGGGCTGCCAGTCCGGAGGAATGAGGAAGCTGAAGAGCTGGCTTTTGTCTGGGTAGGCTGAGCTCCTGATGTCTCTTGGCCACTGAGGCCCATGGCGGTTGGGGATGGTGGCTCAAACGTAGAGGTGCCCGTGGTCGCTCCGGTAGCAGAAGCAGCACTAGAATCTGTGGCGGTGGCAATACTCTTGTTCCCGGTGCCGGTGCTGGAGCGCTTGGCAAATCCTGAATCATGTTAGTATTAATGTTCCAACGAGTCATTGATAGATAAAAGGGGTTACTAACCAATTCGCTTCTGGTCCTTGTCAAAGACGGCATAGACATTCTTCAGGAACGTATCGCCAAAGAGCCAAGAGCCTTGGACAACCTCGTAGCCGTAGACATTGCTTGTACACTTTCCGCTGCTGTCCTTGGGGGAAATCCAGTCCTTGGGAGAGATGGCAAAGTCAACGCCAGAAAAGGTGGCGACCAGGGGCGTCGTGGTATCGCAGGGAACAGTCCAGGTGACGCCATCCGAGCTCTGAGCTCCGTTAATGACGGCGTGCAGGGCCTTGACGTTCTTGGCAGGGCCAAAGATGTAGGAGGTGCCGGTGTCGATATAGGCATCAATGCCACCAACGTTTCCTTTCTTTCCATTGTAAGACATGTCGTCCAAAGGAATAGACCAATCGCTGCCATCGTTAATGTTGGTGTAAGTGATGGCGCCAGAGTATCTTGAAGGGTTGGTGGAACCAAAGGTGACTTCGCCGTCGTTGTTACCATCGGAAGCTCGGCTCAGCGCAACGGAAAAGATGCTCTTGTCGAGCAGACCGGCGCCTTCCAGCGCGGAGAGGAAGTTTTCGTTTGCGCCGCTGTTCATGGACATGCCGAGGATGCCGTCAAAGGCAAAGTGGACAAAGTCGGAAGAGGTATTGGTGGCCAGGCCGAACTGATACGTCAAGCTCATGCCCGCCACGCTGATGGTGTCGTTGACCAATGAACCGCTGACAGCTCCAGATCCATAGGCGATGTTGAAAGTCTTCGAGCTGGTCTTGAGGGAGCTCGAGTCGCTGGGCCCAAAGGAATCGTGCAAAGTGCAGGCTTGGGATGTGCAGTCGGTTCCCATAACCCAGCTAGAGCCGGCACCGGTATCGAGCAACATGTACATCTTGGTCTTCTGAGAGCCAAGTGCTGCCTCGACAAAGTAAGAGTAGTCGGTACCGTCTTGGTCGAGACCGGCAGTGTCTGGTGCGTTAGGATTGGCGGCCTGCATGATGTTGAACTGGTTGCCTCGTTTGGCGATATTCGAGTCTGTATTCGAGCTTGAAGAATCGTCGCCGCCGCCGTATTTGTGAGAGAGTAGAGCGGCTTGCCATGCAGCCTTTTGTTCTTGGGATACGGCAGCCTTGAAGAACATGATGGTCAGCACAGAAGACAGAATATGGGTACATGATATGCAGTTCCAGCCAAACTTACCCGTCTAGATGCTCTTCGCTTGATATCAAAGGTCACACCGTCCTCTACACTCCTCCTCGCCTCACCAGCATGTTTCTCCTCAATCTCCTTCAGCCATGGTGGTGTATACGGATAGAAAGACAGCGCACCCGAAGCAAAAAGGGCCAGCGGGGCCAGCAAGACGGTATTTGAGCGCATGTTGAATAGATAAATCACAGCAGCTGCAAATGCCCGTAGTCGACAGTGAAGTAATTAGGTGATTAGATATTACGCATATAACATTGCCAGATTAAACGGAAATCGGAAAAGATGGGACGAAAACACAACAGGAGGGACAAGAGCAAATCAGTTGCAGAGACGAGGAACAGGTGGTGCAGCAGAACGAATCGAATCGACCGCTAGTAGGTAGGAAGACAAGGAAAGTCCGAAAAGGAAGCTGGTAAAAGAGAGCGATGCAGATGCCGAAACAAGCAAAAACAAGAAGATGCGCTAATATTAATGATGGACAATGAGTGGGAAATATTAAGGGCAGTAGAGTAAAAATATTATAAAAATATTAAAAATGGAATAAATATGACAGGTGACCAAAGAAAACTGGCAAGTCTATGGTACGAGGAAGAGAGAGAGAGAGAGAGAGAGAGAGAGAGAGAGGAAAAGGAAGAGATAAGGATAGAGAGAGGAGAGGAGGAGGCGAGAAAGAGGATGGCAAAAGGCAGAGAAGCAGCCAAATTGAGCGCGGAGTCGTGCATATATTATGGAGCTTCGCAGCAGCTAAAAGTCAGATAAATGGCCTGCAGCACAAGCACAGCAGGATATCGGCGATTTTCAGTGGAGAAGCGCGAAAGGAGGGATCGATTGCAGAAGCGAGATGCGCGTCGAAATTAATGAAACCTCAAGTGCTCTTTTCTCGCTCTTCCGGGAGGGGCCCTGGCCCGGTTCAAGTACTAAACGGCCTAGCGGGCAGCTACAGCGGGCTTAGCGGGCATTGCCGGGCCGTGAGGACCTGGAGCACCGATGCTGTGCTGCTGCTGGTCCGCTGGTGGGTGGGCGCGGGGAAGAAAAAGGCACGATGGCGAGTCAGCTGCAGGTCGGAATTGCTGATACATGCAGCTTCGGTACCATCTTTTTGGGTCTTGCTGAGATGGATGGCATCAAAGTTGTTGACATTGGCTTCTGTCGACACGAGGCTGGGCTGCCTGATGCAGGTTGCAGACTCGGCCAGGTCATCTGCTGCGTGTGCTGCAAGCCATGTTTCGAATCGGCCTTTCGTTAATCTGCATCGCCTGCATCCTTTTTGTCTTTTGTGTTTGTGGGCTTTTTGAGCGATTATTTATTTTTGTTTTCTGATTTTTGTGCCTGTGGAGGAGACGAATGGGCGAATGATGGACATTACAGGCGCAATCCATACCAGATCGAGCGTCGAGGCAGAGCTAGAATTGCAAGTAAACAGAGGAGACTGAGTCAAGCAGAGCTACGTCCAAGTACCAGACTCCATTCTGCTAGCTGGCTTTAGGTTCGTTGAGCTTTCAGATTGTCTCTTTGGGTGCTGCTGCTGCATTCAAATTTACATCTACACTCAATTGTGCTCATCTCTACTAGCAGTAGTATAGGCCTTCAATGTTAATGGAGAGCTAAAGGTTCCAGGGCTCGCCATGATCCGCATACCAGCCCGGCTCGCTAAGCTGCAAGACAGCATACAGAAACACAGCCAGTCAGTGCTCGAGACACTTTGATACAAGGATGGCCGCGCAGCTAATTGGTCCCCAAACCCCGGTCTTCAACTAGCAATGCGAGCAATCTGCAAACTGGAGCCGGTGCAGCAGCCAGCTGTTAGTACATGGAGATGGTATTACGATATGAGTTGCAAGGTTCTACAACCAACTCGCAAGCAGCGTATTTTCTCTTCATCACAACAGTGACGTGTTAGTTTCTGGGCATTAAACTCGCTGCCTCTTCATGGTGCGACACACAAGACAGCTTTGGTCAAAGAGTGTTTGTGACTCGTCATTCTCAAGGCCGGTAATTGGTTGAACCGCTGGATGCCTCCAGTGCGTAACTCGTATCCTCAATTGGATACGGACATCAACGTGAAAATTCACTGACAAATGCATTGGAAAAGCAAAATTTTGAGCAAGACACTTGACGCAAGGCGAGTCCTACGATGGAGCCTTGTCCGTTTCCGACGTTTGAATGTCTTTTTGTTTCGTTTCGTTTCAACAATGTATCAAACCAATCTCGACATTAGCCTTCCCTTTTCGAACCGCCGCAGCCGCGCCACATCGGCTTTTAGTTTCTGGTGCCTCTCCAATGTTTAGGGCGCATCCGCAGGGAGCCGTAGCCGAGCGGGCCGCTACACTTCAGCGCCTCGTCAGGGCCCGGGCAGCCTTGGCCCAAACGAGACGAACCTTCAATGCGGCCCCCCTCGATCGGGCTTTGCAATGGGCCATCGTCATTTCGATTCAATAGCTGAGTCAATCGCTGCAAGTACACGTGCTGGTGTATGCATGTCTGTCTGTGAGTGTGTGTGTGAGCTGCATGCATGTCATCAAAGGTGTCATGCAACGGCGCCTCCAGCTAGCCGCGATCCCTTTGAGGTGAGACAGCTGCAAAAGAGGAAAGAGAAAAGAAGATTATTGGATCTTGCGTCGATGCAGTGACAACAGGCGTGATGCTATGCTTCCTTTTGACCGACGTTGCCAATCACGGCCATACACGTCGAAACGCCTCTCTGCGTCTTCTTCGGCCACTAGCTGCTCTCATTGCCTTTGATACATATCCAAGAGGTACTTGTGATGCTTGTACATGCTGTAGATGCGAGTTTCCAGCACCTATCAGCTGCCGTGGCGCTCTTAGTTGTTTGTGATGACTGCAACAGGAACACTGTAGGGGTAGTGATACTGCCGATCGTCGAGCCAGGCACGATTTCATCTCCAAAGGCCCGATGGCCAGCCAGACGGTGCGTCCGCGCGCTACGGCGTTAAGTCGAGGCGATATTGGATGCTGTTTTGTTGAATTGCGATACATCTCATCAGGCATCTGAAGCGAAAGTTGAATTACGATAGTTGACATACACCCGAGTAGAAGATCTATTCTAGTTGTAGTCCTAGTGGTCTGTTCAGTCTTTACTTGTACATTGAAATCAAGGCTCCCCCTCGCTTAGGCTACATGTAATCTCGTTTATTGGCTGGGTTCGTCTCTATCTACCTCATCTCCGTGTTCCTATAGCTTAATGCTTTTTTTAGCACTTCTCGATAGAAATCCATGAGCATGATGTTCCCCCGCTTCCATTCTCGCTTCTTTTCCTATTTGCTCCCCCCAAGTCGTCTTGGCGTCGTCAATTCGGGAGTTGGAGAAATGCGGCTCTCCGGCAGTCATCGTCATCTCCCCATCACCGTATGTACGTACTCACTTATTTGTCATCCGACCATTTGTCCCTATGAATTGATACTTTTCTACTAATAATTACATAAACCAACACATCTCAAGAGTTTCGCATTTCGTAAACCATTTGTGTGCCCGCCGAGTGACCGAATCAGCATCTCCCCTTTCTGGAATGCGACCGGGGTCACTCTTCATTTTCCGGCATACCTGAATCCAACCCATGTCCTCGACTCCCAGATTCGGCCAAGAGACGTTATGTAACGTTGAAGGAGATGAACAGAGATCGACGCGCCTTGCGCAACCCCGGCATTTAGCGCAGTGCATCTTATTAAACTCCATGCCCGTTGTTGCACGCGATATTGTGCCACTGCCCACAGCCACGCCTCTGGTACTACCACTCGGTAGTCGTAGTAGTCGTACACACATGTGAATATTTTCTTCCCCTGAAATGATGTGTCGCTCAAGAAAAGACCGAGATAGATGTGTCCAAAGAAAGCATGAGCCTCAGGAAATGAAAGCACAAGAACCCCAAAAAGAGACGCAATCTTTCATCGTTCACGCAGTATATGCCTGAACCCAACTTGCCGCCTGCTCCAATACCCTCTCTCCATCAGAGCCCCTTTCCGCGCCGCCCAGTAACGCCAGCCTCGTCGCCTCGACCTCTTCTCGCCAATCCCCGTCGCACCAGGCCCTCGCCGCCATGTTCCTCAAAAAATACCACACAGACTCATTCCGCCAGTGAAATGACGCCGCCAGCCTCGCCGTCTCGCTAACCACCGGTCCAGCATATTCCGGGTGCCGGTCCAGGAAGAACATGAGGAATGCCCACCCGGAGACGTCGTCGTGGTGACGGAGAGCCCAGCTCTTGGCGGCTTCCAGCATCCCCGCGAGGTCGTCTTTGTCCTTGTCTTTGTCTTTGTCTCCCTCCCGCGAGGCGGCTGTTTCGGAGACGGCGGTTGTGAGGTAGCGGGCGTGCAGCCAGGCGTAGTAGTTGCGTGGGTGTCGCTCGGCGGCTACCGAGATGACTGTTGTCATGATGCTGGTGGCATCTATCTTTAGGCCATGCTCTTGGAATCGCTGCATCAGCCATTGGCGATGCCCCCACAAGGTAGGCGATTTGGTATGTCGATGGAGACGGCTCGTAAGAAGGCTATCGACAAAGTATAGCTCATCCCGTAATCTTGTCTCAAAGTCTGTGCCTGAGCTGATGCCATCCTGGAGTATCCTCTTCCGCGTATTGGCGGCAGTGAGATGCTCGGGGTCCATCAGCAGCATGACAGCTGTAGCTCTCGACATATCCTTCTTCTCATAGAGCAGTGCCCGGGCAAAAATGAATGCCTGCACCAATCGCAGCTTGGGCACCGCTATAGCTGGTCCATCTTGCAGCAGTATCGTATCTGCATCCGCCATGTGGCTCTTCCCTAGCAATTCAACTTCTAGCAACTCCGCATACCGCTGCGACAGCGCATCTGCGATCTTTGTGAAAATCTGCTCATGGTCGCCATGCCTGATTGCCTTCTTGACATCATCGTCCAGCGCCCTCGACATCTGAGCGCAGGAGGTTTGCCGTTGATTCTCGTGGGATTCTGCTCGCTTTCAAGGTTTAGTGCAGGGTAAGCGCATATGGTGGAGCGAATGGCGGCGGGCTGGGCGCTGGGCGAAAGACGACTGGACAGCCCACATGCAATCTGTCGGGGTTATGACATACGTCGTCGCTTTGCATGTGTCCAGCTGGCAAAGCTCCAGCTCGAGTCACCTGTCCCGTCATTTTGGCCTCGCAACACGATATAGAACCCTCTCACTAAGGCGTCGCAGCTAGAGAGGGAAGCGGGATTTCTCTTCTTCTTCCTACGAGCTACTAGCATTCTTAAGATGGCGCACCTCATGATCATCGTGTTCCTCGTCGAGGCCGCGGTCAGGCTCATCAACGCAGTCGGTGCAGCAAAGATCAACGACCTGGTACGACTTGTCGAGGCCTACTCCAGCTTCATGGATTCTCCTGTGCTAACAACATTCTCTACAGCTATGGACGCTCATCAACTTCCTCCCCGTGCCGACCTCCAAGGCCGCCGCCGAGCAGCGAAAACTGCAGGCTGAATACCTCGCCGCCCGCCGAGAGATGAACGCCACAAGCAGCCAGGACGAGTTTGCAAAGTGGGCAAAGTTGAGGCGCAAGCACGACAAGCTGCTCGAGCAGCTCGAGGCATCCAGTACGTGCACATCACATCCCTCGGGAAGATCCGAGACAAGATGCTCGTCTTTTCCGACTGCCCTGCTGCGGCGTCTACGGGACGATCACCATCACAACCACGATCAGAACTGAACTGAATTTAACTGACCACCCTCTGTCTGCGTATAGAAAAGGGACTCGACTCGGCCCGCTCCAAGTTCGACAACGCCCTGACAGCCTTGCGCTTCCTCCTCACCCGCGCGCCGCAATACATCATCCCATTCTGGTACTCCACGCAGCCCATGTTCTGGCTGCCGCACGGCTGGTTCCCCTACTACGCCGAGTGGATCATCTCGTTTCCGCGAGCGCCCTTGGGAAGCGTTTCCATCGCCTCCTGGCAGCTCGCGTGCGCGGGCATCCTCTCGCTTCTGATTGACGCCTTTACGGCCGTGCTTGGGCTGGCACAGGGCACGAAGCAAAAGGAGGCTCCCGTCCCAGTTGCTGGTGCGGAGAAGAGCAAGGAGGACGCCACCGCGAGTCCTGCTGCGGACGAGAAGAAGACTTCATAGATGCCACAATAGCAATTACATGCAGTGTCCATAATATATGTATCAGGAATAGCCCTAAGCCCCAGCCCATGCTCCCGTCCTAGATATCTGAGAGAGGCTCGAGGCATCAAAGCAAGGGAGTCAAAACTACGAAGTTTGTTTGGAAGTTTGTTTGGGAGCGAAAATATGTATCTCGTTGAAATTTTGACGCAAAGTTCTTCATTGCAAACGCTGAGACTTTGTAACACGACAGAGAATGACCTTTTGCAAGGGTTTGTATAGGCTTCATATTGACTCTGGCGACCACTGAGGAGAAAGATCGCGAAAGCTTCGAATGTGCCATCAAGGAGGGGGAAAAGGGAAGGATTTCACGACATCGCAAAGGCACGGATATTCGGTCAAGGAGGGAAATAAAACAAGAGTTTCTCATTAAGACGCTGCTGCTGCTGGCTGTGCTAATTGTCGAATTGATCTTGCATCAGGCACATCAAAAGCGACCTGATCTGCCAAATTGAACAAAGGAGAAAAAAGTTTGAAAGGATGGATAGAGCAGAAAACTTTCAAGCTCGCGAAGAAAAGCTGGATAAAAGACAGGAAAAAAATTGGCGGGGACGGGTGTAACTAAACCCGTTTCCGACCCCACCCAGTCCAGAAGCTGCACACATTGAAAGAAGCTGCTCCCACAGATACCAAGGTACATGTACTTGAGATTGTATCAAGAGCTCCAATATTGGTGTGCCGTCAATGAATGACAGACGTACATTTCCAACTATGTCCTTTCATAAAGAATAATAGGCAATAAATTGCTTTGTTTGTATATATTTTTTTTTTTTTTGGTTAAAGGTCTACTGCAATTCGCACGGCAATTTCTTGAATCGCACTCTCCTGATCACTGGATGATGTGGTTCAAACGTCTCATTGAGTGAGAAGACTCCTCTTATTCCTCTTAGTGACTAAGAGTGGGTCCGAGCATGACAGTCGAACAAGATATTTTAATAGAATATAAATACCAACATCTGGATTGAAGATTTATAGTATTTCTGTTTATGGAACTCATATTTCCTTGCTCTATAAGTCAATGGTTCAATTCGTGAGCACATATAATTATCATGTTGATATCAATGATAGATATTTACACGCAGTGCGTGTCTGGCTGCCAAATTCAATGCTCTTTGGTCTTCCAGTTGTCTATTAAGTACTGGGTTCTACAAACGCTACAAGTGCTATAAATCTTGTGACTGTCTAAATCCAAGCTCACACATATCACTCTTGCTCTCAATTACCACCCCAAGCCACCCTTAAAGCTTTGACTCTTTTAAGCCTACAAAGGTAGGTCGGGGAGCGCCCTTCGAGGCACTCTTCTTCGGTCTCACCATCAAATGTATTGGCTCCGACAGAAAATCCTTAATCATCGCTTGAGAATCCTCAGTCGGATTCTCGATATTCATCTTCAAAAACTCCTTACTTATGAGTTCAAAACCAGTCTTAACCCCCAAGCCGTAGCTCATTTGCACAAATTCGCCATATCCTTCAATATCATGCTCATCGCACAGGTCTGTCATCACCTTCATAAATACTGGTGCAGCGCGAAGCTGTCGATATTCTGGAAGTATCCACATGGCGTGGCCATCTGTTATTTCAGGAGATTAGTTACCACTCGGGAGGAATACTGATTGATGACGCGACTGGATGACTTACAAACATGCTCGCGTGACCGCATTAATTGGCTGTGCCACTCATAGAGCTGTCCGTAAAACTGCTCAGACATCTTCTGAATCTGCGACCCCGGCTCAAATCCCTCATGAGGCTTATCTGGCATATGTCTTGGCTGTTGCTCGTTTTTCCAGTGCGTTAGGCAGATGCCACCAACAATGGGAGCCAGTGGTTGTTCTTCATCAACAAGTTTGTACCACTTCTGTCCAGGACTGCTCTTCGCAGCGGCGAGATACTGGTCTTTCTTGACTTGAAATGATTCGGCCTCTTCAGGCCCTCCTTGGCCTATGTGAGGAAATGTTGCCACCATTGCCGCCTGCCTTGGAATGCTCCATGACTTCCAAAAGGTTCTGAAGAATGGATCCCAATCTCTTGCTAGATTCACGGGAAGAATCTTAAGAGTACTCAGAGAAGGCATTTTGACGTTCAGATATAAGGAATCGTAGAAAGAACTATGGTCTGGGATCTGCGTATATCGTCAAACATATATCCGCGTATATAAAGTACTACTTTGTATGCCACGTATTACAGAGGTTTTTGTAAGGTCTGCCTCCACATGTAGGACCTGGCTACTCTATATGCAATTGTTGGCATTGACCGCATTTTTGGCAAGTAGAGAGGTGCTCATAGGACGATCATGCGCCCAGCCATAGCCGAGTTCAAGGAAGACATTCCTCATATCCACATGGATATCCATATACCCTGTACGGAAATACGGAGAACTCGTCAGTCAGCAAACATTTGACGCTATACCGCCTCTTAAGTCGCCAGGGACTTGGCGGAGGAACGCTCATTACAACGTAAGAAAGCCATCTAAAATCTTATCTCGGTAACATCTTGTTCGGGATGGAGTGGCCATAGGTATGGCAGCATACAAGTCAGCATGAACGTAAGAAGAAGAGGTAGATCAAATTCAGGTACGGTAGTGGGCTTTGGTGCCATCGGAGGGTTTCTCCTGTGGGTGTCGGACAATTATTATGTAGGTATTGCCTATTTCTATGCTCAAAACAGGTATACAGCAAGGTCTGGAACTCTCCACTCTTAAAATGGATTCTCTGCGAACCTATAACTGACATTCAGCTAAATATCAACTCCATCTAGCATCAAGATTTTTCATCTTCTTCTGTAATTGTATTCTAGTACTTACAAGATTTAGCAGCATCTATTCCTTAAGCGCCTCGAGCGCAAACCCCTATGTTGTAGGTCGTATTATGCTTGTTTGCGCAAGAATCTGACTGTGTAACGGTAGTAAGCGCTCAACGGCGGACCCAGCTTTCTGACATGCAGATTTGACAGGTGGGCCACTCGTACGAGCGGTACGTTCCTAGGGTGTGTGTAAATAACTAACAAGAAAATATCTCTTATACGCATATACTGCTGTTACAACCTGGTCCCTTGCGGTAGGTGAGTTTCTTAATAAACAACTGGTTCTGTTACAGTAATTGACAATAGTGACTGTTAGCACAATTTGTGCCCTGTTTGGAGCAACGGTATAACTGATCGTTACAACTACTTACCATTTGAATATATTAAATGATTAGTAGTCAATGTTACCAGACTTTTGCCGTTTACGTCCGTCCCAATGTGCGCACTTGTTTATTTTGTTTTCCCTTGTCTTACACATGCCCGCCTTCCTATTCAATTCTCTCCCACCGGTAAACGGTAATGAAGGTTAACTCGGAGTTTATAGAAATACATTTGATTCGGAGTTTCTAAAAGATAGTGTGCAATCTTTAGTAAAAAGTGCGAATAATGCCAAACTAGGTGAGTATTTTTGCCATAGAGCACAATGTTCACAACATTGATGTATCTGGGATAAATAAAACAGATCATTGCTACTCTTCAAGTAAATCCATTCAATGCCCTTCAAATTGTACACAATATTTTTTGTCATCGCTTTTCGCTCCAGTCGTAGCAGTTCCGGACGGAAATTTTCTTTTTCTGGAAGGCCCTAGTGGGAATTACATGCACCTGAAATTCGGAATCCTAATATAGGTATATCTTACCGAAGTCCTATGCCGGTCTTTGTTCTACAGTCATATGATGCTTACTAGAGAAATGAAATGAATAAGATTCTGTCAGACTTATCATGGGGTTGGCCTTTATGCTGCTTCAATAATTGTCAGGCCATTCTCTGGTAGGATCTTTTGTATTTCTCTTGATGCGATTGGCGGGATCTTTTGTATTCTCTTTATTGCAAATAGCTACAAAGTGTAACTGCCAAACCCGCCGGACTCTGACAGTTTGATAAATCGTAGACTAAGACGTATTGCGAGATTCTAGGACGCTCAAAGTTGTGCAGCTGCTTCCACAGCGGCCACCTCCCTGTCCAGAGGGAGGATATGCGGAAGTGGCCCAACGGGCGTGATTGATAATGGATTGATAGGAGTATGGCTTTTGGTGTAATGATTCTTGATATGATGGAAATTCGTAGTTTCCTTGAACGCTGGGATATTCCAGTATAGATTTCGTAACCACTTGTGAATGTTTGGGTAGCCAGATCGGATATCTCGAATATTGCATTTGAAATGCTGAACATATACCGGCTATATAATAGTTAGCAGTGTTCAACACAATCCGTCAAATATGCAGTCCAGTGTCTGGTCTAAAGGAGTGACTAAAATAGGGAAACGAAATGCTAGAAGTGGATTGTGGCAGAAAAAACACGTACATCGAAACGGATCACTGTGACGTATCTGCAATACCATGTTAGTGGTTTTCAAGGCAAATGAAAAGTATCCACGGGTTAAGAGCAGCTTACAGCCGGATATCGACTTCAGTGAGGCTTTGGCCAAACCAGTAAGGCCCACCAGTCGATGCAAGATGGTCCTCAACCTTGTCAAGAGCTTCGAAAAGCTCTGTTACGACACGCTCATATGCTTCTTGAGTGCTGGCAATGCCGCATTTGTACACGCCGTTGTTGATGTTGTCGTAATGCCACTCGTGAACTTCATCAATCTGGCTCTGCAGCGCCTTGGGATACAACGACACGTCGCGATATTTTGGATCAATGATGTCGTCAAACTAGTACTTGAAATTAGAATCATGTATGATAGATGCTCATATTAGGAGCCAAACTAACCTCTGTGCCAAACATGCGGAGGATTTCACTGCTTTCGTTGTTTACAATTGTCTTTTGGATTTTGTCATACAAGACTGGCACGCTGAACCGGGCTTGGTAGTCAGCGTCAGTCTCGTAATAAACTTGACGTAGATGAGTAAATCCCTCGTGCAGAGGGTCAGGAACAGCATTTTCTCCTTCGGCATCGTTATCTTCGGCAGTTACAAACCGCCATCCTATAAATTCGTTAATTGCGTATAAAGGTGGTACACTTTAGGATCGTTCTATACCGCCGTCTTTAAGAAGCCAGTGCACACATGTGAATGGGATGATGTCTTCTAAGCCTTTGAGCTTCCGGGCAATCAGGATCCTATGTGCCTACATCTATATAAGCTTGATGAATTACTAGCGGTGATACGAGTGATTGTGTACATACCCAAGGGCAAGCATAGCTGATGTAGAGATGATATCTATTTCGTTCTGCGGGGAATTTCGATCCGGGCTTGTTGGAGATACTGTTACGAAGGACAGCTTGAGGGCGCTTGAAATTGCCCTTTTCATCAGAAAAAGACTTCCAGTTTGTAATGTTGCCGTTAGACTGCTCAGTAGTAGAAATATTAGCCAGACAGTGGGAGATTATTACCTTAGTGCTACGGAATATATTGCAACAAACCAATCAAGCTCAGCGAGCGGGAACTCTTACCATCTTGATGAAACCTATTCAATGGAGATAGATATGCATATAGAAAATAAAGCTCTACTGGAGAAAACTCGAGGTGCAAATGCTTTTTATTACAGCCTCAACTTGAGGATTATCAAGCGCCCGCGCTGAGTCATGCCGCGCGGTAGCTTGCTACGCGCTGGAAGTCGTGTTCATTTAGTAACTTCAATAGAGCGCTAACTGGAAATTGCGCGCATTGCGCTTTGGAATCAGACTAGCGATCTTCTTATATATTGAGATATAGTGAAAGAAGTATGGATATCCATTGCGTTATCGCTGTGCTAACCCCGCTCTTGACAAAGCATTGCTTTTGATGTTGTCAGATTCAAGGTGGTGTCTGAAAGTTCTTCCGCGGAGAAGACTGGCGCGGACCGGTTTTCTGAACAAAATGAAAAAAATTGGCACTTGTTTGCCTGGAGGAATCGATTATCATTATTCTAATGGCGAGAGGAGTATTATTATCTGCTGAATTTGTCTTGGCATCCACCACAAGCGCAGTACGGTATACAAGAAAGTCGCTCATGGTCTCAGGCTTCCAGATCTTCCACTTGTGTCAACTTCGAAGCAGCGGCAAGTAAGGGTTTTACATTGTAACCAACGATTGGGACGTTTGAGCTGCATTGCGATTTCATAAGTATTTGCAGGTTTTACTGCATGTAGCCGACTGAGATTGGCCGAGACCAAGCTGGTTGTGTAGCCCCTAGCCACTTATATCTGACGAGCGTACGGTGTCATTCCATCACTTTGCTGTTTGGATCGAATACAAAATGCATCGAATCTTCCTGGCTTACACACAAAATTTAGGCTACGAGATAATAAAGCCTCAAGCGTCCTCAATGGAATAATCATACACTGTTAGAAACGGTATTATTTAAGCTACACGTATAGCTGCAGGCTTCTACAATGAATCATCAATGCTTAAAATATGGAACCCGTGGCGAATTTCCCTGCACGGATGTTGGTGGGGTTGCAGCCTGATTGACAGCGATTTCGAAACTGAAAGCTTACCTGTACTTTCTTTGAAGAACACTTTAGTGTGGTCACTTTGCCTTGAGCTATCACGTCCTCTGGAATGGCGGACAGTTGATATAGCCAAGTACATGTATGTATATGGAGTTGTTAATTGATAGTCCGCTAGAGCTCAGCGCTAATTCAAAAGTCGGCTACCGCTGCCCGCTACTCTCGATCAAGAAACTCATTTACCAGCGCTGTAAACGAATCAGCATGCTGGTACAGAAACCCGTGTTCTGCATCGGGGACTATATGAAGCTCAGAGTGGGCATTATTCATCTTTTTCCAAATGGTTATGCTGTTTTCAGTCGGCAATATCGTAACGTTGCAGCCTTGGCTTGGTTTGGCAAGCATACGTTCAAGAGTTGAAGAACGAATTATCAGTTACAACAAGGACTAGAGTTTGAAGTTCTTGAAGCCGGTTATAAGACCTCTCATTTGCGCCGTTTGGATCTTAAAACTGAAGCATGCAAGACCTTGCTCACCCGCAGACTCTACGCTTGCATAGTCGCAACGGTTCCGACGACTTGTGGTTATCCGCTCCCAAGCCGCAAGTCCGGCGGCCTGGCCACGAGTTGAGGTGGTAAAGAACATAGGAACAAATGCATCCTTGTGTTCTTTCTGCATAATAGCAGTGCGAAGCTTTTGTAGTAGCTCGGCGGAACCGATTTGAATTCTTCACCAATACTTGGCGTAGTAGCTACGAGAATTAGACGACGAACAAGGGTGGGGGCGTTAAGGGCAGCCATTTGCGCAGTATATCCACCTCCGGAGAACCCCATGATGTCTACTTGCTTCAAGTTCAACCTCGTACTGGTCGTGCTCCATAATGCTAATTTGATATTGAGAATGGTGGAATTGAGACGCGAATCTCGCAAAGATTTACGTTTTAATGTACCGCATGATTACTTAATCTCATGTCCTAATTAGCAACAGTGCACTCTTATCAAGATTATACTCAGTTTAGTTTTGTCTCTAGACGAAATCTATGGATTGTTGCGCAGCCTTGGCTCTTCAACTCAACTACTGCTTTTCGTATGGGTCTGGCAAGAAGTTTAGCCACGGCGCTTCATTAATATACCCAACGAATGCTTTCGCCTTTGTCTTGTCACTGACCCATGGAGATACCCGGCGCAAGAGCCTCAGCCACCACGTCTCCATTGCCTCATAGCGGGTAACATATCTGGACATTGTGACAATTGTCTTTGCATGTGGCCGCTGCTTCTCTTCGTAGGCATCCAATACAGCCGTGATTTCAGTTTTGGTTGGCTTTCTTCCGCTTTCATCGCATTGTCTTACCAAGGGCACCAGTCCATTTACAAGATGAACAACGCCCTCGACAGCCAAATTGCCGCCAAGACCAACGTTTATGGTCGATTTATGTACTGAGTCGCCCATTAAAGCCACGCGACCACCCGTATTCCACTTCGACTTCAGAACTCCATCTTCGAGGGATAGCATATTCGCTTTGACCCTACTATCCCATAAATCTTTGAACGTGTAGCCTGGGCCCAGCGCATAGCCCCCATATTTAGCAATGGTGGCCTCAGTCTCTTCTTCCGTAAACTTGGGTATCTCGGGCATTCTTGTTTGTTTTTCACTCTTCACAAACATGAACCAATAGGCAAAGCCGGGGACGCCTATCGCGACGACGCCAGAGAAGCCTGGGTAATAGACGTTATGCACGCCCCCACTTGGCAGGAACTGCGTGCCATCGGATACTCTAGCGTTTTTGGACGTTGCAAAAATACAATGATAGGTGCTTGTGAAACCAGCTTGCATTTCTTGTGATGCAGTGGGATCCGTGATGGCGACTTTGTCTGCCATAAGTTTCCGTATTGTGCTATGGATACCATCGGCACCAAGGAGAATGTCTCCTTTAACGGTTTCACCTTTGTCTGTGATCACCTCAACGCCGTCTTCTGTCTCGGTGAATGAAGCCACGCAGGTTTGGGTCCGAACATGAGACTTGTCCTCAATTTGGTTATAGATACAACTGAGCATAAATCTTCGCTCTATAAAGGTAGTCCATCGTTGAGAGGTCCTATCAAGAATGTGTCAATAACGGCATGCAACCTTCACTTACACATGTCAGGGATAGCATAATAGGCCATGAGAAGAGGAGAGGTAAGGCATCATCCATACTCACATCTTTGAGATTTCTTGCAGGATTGAAGAGTCCTCAAACAACTTGCCCTTTCTGTCATAGTGCTTCCGTATGTCCAGCGGCACAGCAGTGGCTTTGATCTCAGGCCATACACCAAGCTGTTCCATTACTCTCTGAGTGTGTGGGTGTATGGATATAGACGCACCCAGATGTGGCGCAATATCCCCCTTCTCCAACAGGACATAGTTGATCCCAGCTTTTTCCAGTGCCAACGCTGTTGTCAGGCCGACTAGACTGCCGCCGACGATGATTGCCGTGAACCGCGGGAAATTGGAGTCCGCCATGAGTCCGAAAAGATTCTGATCGGAGGTGTCCGAATCAGCAAGTATGGAGCGCAGAAAATGGCCTGAATCAGCAATGTGTTGTTGCTGAGCATCGCATCATTGCACGGGGTTTTACGATTAGTAGTGGAAGATTAGATACGTGGACGTTCCTTTTATCCGCCATCTTCCCCGTCCCAAGACCCGCTTCACATCCTTGCTTCCAATATCTAAGCCGGCAATCACTTTAGGGCCATATACAGTACAGTAACTGACTATCTGAGTCCATGAGTGCTTCGAGAATTCTTGCCAAATAAATAAACGACAATTGAACAATTAATCGCGAGGGAAGATGCAGGGTAGGGGGCGTGTTTTCTTACTCATGATACACTTGCTGCTGGCGTAGCTTCAACAGGCGACCAGGGGTATTGCAACTATAGCCGGTACAAGTGGCCTGGAATTTAAAGATGGGAGTCCCGTATGGCGTCATTACGAGTACCAATTGCTTCAGCTATAGGCGTTACTAACTACAGTATGAAGCTTTATAGACGTTCAATAGGCTGTGTTGAAATCCTTAGAGATAGAGTACTGCGCGCAACTGGCTGCATACCGCCACATGTATGTGTTGATTTGCGGGGGTTGCATACATATGCTGTGCTACAGTAGCATGCAACGCCCTGCATATATCGTGTCTTCTTGACCGAACAGCGGAGATTTACTCTATATATATTAATTGTTTCTTGGTGACTGCAAGCTGTCATCATCTTTCAAGCTGCTAGCTTCAAGTCTCTATGAGACTGTTACACTGCCTTTTGAGAGCTGTCCATAATTGTTGTACAGCGGACGTGGATATTATCAGAAGCTCTCCATTTTCTGAATAATTGGCACACATGCAAACAGCATAGATGATACAGTAATCATTGCTATAAGGATCAGCTAACATATGAATGAATAAATCCTTTCAACATTTAGGTTATGCATAAACCTAGTAGCCAAAATCCTCATGAGGTATAATGACCGAAAAGGCCGATCTATACAGCGCAAAGTTATTCCTTGCGTGCAATTGTTCGGAATTACATTCGCTGGAGGATACCACAGACTATTCCCAACATTATTCCCGACTTGTCCCTAAACCAACGGAGATTCTAGGCATAGGAGATCAAATAACCTCCTAATGCCGAATGATGCTTCTAGATCCTACATACAGCACTGCGGCATGCATTGCAACCTGTCAGCCTCGGCAAGCCTAGAACCCGACCAGGGGTCCCTACCCTTGCAGATGCCAATCTCAAACACCCGGAATCCAAGCCGTACGCAATATCGTTATATACCGTATATCTCGGGATTCGCTTTTTATACCAAAGACAGGCAGTAAAGACATCTCTTTTTACTTATTCCTAGGGATAAACACTTTCCTTATGTCAGACGACAGTATGATAAGCATACGTAATCAATTGATAAATAAGTCTATTAATGAATTGACTGCGAAAACGGAGGCTTGAATGGCGAATAATCATACTATTTCTGCATAAACCTGGCTTACAGATGGCAACAGGGTTCTCTCTTGTGCAAGTAACGTAGGACTTAATACGAGGCAAGCTTTTCTGATCCTTCCCCAGCGTGAAGGATGCTAGATCCCCCAAAACCTGAAACTCAAAAACACATATATTTAGCTTAGCCTGCGATACAATGGAATACAGACTTGCTCTTCTTTAACAAAGACACCTTCTTTGCCGCTTCCCAGTCTCTATCTCAATCTGCACCATTACGATGGCTGCTCTCAATGTCTATCGGGATGATAATGTTACGTCTCAAAAAGCAGACCATGTGCAGCTGATTGAGGATCTTTTCCATCAGTTCTTGCTCGCACAGAATGCAGCTCTGTCACCACAAATCGTCGACATTGCGACAAAGGATGAGATGGCACAGATGCGAACTGCCACAATACCAAGAGCAGAGGGCGCCCCCATGGATCAAGTTATAAGTGAAATGGTCAAGATCATGTCTCACCGGGTGTCAATGGAGCACCCCAAGTTTTTCGGCCTCATTCCATCTCCTACAAGCGAAAACTCGTATCTGGGAAACATCATCACATCAATGTTCAACGTCGGTACTGGCAGCTGGTATCAGGGTTCTGGCCCCAGCACCGTAGAGGACACCCTCATTAAGTGGATGGCTGAGCAAGCAGGCTTTCCGCCCTCGGCTGGTGGCGTCTTTGTGTCTGGAGGCACAATGGCTAACTTGACTGGCGTCGTAACTGCGCGAGATGCCATGTTAAAGTACGAGGACAGACCAAAGGCAGTCATCTATGCTTCAAAGGAGACTCATGTTTCTGTGACCAAAGGCCTGACTGTGGCAGGCTTTCTCCGAAGCCAGATCCATCGTGTGGAATCCGACTCTGATGATTTCCACATAGACCCCGCGAGTCTGCGCCGGCAAATTGCAATCGACAGGAAGAATGGGTTGGTGCCGTTCCTAATTGCTGGAAGTTGCGGTTTCACCAACACCGGGGGCGTAGATGACTTGAATGCGCTGGCAGATATCGCCGAAGAAGAAAACCTCTGGCTGCACGTTGATGGTGCCTACGGAGCATCTGTAATTCTCTCAAAGGACCACAAGCACATTGCCAGTGGTATCAGTAGAGCAAACAGCCTGTCGTGGGATCCTCATAAATGGCTCTTCCAGATCTACGACTGCGGTTTGATACTTGTCCGAGACAGGCGCCGCCTGGTCGAAAGTTTCAACACAGAGGCGTCATATATTCGAGACACAGAAGAGGTGAATACTGACATGGTGAACTTTTGGAATCGCGGTATCGAAATGTCTCGCTCTGCCCGGGGGTTGAAGCTCTGGTTCACCCTCCAAGTACTGGGTCTTGATAAGATGGGGGAGATGATTGACCATGGCATCTACCTTGCCGAATTCGGAGAGCAGGCTTTCCGAGAGCTTTCCGATTGGGAAATTCTCTCCAAAGCTTCATTAGGAATGTTCAATTTTCGTTATGTTCCCAAGCTGGACAACCTCGACCCCAGCCTAGATTTTGAGAAGTGCTGCGATGACATCAATACGACTATTTCTCGATTAGCGATGGAACGCAACGTCGCGGGGCTGACGACGACGAGACTCCGCAAAGAGGTGAATCTTCGGATGTGCACGATATCTCCTGAGCTGAGCAAAGAGCAGCTCTATGAGGTGATCCAGAGCATGGATCTCATCGCAAAAGAAGTTACGGCGTCTTTTTTGAAGGAACAAGGTTCTAAGCTTTGAAACTGAAAGAAATACGTTCATTTCCTTTGTTGAGTGCTCATAGATCATTAGAAAACTGTTGTAGAGGATGGCAATGACAGCCGCCAGTTGTACACAAGAATTAGCAAAAGATGGATCGTCTTTTGTTCTCTTTTAGACTATAGTATAAGCTTTCTAGATATACGCGTATTTGAATGAGATGTAGCTCCTATGCTTCTATTCCATTTCACCGAGAGTATTAGATCCAGTTGAAAATGAAACACCGTCTTACGACGACGCAAGTGACAGCTCGTAGTTCAGGGGCAACACCTCTTCATCGAAGAATTGCAATTCAAGCTCCGTCTAGCTTCTTGTAATAAATTGTCGTAGCCGCCCCTTGAACACATATAAGCTTACATGTATTCCTACCGAGATCGTTAACTGAAAAGGCAACACTGCCTAATACCTAAAATGGCAATACGTAGATTAGGCTGCCATGGCTTGAAGATGCCTGCGATGGGAGTAGTACTATCCTGATGATATCAAGTCGTATATGACTCGAAGGAAGACACAATTTCGGACTTTTGCTGCTGTCCTATTCGGGTATTATTGTGCATTCGGTCGGTTTGATACTGGCATAAAGCACATGCATCTGCTGACGATGGCGACATACTTAGGGGGACTGCTGGCAGTTGATTTGCTCCGTGCAACGGTATTCCTCATTTAAGTTCTCTCAGCACAAATGGCCAAAAAAAGGCTATAATTCTTTCAATGAATAGACCGCAGCCAATATCTTCTCTTGCATCTGCTGGGTAATAGAGCACCATGACTGGTGCATCGATGCTTATCAGATCTGTCGTACCGACTACATCGCCTACAGCACCAAATGTCAGCGCCCGCTTCCCGCTACAAAGTACCCGCTACCTCCCGACAGCTGGTCCCCCACTACAGTGACGAAACGATGCGCTCAGCCCAGCTCCGGCCAGAGCTCCGGCTCAAGCTCGAAAATCCGAGGCAGCTCCATCGGCCTGTTCTTCGTTCTTCGCATTGACATCATCTGCACCGCACGCAGAACAGAAACAACGAACCATTGGTAAGCGCCCTTTCGGTGATTTCGCAAATCCACTCTCGCAGCCGCTATTCAGTCGCTATTCAGCTCAAAATAGAGACTGCGTCCTTTTGTCCAGCTCCCCAATTGCACTTCAAGAGCTCCCCTCCAAGCTCTTTGCACAAGCCGAGCCCCTCATCTGCTCCCCCAATTGCCGCGAATAGAACAGCAAAAGCTCACCTGCGAATAGCTTCACAAACCACAGCCGCAGCAATGTCCTCCTCTCTCCTCCGCACGACGCCCCTCCTGCGCGCCGGCCTCCGTGCCCGCGCCGCAAAGCCTCTCGCCGCCATGGCCACCACGAGCTTCACCCGCGGCAAGGCGACTCTCCCCGACCTGCCCTGTAAGTGCTCGAAACAAACACTGCGACAATGATTCCAAACAATCGAGCGAAACGCGGAAGACTGATACGAAAGATTCCCAGACGACTACGGCGCGCTCGAGCCCTCCATCTCCGGCCAGATCATGGAGCTGCACCACTCCAAGCACCACCAGACATACGTCAACGGCTTCAACGCCGCCGTCGAGGCCCTCGGCGATGCCCAGGCCAAGGGCGACTCCAAGGCTGCCGCAGCTCAGGCGCCGCTGCTCAACTTCCACGGCGGTGGCCACGTCAACCACTCGCTCTTCTGGGAAAACCTCGCCCCCAACGGCAAGGGCGGCGGTGGTGAGCCCGAGGGCCAGCTTTTGGTAGGGTTCAATACGTAGTACACGATGAAAGAATTTAGGCTAACAAGCGTTTCGCGCAAAGACCGCCATCAAGCAGGACTTTGGCTCCTTTGACAACTTCAAGAAGCAGACCAACACCGCCCTCGCCGGCATCCAGGGCTCTGGCTGGGCCTGGCTCGTCAAGGACAAGTCTTCCGGAAATCTCGGCCTCGTCACTCGCGCCAACCAGGACCCCGTCACCGGCAACCTGGAGCCTCTTCTGGGAATCGACGCCTGGGAGCACGCTTACTACCTCCAGTACCAGAACCGCAAGGCCGAGTACTTTAGCGCTATTTGGGACGTCATCAACTGGGGAACTGTTGCCAAGCGATTCGAGAAATAAAGTGTATGTGTACATGTATAGCTAAAAGTAAGACGTGAATGAAAGCAGCGTTTGTAGCATATTCTTGCTTTGGCCCTGTTGATTGGCTGTAGCATATAGGTATCTAAAAGTAGGCTAAAACTTACCACTGCGGCAATCCTAAAAGCTATGCATACGAAGCTCATTTCTCGACGTATATACATGGCGAATGCACTTGATAATGGAAGGCTAACTGTAGTCAGGCCGCATAATGGTACTCAGCAAATCTTATTCTCTAGTACTTTGGGCGTGGATATAATACATTCGACACCACAACCTTTGATCCAGGCTTGTCGCCGCTCCCATCGTCCTGCGCACGACATGACCATTCAGTAACTTACACAAAGTATGAAGCAAAAACAATACGAGTGGCTCAAGAGAATAGAGACACAAGAAAAGAGCAGCGGTATGCAGCCTCCCAGATCCTGACCACTCAAGGTCTTTGACATCTCGCGATACCCTGGTATGCCGCCAGCTCATCCTGAAAAGTGTCCACGAAAATGTGAGTCGCGTAGTCGTACCAGTCTTGGTTTTCAGGGCCTGTACGAGCTTCAAAAAACTTGACGTACTCCCACCACTCTGGATACCAGCCTCCATTGTCCCAGCCCAGAATGCACACGATCTTGCTGTTTTTCACAACAATATTCTTTGGGCTGAGCTGACCGTGAGTGAAACGCACTGCGTAATCTGACCGAAAGTGGCTCGTGACAGCAGAGGCGACGATCGCTGGAACAGATGCAACAAACAGCGATGTCAAGAAGGCGACAAACTGAGCACATGTGGGCTTTGGACGAACTGCCCAGTATGTGTTTAGGGCGTGTTGATCTACCATCAGGGAAAAAGGACCTGCAAAAGCAGATCCCACCAGATTTCGTTTGGCTTGTAGAGCAGCTGTGCTGCGAGTTTGCGCCATGTTCAGGCGCATGCTGTTGACAATATGGCGCAGCTGGCGCGCATAGGAATACTTTGCTTCTGGAGTGAGGCTGTACCAGATATCCTCCAGTAGCTCCCCATCGACAGTCCCCTCCAGCCCTCCAAAAACCTGGGCTGGAGCTGGAAGTCGCAGTATGGGGAGGTTTAGCTGGCTTTGGATCGTCTCTCCTAGAAGAAGACCTGCCTTTGTGATTGTGCGACATTGGGTCGAAAGGGCCTGGCTTCCGTCGCCAAGCCTCGACCTAAGAGTCAACAAAAGGCAGTGAGGCTGAAGGAGAGATTCTAGGTAGATGGTATGTGGGTTCGGCGGCGGAGCTGAAATACAGTTAGCATCAGATCGGTATTCTGGCTATAGTAAGCATCTACTCACGAGGTAAGAAGAAAGGGGGTATTGAGGGCCATTGCCGCCGCAGATGCGGCTCTTGGGGCTCATCCAGATGATCACGAGGCCTCTTGGCTCCCGCAATCACTGGCGGAGCAGGCCTCGAGATACGCATAAGCGGCGGTCGGACTGAGTTATTCAGAGATGGAGGGCACTCCTTTTTGATGCCTGTGGGTTTCTGGGCACCAGGCTTGCCCAGTGCGATGTCGTTGCTGCCCGTCTTTCGCGGCCCGACAGACACGTTGGTGGGTGGCATGGATGGAGAGCGTGGTGCCAGCAGCCGTCTCGCCCGTTCGGGATTCAAGCCTTCCATCTTGTCAAGACAAGCGTTTTCCTTGCGGGTGACGACGGGAGAGAGGCGGCCGGCTTTGAGTGCTGCTTTGTCCATTTGTCTCTGCTCAGAAGGCCCCGAAAGGGCCTGACAGTCCCAGCTTAGGACCAAATCCATGCTGCAGATGCTTGGTAGATGGCGATGTAGTCAAAGACACGGACTCGAACCAAGCTGTGGCAAATGGTGGCGGCCACTGTCAGCATAAGTGAAACTAAGGAGAGGAGAGAGAGACAAGGAGAACCAACCAGACATACTATAAGAAGAAGACGATTGGTTTCAAAGGCAGGGCCGAGTGTAAGTGGTCCACGGAAGAGAGGAACGCCAACGCCACGGAGAGAAGCTAGATTTCTAATGAGCCATGGGAGTGTTGAAGAGAGAAGAGGGAAGAGGGTAAAATGAAGGACACAAATTTCAGGCATCTGTTTGGCTCAAGTTTGGCTGGGCAACGCGCTGGAGGAAGGAGCAGATCATGGGCAGCTGCCTGCCAATTGCTTGCAAGGACTGGATAAATGTGAAGCCGGGACAAAAGTCTTTACTTGTATACAGTGACCGAGTTTTATCTTTATTGATGTACATGTATATAGAGATGAAATTTATTGATGTGCATGCATTTCGAGATGAAAATAAGAGGTCCATTCAACCTATACTATGGGCATGAGTGAATCAACTCGACGGGCCTTGGTGGCAGCGGCGTGAAGGCGGTCGGGTGGAAGCTTGCATATGTACCTACACGCGTATGAGACGCTTTGAGAAAACAAAACGCATGTGCTTATACAAATAGCAGGAAATTGAGCTTGCTATTATTGCTGCTACCTTATGCTATCAACGCGACTATTGATCATGGCTGGCTATTAGTAGACCAAATACTGAGCTTAGTAAGTAGGCGCCATGAACAATTTATCACAGAACCAAGCACCAAAACGGTGAAAGCGTTGACACAGAATACTACATTCAACTACACGATCGCATGCATGACTTGAACAGAGCTATTTGTGGCCGTGCATGTATGGATAATACGTGGTGGTGACTTATCTGCTAATGCACCAAAAACAGCTCGCAGCAATTCATGCGAGCTCTCACCCTGCATCGCTGCAGAGTCCACCACCAGTAAAATCTACCGCAATAGATACAACCCTCTGCTGTGATTCGCCACAGATAATCGCTCTCTGCCATCCTCCAACAAGGGTGCATGAAGCTAATCGCTGGTGTCAGCAGCCAGCGGGGAATCGGCCTAGAGAACGCGTCACGTCAGCACATGTCCCGAAACTGGAAAATGCTTTCTCCTGAGATGAGTCTTTGTTACACAAATGTCATGAGAAATAGCGCTGGCTACGATGAAAGGCCTTACGTTGCTGGTCATCTCTGCTGTGGCGGCCAAGGCCGCGCCGGCGGAACCCATCCTTCCAAATCATGACAGCGCAAAGGCCAACGCCAACCACATCTTTAACGCCATCCATTCCGCTGGCCGCCAGTGGGGATCTTCGCTGAATCATAATGGCTTCGGCTTCATGCCTGTGACACTTTCTGCTGGCACGTTGCTATACCATGGGGGCTACTCCAAAGATCCTCCCAAAGGCCTGGAGTGGCTGGCATTCGAGGTTGAACATGCAGAAAACTTTGTGCGAATGGCTCGACACCCGCCAATCCCGCCCAAGAGTCCTGATCATGACGAGCAGCCTCATGCGCCATCTTCTCCGCAGAAACCTCTTGGCCAGGTAGATACGGATGATGGCTCTGACCGTGATCCTGAAGGGAGAATCAGGGGCTACCTCCAGACGTACCAGACAACACGGGATGTTCAGCTGCTCTATGTAGACGGCTCAGGGGCGGCAAAAAGCCCCATAGGGACACTGGATTCGCAAGACTACGTCCTTTTCCCAAATAGCAGCTGGGAGTGGTACAATATTCAGAGCGAGATGAAACGCGCAACGGCCATGTGCGACATGATCACGAAATGGGGGTGGGCGGGCATCATGCGCATGGAGATTGGCTACGAGGTCATCTGGTGCGATTTCAAGTCAGATTCTCTGCATCATGAGTCGTCTGTACGGGGGTTCCTTCAAGAGGATAGACTGAAGGATGAAGAGTTCATAACCACGTATCTGTGGGCTCGCGCAGTCGCCGAGCGTTATGACGGACTCGGCGGCGATCGAGTCAAGGTGGACTTTTCATCCATGGTATCGGGATTCTTCTTTCCCATCAACATCTCCAATACTGACCCTGAGCGACCTGATCTTATACGGTTGAAAGCTGCGACATTAGAACATCGGTTGGACATTGGCGCCTATCTACAGAAAGTCTTTGTAGAGCCAAGACGGTTCAATGTCAACTGGCAAGGTGTTGTGGACATGATTGTTACCCGATTCTCCAAGCGGCTGGCCGCGATGGCCTCGACTAACATATCGACGGATATCTTCATTGGAGAACTAGAACGCGCTGTGCTCACATACTACGAAGCCCCTAGTCTGCCTGACGATGCCACAATAGCAGTAGATGACGATAAGAACAAAACGGCTGAGGCTATCGATCGTTGTTCTACACATTATCTGAAGTCCGCACAGCTATCCCGGCAGAAGTGGACTCTGCAAGACGGCTTGATCCACACTGCCCTTTCAGTTGTTGTGCAGCGTATTTGCAGCGACCTTTATCTGATGCGATCACTCCTCCTCCAAGCTGCACCAGATACGTCATCTGATGCATACTTCATTAACAAAGAAGTGAATAACATTGAGATGGATAAGGCAGTCAACCAAAGCCGCGCTGTTGTACGTAATCTTGTGGATGAACTGGCCTGGACTACATGGAAGAAGCCGCAGCTGTGCGCCGACAATGAAGTCCTCATGACTCCGATGTGGCCCTTTGGGAATATTGAAGATTACTATAATCCGGGCTGTGTGCCTTTCAACGAAATCACGGAGGATAGAAGAGGCTACTGGAAGCCGTATGAGAAGAGGCCTAGGGACTTTTAACGAATTATAACCACCTTTAGGAAATTGACATTTATAGCGCGGGAAAAGCTTGAATGTAATGACGGGAGAATATTTGCTATATATATTCATTCAATGCTATGCTTTCTTCTATGATTCAGCCGACAAATTAGACCTTGATGCCGAGCAACTTCTCGCTGATTTCCCAGATCCTCTTCTCTGCAGCCTCATTATAAGTCTGATCAACATAGCCCTTCCACTCTCCCTTATCCGAATCTTTCATGTGTACCGCAACTGAACAGTCCTCCAAGTACTTTCCTCTAGCATCAGGGGCCAGGACGTCGTCACTAACAGCCGCCCACACCTGTGTCGCAGCACCCTGCTCGTTAGTCTTGGAGATGGTCTTGGGCCAATGCTCCAACAATGCGTCAAGTTCCTCTTTAGCCCAGCCGCTGTTGTCGAGGAATGCAGACTCGAGAATAGCACCAGGGTGAACGCTCCAGGCCAACAGGTTCTGAGCACTATAGCGACGGTTGATTTCGGTGGCTGTGTAGATACCTGCAAGTTTCGCCTGGGAATAAGCAGCGATGGGAGTGTATTCGCTCTTCTCAAAGTACAAGTCGTCCCACTGCATGCTGCCCAGGCGGTGGCCGTAGCTGACGACCAGCACCACACGGCTGGGGTTAGATGCAGAAGCGCTGGAGAGCAGAGCGTCTTTGAGGAGGGAGAAGAGGAGGAAAGCGCCGAGGTGGTTGATGGCAAACTGCTTCTCGATGCCGTCGACGGTTACTTGGCGATCGGCAATGGTGCCGCCGGCATTGCTTAGGAAAACATTGAGCTTGCCACCGGACTGCTTCAGGAACTCGGCAGCAAAGGCCTTGATGCTGGCGTTTGATGCCAAGTCAAGCTCAAGAAAGTGAACGTTGGGCAAGTCGGCAATGGTTGAGAGTGCCGCCTTGGCCTTGGGAATGCTTCGGCCTGCCAAGTAGAGCGTTGCGCCAGTAGCGGCGAGGGCTCTGGCGCTAGAAGCACCAATACCGGTAGAGACGCCGGTGATGAGTATCACTTGTCCCTTGAGATCTTGCTTGCCGGCATCTTTGATGACCTGTTCGGCGGTAGGGCGGGCGTCCCCGGGGCCGCCGAGGTTGTTCCAGGCGTGAGCAGCAGCGTAGCGAGACATGATGAGGATATCTGGGTTGGAGTATATATATATATATATATATGTAATTTAAAAGATAGTATGAATTTGGCTTAGCGTTGACTCGGATGAAGGTCTTTGAAGGTGGTTTGAATGAAGAGATCGGATACACATCTCAGCACGTCCACTCCCCCCTTCTTATATCTTTCGTCTCTCTCAACATCATACTCCTTACTTCTAACAATCATCAAACATTTATTTCTAAAGTCCGTCTGTCTCTCTCTTTCGGCCTCATGATGCTTTAAATCCGCTACAGGCGCTCCGCCAGCGCCTGAATCGACTAGATTCCCGAGCATGCGATTTCCTATTCTGTGAACCAGTTGAGACAGGGGTGGATCCACTCTGTGTGTTCTACCAATGAACGCGCCGAAAATGCGAGCTGGCCAATGACATGTTAAGTGCGTCCGCAGATGTGGAGATGCTGGAACGATGGCGATGGCGCCTCGTAATCATTGTTAAGAAAAGCATCTCCATATTCATGCGGAGAATGGTTCGTTGTGAAAAGGAGCGCAGCATATGCCATGAAGTCGTAGACAACATTGAGGCATCCAACAGCAGACATGACGTGGGGCAAGGGAGAGTCTGAATGTGCCGGTCAAGTCAAAGTCCTCGGCCCATTTGTTAGCTGACATATCGTCGGCTTCTTCTGTTACCATTACGAAAAAGCTTGTTATAACAAACCCTGGCGGAATGCCAGGTAAATACTATAGCTATCGTTCAATTCTGGTCTTCAGCCTGTCTTATTCACACGGGTTCTAATCCCTGTCAAGTTTTATCTCTGCCGCTATATAATGCAAGCCACCACGTTGACACATTAACAACTTTTGCTATTATGCAACGCCCCTTACAATCACATACGGCCACAACTACCCGAGAAATCTGGATCCCGTCCGATCTCCGATCGATAAAGAGATGAGCGCCGCAATAGGGCCGTCGGAGACGACCAGTGAACTCCTGGCGTCGTATGTACTTTTCTTTCATTCTTCGTGTTTCATACCTCTTGTCTCCTCAAGTAGATAGGGGAGACGAGTAATATTAGCATCAGTCGTTTACCAATCTCATGGCACTCTATGCACCCCATGCCAATATTGACCATCACAGCTCTTAGTAACTCTATCCGCTACTATCTTTGGCACTGCTTCCTCTCTGTTCCCTCTTTTTATTTAGCAAATACTGCAACGCCAAGTTATTCCCATTTTTCCTCGCAGCTTGAATCGCCGCTGTCGTGATTTGGATCTCATCTCCTCTCTCCTGCAACAACATGTGCAAGACCGTCTTTTCCCTGTTAAATGCCGCAGCCAGGACCACGTCCTCTGTGATTTCAATCTCGCTCCCCTTTTCATGAAGTAGAATTTTCAGTGCGGGGAAAAACTCGTTCCTTGCTGCTGCGATGGCCACTTTTTTCGTGATCAATGTCTCGCTGCCCCACCTCTCAAGCAGATAGTTTAATACCGAGCGTTCTTTGTTCTGCACTGCCGCAAAGACCACTTCTTCTGTAATGAGAACCTTGTCTCTGTGTCTTTCGAGTAGGTACTGTAGTACTGACTCGCTGCTTTTTGTCGCTGCGGCAATGACGACTCTTTCTGTGATTTGAATGCCACCCTTTTCTCTTCCGAGCAAGCACCAGGCTGTTGAATCGTCGTATTTCTTTATCGCCTTTGTAACCATGTCTTCTGAGACCTCAACTTCTTTTTGGCAAAGCAAGAGAAATGTCGCTTCAACATTTCCTTGTTCGATAGCTTCCATAAGTAATCCTTCTACGTTTTCCGTATCCAGACTTTTCCGAGCAAAATGCTGATTGACTTTTCGTATATCTCTGGCTCTCTCTTCGGCTCCCGTAGCCGTTGGTCTAACCCTTCGGCTGTTTCTGAGTCTCCGTCTCACGAGAGATATGGCTATTTCTGGATAAATGGCCCTAATTGCTTCGACCACTTCCTCCGCTGTAAGCGAAAAACTCCCAAGTGATCTTAGTAAGTCCGCTGTCTTCTCCAGATTCGTGGCTCTGTAAGATTGGCTATAGCCTTTCCACATTGCTCCAAAGCTGCTTAGATCTCTGATGACGTTTTGGTATCCATCCTGCAAGTCCATCCTGGCCCAAATCATACACCAAAACTCAATTTCTGCCTCCCAGATATATCCAGCTCTGCCGTACGCTAGAGATAGTTTGCTCATACAGGCCAATGTACGTGGATCCGCTTCTCCGAAATCTCTTGTGTAAGTTTCTTTCATTTCTTTAAGCGTGTCAATGACAAGAGTTTTGTTGCTCCCTGCATCGCTCATGATCATAACTGCATTCCACAAACGAGTCTGTTTGTCAGGTTGACATTCTGATTGTTCGTGTTGGTCTCCGGGCACTCGGCTGCTCAACCATGTTTCATATTTTCCATCTGACATCTTGTCAGAGGAAGTTTCCCAATCCCATATGAGAAGAAGATCACGCGTAGACGGCTCTTGTGATGAATCGAAGTTTGCACTTTGCACTTCGTCATAATTTGGAGGCATGAAACCAGTCATTATTACCGAAAAATAGTCTGTATATGATCTGATAATCATTGGTTTTGCAGCGCCAGATAGGTGGCAGCAAATATCACCAACTTGGATCGGTTTTGCTGTAGCTTGAACTGTCCACGAGAGACTGGTATTGTCCTTTGTTTTAATATTCAAGATTTGCCTGTCGTTACGGTAAGTGCCCTCGGTTGATCGAACTGAAGTCACACTGCCAATTACATGGCCCTTGGCAGATATAACCGCTGCTTGCAGGTGTGCCCAAGTCTTGATAAGCACATCCTCGCCAAGTATAAACCTGACAGCTTGCGCCATAAGTTTGTCCCAGGAAATTGTGTAGTTCGGTACCAGTCCAGCGGTAGCCAGGTTGTCTGAACTCATACCCAGCAGAGCAAAGATTTTGTCGTGGCGCTCAGTAGCTTCTTGAGCGTGGTACATGTCTATGAGCTCGCCGAGAGGGCGTATATCCAATGATACATCGCCTGACATATTGAAGCTGTATTTCGGTCGGAATATGGAGCCTCTCATAAGATATGTTACTGAGCGTATATGGTCTGGGATGTCTGCGTAGGAGAGAAGCGATGGTAGCCCTAAACTAAAGGCATATCCATCAATCCTCGTAGAGCCACACATAATGACAATATTTTGAGCGGCAGCAATTTCTTGGAGCACCTATTCCATGAATCAATATACATTGTGTAAAGTCTTAAAACATGGGAACCTTACCCATATGCGCCGAAACCACGGTCGCTTCAGCATGGTTAAAATAGCCTGCCCATCAACGGTGTTATCGGAAGCCCTAGGGACTTCTTCATCCGCAGCCATTCGTATGCTCTTGAGAACTTGATCGCTGTCATCTGCGCTTTCGCCAAGCCAGACAGTCACACGATTTGCCTTGCAATATATCTCTGCCATATGCCTGATTTGTTCTCCGCGCTCTGTAGTGTTGCTTTGATCAATACAGATGGCGTCTATCCACAATACTCGCTCGATCACTCGATCTCGAAGGCGTACTAGCACTTCATGAAGGTTTGAAGTAATAGCCATAGTATTTCCATTTACGAAGACAGTGTGAGGCTTTTCTGAACTTCCCCAGACATATGACAAGGCTTCATACATATGTGGCCCATCCTCCAGCTCCTGCATGGGGTAGTCAAACAGTTGACACTGAAGCGGGGCATATTTATCACCATGAGGTAGCAGACGAAGCAAGCGAATATTGCCAGAGCTGAGCAGCTGAGAGTATTGATACATACTCTCAATGTCGTCTTGGTGGCCGTTTTGAGAGTCTAGGCTGGAAGATCCGCTTTCTTGATGTCCGCCATCCTGCACTGTCGACATCCTTGCCGCTATTATTGCCGCTAAGTGCTTGTAGCTATTGCATACAATGGTTGCGGAATAGCTATCACGAGCAAGAGGGCTCGGATGTTCAATATTCGGACTTTGAGGAGTGAGACTAGTTTATTGTTTGCTTCTATTTGCTCGCGCTGCATTCTCACTCTCGAAGGATCCAGGCAGCAGAAGGATCAACAAGGCGGGCTTAGCGAGGTTGCAGCCAATAAGAGCCATACTAGAAGAACAGGTACCCACACTTAATATGTAGTCGGGAGGGGAGGGATGAAACGCTCCACCGATGCCAGTCTCTTTATGTAATTTCTCAAGATATGAATGCGTTGAAGGGTTACGCGCCAAAAAGAGCTGAAAGTCTTCGTACCAATCCACGGTTTTTGGCTCACCCTACCATACTTAATATAACTCGGGAGTTCGACTTTCCATCGGCACAAAGGAAGGTCGTATTCAATCACCAAATCCAAATACAACATAGTAGTAACAGATTAAGCGACTGGTGAGAATGATAACATGTAAGAGTACTTAGAATATTGCTAAGAAGTACCAAGCTTCAGATAATATGGACATTTAAAGTGAATGTAAAACCTCAAAGCATGCACGTGTTTTCCATTCATGATATCTACCTGAAGCTGCTCTTCTCAAGGCCGATGTAGACGAAGAGATGGCGGACACGACTGGCGGCGGGGGCACCAGGAGTGTGCAGCCAGATATAGAAGGGATGGGTGAGCGATCCACCAGGGAATTGCTCGCTGAACAAAGCAACAAGATCCGTATGATAGAAGCATCGATCAATGAGCTTCGGGAGGAAATGCGCCGACGTTCTGGAGATTCCCAGTGAGATATGGGATGCAAAAAGGAGTACGAATGTTATTTGCTATATAGCTCTGAAAAGTCATGGGTAGCTGCGTTGCTAAATACAATCCGATGAGTCTTGCTAAGCCCATGGTAGAATGTTTTATTGATCTTACTCCTTGTGCTACTTCTTCTTGTGTTGATAAAGATCGCCATGTACTTTGAACGCAGCAGGTCACTCATCTCAAGTAAAAGGCCGTTCACTGGCATGTCGTGCTAAGTGCCTATTGAGCTTAGCCCTTGAAGAGAACTTTTCACCACAGACATCGCATCCATATAACTTTGGACCATGAAGACTCTCCTGATGTATATGTAAAGAGCGCTTTGATGTAAATGTTTTAGAGCATGTTGTACAGAAGTGAGTTACCGAAGAATGTTTGACCTGTTGATGTTGATATTGTCCTGCATATGTCCTAAAAGTCTTGTTGCATTCGTTACATTTGAACTGTTTGTCTTGTGTATGAACCTGGCGTTTATGGATTACAAGATCCTTTTTCCGTGTGAATGTAGTTGCAAATATTGCAGGAGAATGGACGTTCTTCGGAGTGCTCTGCCATATGTGCTTGTAATGCGCTTGGACTGACGTAGCCGTTTTGGCATATAGGACAGATGTTTAGATACCTGCCAAATATACTTAAATATAGTAATAGCAGTAGCAGTAGTAGCAGTAGTAGCAGTAGTAGCAGTAGTAGCAGTAGTAGCAGTAGTAGCAGTAGTAGCAGTAGTAGCAGTAGTAGCAGTAGTAGTAGCAGTAGTAGCAGTAGTAACAGGAGTAGCAGTATGTGATTTCTTGGCATATGAACGTGCCTGTTATGCGATTTTAATCCTTTCGCACTCTTGAAAGTTTGATTGCATGGATTGCAACTAAAAGTTTGATCTTCTGAGTGTGTTACCTGGTGCGCTTCTAGGCCGTATAAACTGTCAAATGTTCTGTTGCAGGTTGGACACCTATAAAGTGCGTCGTCCTCATGCATCCGAGAAGTTACATGTCGATCGTAAACACATTTGCCGCCAAATGTTGTGCCACATTGACGGCATGTTGTATTCCAATACTCTTGAATGGTTTCTTTCATGTTCTCAATATGTCTCTCCATCTGCGTTTTAGTCCCATGCGTTAAATAGCAGTGGGTGAAGGAGATGGCCTGGGCTGTTAAATGATTCCTTGCAATGACAACATTCCAACTGCAGGGGGACAATTTGGCCAATTGAATCATTTAACCAACGTTTGATTGAAATGAAAGGCATATCAAATGATACTTTTGGAGGATCAGGCAAGATTGATGTATCCCACTGGCCGTTGGCCCATATTGTATTTCCCATAGACAGGTCAATACGCCAAGAACAGTGATACAATGCAATTTGTTGTATAAGTTGTTTAGTCCGATCCCAGTCTACAGTAGAATATCGGAACATGGTTTTCTTTGTGAACCATGTGTCAATGGTAACAGTGCATTTGGTCAAATCCAAGTGTTTGCGCACATTAAATTCCCCCCCCGGCATGAGTTCAGAAATGCCAAAGATCATGCAATTTGCAGGGGGTGCTTTAAATAAATAGGCCCGCCAAGGGACAATTGGCAGGTTTCAACGATCTAGGAAGATGTAAAAACGAATAGCTTCTTGTGAAGCATTTGGTTTTGCCTGGCGTATGTTGTGGCGGCGATCGCAAAAGTGTGCGGCCATCCAGTATATTATAGAAACCTTGTTGACACCCTCTTCCCCTACACCTGCATTCTCAGCGTAAAAGTTGCAGCTGATTCATTATCCGATATTTCAATCACAGCGAGTGTTGATGTGATACCGGCATCGGGGGCTGCATCGTCTCCTGCTGTGTCAGCAGGTGTTGCGTTACCTGCCGTTACAGCATCGGGCTCTTCAACGTGCCTCGAGCGAAGATGAATTGGAGCGAAAGGACTTCGTTGTGTTTGCACGGAGCCCAAAAGCTCTCGTAAAGAGGTACATCAAACTGTTGCGCCACACCTAGGTCAGTCGCTTCCGAACTCTTCATTCTCAAACGTGCTAACATTTCTGGGTCGCCTTACTGCCTTTCACCTCGCCTTGTTCGACGCTAGATAGGTGGCTTTGAAGTAGATACTCTCTCCATATTCGCTAACGATGCTTCTTGCAGCATCGGAGATGTGTTAGGATCCAACACTTCTTCGGATTCAGATCCACAATGTCGAATTGTCGCATATGACACGCCATCTTCTGCTGAAGTGAGAAATGAGATGCAAGAAGGTTGTGGAATTGCATGCCTGGCAGGCCGGGGCAGAGGGGGTCGGTGACTGTAACTATAAAACCCCCTCCCCCTGGCTAAGGGTGCAATTTGCTAAGAGTGTGAATGATTGAGAAGCAAAAGGAAAGAAGAACGGGAAATAACTGTTAAATTATGGAAAACGCACGCAATAACGCACGTGAGCAAGATTTCCCCTCCGTCACGCGTCACCTTCGTGTTACACAGTAAAGAATGCGGTGAAGACAGCTTGTAGCGCCTTGTGCTACAGTAGGCGATACCTTTTTTTTTGGTTCCTTTTTATTCTCTTGCTACCAGACATGGAGTAATCGAGTGACTTTTGATTTACTAATCATACATGCTATGCGAGATCTATAAGACTGACTCAGTCTACTGAATCTACTAGATATACGAGATATACGAGATATACAGGACTTGCGAGATATACGAGACTTACGAGATCTACTAGATTCCCTAGATACCTATACGAGATACGAGAATGACAAACTTTGTTTCAAATGCTAAAATGTCTACAACCTTTCTTGCATTATCATACTGCGTCAACCGCATCACGGCAATGGCTTCTGGAATTTTGAGTCAAAATTGACACGAGTTTGTACGGCAGCGCATACTGGTCATGCCTGTGGCTAATTCAGCAACAAGTCTTTTTCTTATTCGAAAATTACAGTGGGGATACTTCGAAGCAAGATACACTTGATTGAATAGAGTAGCAGCGGAATGGTACATGTAGCGTCCGAGTCGACGTGTAAATAACCTAGGTAATGTATGAGGTAGAGATTACATACTATGATGGGTACACAAAGTAGTCGCCAAAGCCGTATATGATCAATCACACATGTGGTACATCATTGATGAAATATATATATATTGTACACCGCTTAATCTACCCATATCTACCATGATATATATGTAACGCGAAAAAAATGCTATCCATTGTTACCCCGTTGCACCGTAAACTTGCCAACCGCTTATTAATGTTAAATGAATTCCTTCCCCAATATAGAACCCACAAGTCTGACTATCCATCTAGAGGAGATTTGCATGTGAAAGTGTTGATCTGCGGCGATTTGAAAGCAGACATGAGGCCCTCGACTGCTGCATACGTACCCAGTCCACTGAGTGCCAGTGAGCCAAGGGTGTAGACAAGCAGGATGATGTGCAGCCACCAGAACCTGCCAAAGAATCCTCGGATGATCCGCTTGACTCCCGAATCTCTGCGACGGACGGTACCAGTTGTCGGGTCGAAGCCTCCTTCTCCTTCCATTGCATTTCTCTGTACAGAAAGTCCGAGGCCGATAAAAGCGGGGAAGGTATACGTAAATTGCACGAGGCACACAGCAGCGGTAACGCTCGTCAATCCGAAGAAATCGGGAATAGAGCCGGCAATGATGAATGCAATGATCCAGTAGATTGGGACCAAAACAGCCCACAGGATTTTGCCTCCCTTGGTGGTCAAAGGCGGGGCTTTGAATAGCTCCATGAAGACGTTGTTGTAGATGACTTTGATGCCAATATTGCCGTAAAGCGTTGCGGCAATGATACCTCTATAACAGCAGAGTTAGCGGCCAAGACAACAAAATAAGGATAAGAGATAACACGAACGTGATTACAGCAAGCATATTTGTGGCCGTCTGCCATCCATAGGGCGATAATCCTTGATAAGCGAGCTGTTGTCGTTAGTTGATTGTCTCGAACATATGTTGTCGTAGCATCCCGCGCCTCTAACGCGCAACGCCAGGGACGAACTTACTTGATTGGCGTACTGTCCTTGATAGTAGTAAACGAATGATCCATAGGACATGTAGCACGCATAAATAAAGAACTGAGCACCCCACATAGCCTTGAGGAAGTCCCGTGGTCGTTGAAGCTCAGCCATGAACTCAATGAACAGCTGGGCACCACCGTAGGCATAAACACCGTTCATGAGACCGTTGATAGATCCAACAAAGCCGTTTGTTGATGGCGGAACACCACCATATCGTTGAATAGGAGGATAAGTTCCATTGGCAAACGGTGCAACTGAGGTGCCACCCAGAGCAGCACCAGCAGAGCCGGCCTGCGCAGCTATGTAGTTAGGCTCGCTGTGGGCCATGACTCCCATGCTGATGAACATGATTAAGAGATTAATGACAACAGCAAAGTTTGCCAACAAGCCTAGTTTGTTGAGTGTCCGAATTTGTCCTAGGAAGAAACCCACAATGGCCCAGATCAAGCAGCATACAACGTAGCAAAGCCTGAACTTGGAAACTTGTGAAATAGAAAGACCATTACTGATGACGAGAACACCAACGCTAATCGTCAATTGAACAGCCTGGAGAAAGTTGATTATGTGGCGAAACCAACTTCCATAAAGGCGAAGTCCAATGTCACCGTAGTTCTTTACCGGAAACTCATACGAATCCAGATAGAGGAAGGCTTTCCACAGAAGATATCCGGAGCTAAAAGCATGTTAGCAATTGCCAAATGACCAAGCGGCACGCTCATATTGCTTACAATCCAGCACATATACCAAAAATAGTAAACAGTCCAATGCCTTGGCCCCATCCCATAGTGCCAATAGAGAAACCAACTCCAAAAGGACCCAAGATATCAGTTGTGATCAAGTAAAAGCATGCTGCGGCACTTGCAGAACGCAGAGCACGGCTGGCATTAGTCCACTCGAGGTCGGTAATTTCTAGGCGATGGCTCTCGTTGTCACCTGAGGGTGAAGCATTCTTGACCTCATTACCGGTGGGCTGTTCACCCTCAAGTCGTCGGGGTTCCGCTTTTGATGGACGTATGTAATCCTTCCAAGTAGAAGGCGGTGCTGTGGCTCTTAATTCATCTTCTTCGGCTCTTGCCTTTTCGGCGTAGTACATATACTCCTCGATCGTAACGCTAGAATCGTACATAGGGCGGTGCTGAGGTTTGATGACGGCCGTGACAGCACCATCCTCGGGGCCAGAGGAGTATTCCTCTTTCTCGGAGCCCATATTAATGACTGTGATATAACAAACACAAAATATGTTATGAAGTGCAAGAAATGATGTAACAAAGGGTGTTTAGGGATTGGTATTGGGTAGGTCTTTAGTCCCGAGAAACGTGGGACAGTCTTGAAAACGGGCTTCGCTCGTGTGAACTCGCAGCAAACTAAACCATGGGGAAAAGGGTCAGAAGCTCTCTGGGGAAAGTCAGGGTTTCTGGGGAGATATATGAGTCTACTCGGCGGTATGACATCTTCTCTACATCGGTGACTCTTATCAGTTGCCACGGACTGGGACTAACTAGAGACGGGAAATGTTTGGAAGCATTCCACCTTCTGGGGCCTGTGGCGATGCCCACCTCCAGGAACTATGGCTTTTCCTGGAGCCCATCCCGTTGACAATCGTCGACAGCATCAATGACAGGTGTGATTACCAACCAGCTACTGACTGTTACTAGTGGAAGAGAAACGCCGAATATCATGGCATTTGCCCGAGAAGTCTTTTGGCCCACTAAAAGTGATAGGTGAGTCTACTGAAACAAGTTAAAGAAAGGGCGTATTTAAGAGCATTCGAACAAAAGTCCTCAAGTTCCCAGACAAAAGTCCCCCAGCTGCAGTCGATCTTACCGAGAATGCCGGCACTCATACCAGTGTCCGGGGTCCCAGGTTGCACTCCGAGCCCGGCAAGTTGAAGCTGTGGCCAATCTCTGTATTTAGTTACCTAAAAAATATTTTCCTCGCGGAGGTTTAGCCCATTTTAACTGGACATGACTAGCACATCGAAGATGGATTTTTGTGGAGAGGCATTCGTAAACCTATCATGGTATTCGTATCATGCGTGGCTTATGCATGATCCTGACTACTTGACGGGATGCTTAACTTTGCTGTTTTGGAAGCTGACGTCGAACATTTCCAGAAACTCAGGTTGCATCCGGGAACTTGTTTTTTTTTATAACTACATCTTTAGGCCGCTTGGCAATTGCTTGACAGGCCGGGTAGTAAGCGTTACCAAGACACTAGCATCGGTTCCATGCTCTGATCACCGGGTGCTGTGCAGCGTGGCGTTTTCCATTCTCCGAGAAAGCCGTCATCCGCGGACTTAGTAACTGACAGGCCACCAATGACGCCACTGAAGAACACTGACAGTGGAGAAAGCCAAGTCGGTGAGGCTCAAACGGTAGCCTTTTCGGCAGACTCCGAGCTCGCTGGTTACTGTGGCTTGAAAGCGATGTCGCCAAGGACCTTAAGGCGGCCCGGCATGGCCGCAGGGTTTAGACTGAATAAGTTCTCCGCCGTGCCACGTTGCGGCTGAGTCTGAGTCTGAATGCGGCAATAATTCGGAGGAAGCGTACTCGTAAACTCGCCTCTGTTTACTTAAAGCTAGGAAAATTTTTATCAGCCTCAGCACACTATAGAGTATCTAGATAAGCTTTTCACACTGGAGTATTGAGATGGCTTGGATTCCGCAGCAACACGGCCAGAGATAAAATTGTGTTCTTATAGCATTTGTTTTCCGTTTCTCGTTGGAAGGGCTTAGTGTATGCTGCGGTCAGCGTTGGAGAGTCATTTACGGACCAGTGGTGAGAAGGCGGTTAGTCAATTGGAAATCACCCGCTTATAATAGAGCTCATTACATGGTAGTTACTGCAAAGCAACACAGCAGGCAATGGAGAAGAAACGGACTTTATACGAGTAGCTTCTGACGATGACTTGCTAGCTCCCACTTACTAGTCTATCCAAGCACCACAACTAGGCCTAATACTTATAACAACCCTGGATGCTCCGCTTCGGAAAATACTCTGCAGTCCGGTAGTGCCGACTCGATTCACAGCACGGGTTTTATCATCTCTTCCAGAACCAAAAACCGAGGCCCGCCTCCCGATCCGGCCCACTCTCGGCATGGCATATCCGGCCTTGGATGGCGTTATTGCCTTCTAGACTGGCGCACCAGAAAGCCTTGACTCAGATTCTCTCAATGATAAGCTAACGGCACCTACGAGAGCCGTAAAACGGCGACAAATCGTAAAGACACATCTTTAGCTACTCGACATATTTTCATCTAATGGCGATATTTATATTGAGAGGTAGCTCTACAACTCTGACATATGACTGTCGTCTTGTGAGTGATCGTATAAGCGCTTTGAAGCGAGCTTTGGCAGGTTTATATGCTTCGCAAGGCAGAGGCGTTTACAGTAGTGAAACGATCACCCAGTTACCTTTATACCTGTTTATGCGTGAGCAAGAAAATGGTAATAATCACCTTGGAACGTATTACCCTTTGGCTTGTTGAGACTACAAGACAACAAGTGCGCTTGAAATTGAAGTAGCAATATAGGCGCATGGAACCATGGGCTGGCTGAAACATCGGAACAGCATGTTAAGGCATAAAAACCAGATTGAACCCCCAGATCTCCATCTCATGTGAAAACTGGGATTCCATGTCACGATAGTACACCCCAGACCCCAGCCTCCCCGCTCACTATTGAACTGTTGGCGGAAATCTTGGGGTATGGCCACTTCCAAAAGTACCCTCACTGATTCAAACACACGATAGTAACTTTAGCTATGGCTGTGGCGAACTGGATTCATAATATCCTAGTTCGACAAGGCTTGCTCGCATTACAAATTGCTAGAAACTTCGCTGCATAAGAGATGACCAAGGTCTTCACAATTGATATGTCTAAGCAGAGACATGTAAGATAATACTCTCATGAGGTAGTTAAGCAGCAAGAATCCTGCGGCGATTGCGGCCTTATTTGCACTGGTTTTAAGAGCTAAAGTGGTACCAGTCCACCTCCATTTAGAGAAAGAAAAGAGGCCAACTGAGTCCCTGGGGATTCTTTTGTGAATTACGTAAATTGATACTTGGTGACAACTGACACATTACCATTCGCGCCCACTTCATCGTCATGTCTGTATTGGGTAACTATTTAGCAAGTTAACTCAAACAGATGTCTCTTTTTGGTCCTTGCAAGAACGCTCACTGTTCAAGATCTCGATATCCATTCATGCGAGGTTTCCCGACACTTCAGCCCGGCAGTGGCACACTCTGAACAGATTATGAAATCTGCACATAATTTGCATTTGAAGGATCTCGCACCAAGCTGAATACATCGCGTGCAAATATCACACCAAGGAGCGTTCGGATCAAAAGCATACTTTTTCGATGGAGCTGAAGTGTCAATATGGCTTTGAACCTCCAGTTTCTTTTCAGCAGCTGCAAAGTCCACAAGCTTGATCAACTCTTCATTTTTGCTTCTGTGCGCCCAAGAAGAGATTGTTCGTCCAAAGCCATCTTCATAGTCAAGTACAATTTGATCTATTGCCAACAGCTGCTTTACAACCTCCAAATGTTGATTTCGCACCGCAGCGAATAATGCTGAAGAGCCATAACGGTCTCGTTTGTTAACATGAGCATTTTTTGAAAGTAGTAACTCAACTATATCACCGTATCCGCGCATTGCGGCGTTGAAGAGAGGTGTTCGTCCTTCAGCTTCTGTTTGGTTTATGGTTCCTTGGTCAGATGTGCGCAGCTGATCTTTGATGACCTCATATTGTCCATATAAGGATGCCACATGTAGTATGTTATCCCCAGCTTGATCCAAAATTGTTAAACCCGCATCTAGTAAGACGTGTAGAGTTTCGATATGCCCGCCTTCCACCGCATAAAACAGAGCCGTATATCCACGCGAAATGGCTGCATGTCCATCAGCTCCTGCTTCAAGCAGCATACGAACGACATCTGCGTGCCCTCTGAAAGCCGCAAAGTGAAGAACTGTCCAACCATCTTGATCAATTGCAAGGACATTAGCGCCACCCGAAAGGAGAAGCTTTATTGCATCTGAACCACCCTCCTCAGCGGCATAAAACAGCACAGAGCGGCCTCTGTTGTCAATGGCGGCGACATTAGCCCCTTTATCTAATAGAAATCGCATAGTATCCAGCTGAAGGGCCTTTGACGCTCCCATCAGTGGAGTGATCCCACTTGGAGTTGGAAGAGAAATATCGACGCCATAGCTAAGGAGGACCTCGAGAATTCGAATATGTCCGAGGCTGGCTGCAAAGACTGATGGAATTAGAGCTGAGCGACAGATGACTGCAGCGTAATCCGCTCCATTTTCGAGCAAAATGCTCACGACTTCAACATGGCACCCCGCAATAGCCGTGCATAATGGTGTTTCGTGTTCAGTAGTCTTGATCTCAGGGTCTGCACCATTTTCGAGCAACAACCGGACAATTTCAGTCTGTCCACGGTCTGACGCAAGAAAAAGAGGTGAGCATCCAGTATAATCTGTTAAAAGTTCTTGATTGGCTCCTGCGGCGAGGAGAACCCGGACACAGTCCACTGAGCCGCTGACAGCCGCGTAGTGTAATGCGCAGAGACCATTATCATCAATCGTGTCTAAATTGGCTCCATTTTCTACCAGCACCTGAACTATCTCAGAGTTCTTGTTCCAAGCTGCGAAGATCATAGCTGTTATACCGCCGCTATCTCGTATGTTCACGTCAGCCCCTTTTTCAATAAGCAGATGGACTATCTCACTGCTATCGAGATGAGCAGCAAGTGTTAGAGCGGTGCTCCCTAGGTCGCTAACAAGATCGGGGTCAGCTCCATAGTCAAGGAGGAGCCTCGTAGATTCCAAGATGTTGAATTGAGCTGTAAAGTGAAGTGGCAGCCACTTATAATACTTTCCCGCCAGTTTTATCTGATCTGGGGCTGCGGCAATAAGCAAGCGTGCCATGCTGATATCATTTCTCTCGAGAGGGAAATACAAGGGAGGGTGCCCGTTTTCATCAACAGCTATGACATTAGCCCCATATTGTAAAAGCAGCTTAGCTACCTCGGTCTGTTTTGCTTCTGCTGCGCTGTGTAGAGGCGTGGCCTTGCACGAGTCGACGCTGTTGACTTCCGACCCGCTCTCTAGCAAAAGTCGAACCAGACTTAAGTGACCATTGCGAGCTGCCAGATGTAGAGGAGTTTGTCCGCTCCAAGTTGCCAAGCTGATATCTGCACAGGATGATATTAATAATTGAGCAATCTGTTCGTTGCCGTTACTGCAAGCTGCAGCAAGCGCAGTTTCTCCAAAAAGAGATCTATCATCTAGATGATCCGAATGTTTATCGATTAACCTCAGCGTAAGGTTCGTTAAGTTGAGCTTTGTTGCATAGAATAATGGGCTGGGTTGCTTAAAGGACGTAAGATTTTCCTGGTTTTTATTTGCGTCTTCACTCCTGCTGTCTTCCGTCGACTTCTCCGCTCTACTCTTTTCTTTCGAGTCGTAATGCTCTCTCCAACGTTCCCAATTAGTCAAATCATGACTATCGAATAACGCATCTATAAATCTATTCATCAACACATCCTCTTCATCACCCTCTCGGGCGTGGTGAGACCAAAATTCCGCTGCATAATCTCTAAAGGATCCCTGTACCTGACTTGAATCTTTTGAAGCACATAATCCCCATGCCTCTTCGTATTGGATATATCGAAGGCAGATTTGTGCGATAGTAGTGTTTTCTCTTTTTTCGTTGGAATGTCTCAAATGTTCGTTTTGGATAAGAATGCTTCTAGAGTGTGGGTCTTGGTAGAGATAGTATTGTTTTATAGAAAAGTGAGTGAGTCGCACAGTACTCGATCCTGAATCCAACGAGTTTTCGTAAATGTTCAAAAGTGAGCCGCAAAGGCCGAGTATTTCGCTGTTAATATATTCGTCGTCAATCGTGTCTGGAAGATCGTCCAGGGGATATTCATTGAAGTCGATACTGATCAGTGCGGCTTCTGTAAGTTCAGCGACTGTCAAAGGCCTTGCAGCAAATGTAACCCAGCGAAGAAGTGTGAAAGCTCGGGTTCTCTCATCTTCCGGAAGTTGTGACATTCTGGCCCAGTTCCTTTGGTACAGACCTTCTAAACCAGAAGGAGTTTTATCAATCGTGTCTTGTAGCTGTTTCAAATTTTTCCATCCTCGTAAAGAATTTTCCTGCAGCTTCAGCCAAAGAAACTGCCCGGCGCACTGCGTTGCCATTTTTTGAGATATCTCGTCCTTAATCATCTCGCTTTTCTTAAACAACTTTTTCTCAACGATACTTCTGGAATAGTTCTGAATATCGCTATTGATATCATCTGGGCTGATTCTGTGCTCAAGTATCGCGCTCTCCATGTTCTGAATGCCAGCTCGAATTATGGGCTCATCTCTGCTAGTGATGATGATTCTTGTCGCTGAGTCGGCAATTGCATGATCTAGATGCTCCAAAAAGTGTGTTATAGAGTCAGTGGCGCGGATGCTCTCTTTTCCCAGCCAAGTGCACTCGTCAAGTCCATCAATTATGAAGATACATCCTGGAAGAACGTGGACTATTTCTTGTAATAGTCGCATAGTGACAGTCCGAGTCGCTACGGATCCAAGATGAGTCTCTCGACTCATGCGTACACAGTCAAAGATAATCTTATTCTGAAACATGACGCTAGAGATCCAACATCGAATGGCCTCGTATGGATCATTTCGGCTCTCAAAGTCAGACGAGAAGAAAAAGTAAGCCACGGGGGTTTGAGCTGTTGCCAATAGATGCTCGACTATTCCGGCACGGAGTATGGTCTTCCCAAATCCAGCAGGCCCGTTGATCCATAACAATTTGGATTTTGCCTCGTCTTCTTGGAGAGAGAACCATTGCTGAAAAATTGGCCGTTCGAGGATCCAACCACAGGTATCGTCAAGTCTCGCCTGCAGAGCCTCTTCAAAAATCTCATTGGATGGGTGCTGAGACAACCAGGTGTGTAACTCACGCAGTATCTCTGTCTCTGCCTTGTCTTCTAGTTTTTTAAGGACAGTCCTCATTTCGGAAGCCCAAGACGCATTGCCAGCCACAGTCTGCGAGCCATCCTGAACTGCAAGTCCTATCATAAGCTGTGGCAAGGCGTCGATGGGAACCAGATGGTATAGGTGCTGGATCAGTCGCCCAAATAGCTCTACTTGTCCCTCCCGTCTGCTTTTGCCTCTCAGTGCCCATGCAAGCTTCGCCACTCTTGATTTGGTGGTCGTTCGAGGCAGCTCGACCAAATTTCTAGTGAAAGAAGGACCATTCTCAGTACTCGGCTCATTCCGCCGATTACTTCCATCTTGGCTTATTTTTCCCTGCTGATTGTTCAAAATTTCATGAGCCGCGTTGATAATTTGGCGCACAGTTTGCAGCGTGTCCGGATCTGTGAGAGCTTCGTGCCGCCTTTCAGAGAGATCTATCGTCTCTCGACTCAGCCCAAGAGCTTTCCCCCACTTCTTGAAACGCAGTCTGTGGGATGCGAACTGAATGGCCAAAGCACGCTCATCAGCGCTAAAATGCCTGTAGTCGTCGATCTTCTCGATGATGTCCAAGCAGGTTGAAAACAGGATGGGGAGGTTGATGGCTCCAAGTGCGAGGTTTATGGGGTTCATAACTCGTGATCAGCCAAGTCAGAGAGGGGCAAAATGGTTGAAACGCGAGGAGGCTGTGTGTGTGTGTCTGTTATTAGCTAGGTCGTGGGTTCAATTTATACCGCGCCTGCACCTAAGAGGAGCCCCTCCAGTGTGACCAAAAAAGCCGGTTATAGCCCGAATTTTTAGCATCTGTAGGATATAAATCCGCAACGCGCATATCTCTCACGTGTATTACTATTAGGGTTAGGGATATGAGTGTCATGAAGTGTACAATGTATGAAACAAGGCGCACTATGAGAATCGCCATTGTGGCTGTCTAACGGCAATGAAGCTTAAAAATTAGCGGGTTAACCCAATTCTGACAACATGAGAACATCCGGTCCAAAACGTCACTCAGGGGCTTTAGTCTAGTGGCTATACATTGGCAATTGAACGGATTAGAACGAATGATGATAACGAATATTAGAATCTAGCACTAAACGAGAAATGGATTTTCTGTTGGCTTCTGTGATGCAGAATGGCAATCTCAATGGTAATAGAAGCAAGCGTTCAGTGTCTACTGCTTCTATACCGCAATCTGCGTCTCCCCGGCACTAGAATAAGTAGCCATACCCTGCCAGCCTTTCCTGGATCCTACCGCACTCAAGTCCAGATGTTGGAGCATTTTCTGGGGCTTCGCGGCCAGGTCGATCACAGCAATGCTAGGGCCATTAGTAAGGCTGTATAAATAGGTTCTATCAGATGCGCTGTCGAAAGCACCAACATCACTTGCGGGCAAAGCAATGGTGTCCATGACGGCACCCGTACTGGGGCTCACGACAGTGATGTTGTAATTGCTTGCGGACAAGACATATGCGCTGCTGAGTTCTGCCACATACACGCCCCAGCAAGCGAGCCCTTCGTTCGACGGAAGTGCAACTGTGTGTTTGACCGTCGCCTGCAAGCTGGAGGACACTGAGAGAATGTATGCAACTCCCGCGGCATCAGTAAGTAGAGCTGTATCATCTGCCCCTAAAAAGTTGAGGCTGAAACTCAGAATGACCCCCGATGGCTGCGAAATTGTCGCAGTCCTGGAAACTTTGTTACCAACTACCGGCCACGCGTAGATTGAGCCCAGAGTTGGACTGGCTCCTGCAGAAGAAGGAGGCGCGCCCTTGATGGAGACAAAGAGACCTGTTGAAGACGGATTGAACCTGATATCCGAGACAGTTAGGACGGGGCCACTCGGCGGCGTCGTTTGCTTGACAGTTTGAGTTATGTCGCGAAGGCTGCTGTCCAAGGCCGCGAGGCCGCGAGTCTCATCAACCGAAAAGCAAGCGACCCCAGCCCTGATTCCACCATTGAGAACACAAGCTATGGAGAGTTAGTTTTTCTCATTTTAAGATGCCCAATACTATGTAAACATACCAGTGTTAATTTTCTCAGAGTAGGCTACCGAGACTGGGAAATCACCTAGCGTACTAGCAGGCTCACCAATGAGTGTGAGATGCTGAGGGTTGCTGGAGTCGATTTTGAATAACGACAATGTGTTGCTACCAGCATTGACAACAAAAAGAAAGTTGCCGGATACAACAATCGCGTCGGCAGAGAACAGGCTGTCTGGTCCTGAAGATCCAGAGTTATCAGGAGGAGGAGGGTTCGTAGCAACCCACTTTCCATAAGAGCCATTCCCTTTGGTAAAAGCTCTCACGGGATTAGACAGAGTGCCATTGCTCAAAATGCTTAAAGACACGACCGAAGCACCACTTGGGTCATTATCAAGAAAATAGGCAGCGCGTTGTGCTGCTCCTACTTGCAAATCCAAGTCCAAAACAGGAAGACTTGAAGCCGAGGAGAGCGTCAGCCAAGAAGCAATAAGAGAAGGAATAAGCATTGTGTGAAGATTTTCGTTTGAGCTACTAGGATATAGAAAGAATGTCCTTGCTCTGTCTCTTCATCAATCGAGTAAAAGCTTGGTGAGGTGCGAGACTATTTATACACATCCGTTGACCCATGAATACAATGCCATTGTACCAAGGCTAACAAATATCAGACACATTTCATCCTGAATCCATATAAAAGTGGAGTGACTTACACATCACTCTATATCCCAGTCATTGTATAACTGTACATATCTCCTCTACTGCGAACTAAGAATACTATCTATATCAACATGAAGCACCTAGTAACTGAATTATCCTAAAATCTTCCATTGTATTCAATTATACTCATGCTCCAAGTAACTCTAAGATGAGTCTCCTTAAAATGACTCGATAATTCCGCAAATAGCATATGACATGATAATTGCTCAAGTTTTGGAATCAATTATAGAATGTCTAATCAACGCTAATAGTAGCTCTTGAAATATTACCAGTGGAACAACCCCTATGATATACCGATAGCCTAAATTCGAGGAAATTCCCGTCAGGTCCAAGGAGCCATACTCTTCACTGATGATTGTGCAGCCTACTGACTAAAAGGAGAGTTGAACGTCATACTATTCAATTAAATATTGCATCATGCATGCTAATAATGGTTTGCCCAGTATTAATCGAGTGCGTCTTGTGTATTCAAATCAAGGCCTCGCTTGTTTGTGTTGGAGATATGTGGAGTAGATCAGCCCCTAAATGGTAGCATGCGTATGCCGCAGGTGCCGCAACCAGGGGATAAAATATATTAGTTGAATCCTATGTAAGCAAAAGATTGCTGCTGGCTGTGTTGCCCTATAACTCATTATTTCCCGCAAACGTCTCTGTATTCACCGCCATGGCTGCAATACTACCCAAATTACACGTATAGATACACTTAGGGCGTTTAGAGTGCATGATCGAAGTGGAGACGGCGTGGGAGCTGCCCATCTTAGAATAGATCTTGTGCCTCCAGGTGCTTAGCTTTATAAGATCACTTCTAATTTGCATTCTGCAGGTGGGGGGCTTGTAAATGGTTACTCTACTACTATATAACTACCCAATTATATATACAATGGTAATTGTACCCTTCAATTGTGTTTGGGCAAACTGTATCCTAATCAATGTTTTGTTATCCCTACCTATTACTAATAGCGCATCGCAAGCTCTGCGCTGTAGGTTGCCGGAGACGCATTTACAGCCATTCATATATACATGTAGCTTGGAGTAACTAAGAACCAGCATTGAGCTAGCTTTTCCTTTTTTAAATATTTTGCGTTCATGTTTGTGACAAGAATACTGTTGAATTGTTTACGTTATCAGAGCCTTGCTCTCGGCTCTGAGCTGGATAGAACAACTGTAGAGCGGAGATGTCACTAGGTAGGCTTCCTATAGACATCATGCATCCATGTACGTCGATGGCAATGACGTTACGGGAAGTCATGTAGATGATTTGTTTGGGCCGGAAACAAAAAGAGCGCACTCCAGAATGGGCTACCCTGTTCGACTGAAATGATGTTTTGGCCATTGTGCGATAGCTATACCCACAGGCCGTCATTATCGATAATCGATCCGGAATAGTGAAGATTCTTTTTTTCCTACAACAGCCAATGCTGTCCCGCTCCAACTGTTTAAGAGGTGACCTCAACAAGATGATTGGAGAATTCTTGAAGGTGGAGTCCGAATGCCAACGCTCTTTACGCCGCAATTCGTGGTGACTTCGCTATTTGCACGATATTAACATCTCGCCTTCAACCAGCATCATTAAATATACAAGAACGTGAGCTCTCTCAATTAAGAAGCTAAGAATAGAATGGCGCCAATATGGCGACATGGGCTGCTCTAAATATGCCCAGACTCAGTTCAACACAAAACATACATCGACGTTCCTTTGGACCGAGCGTGCATTAGCTCTTAACCATAATCTCTAGATAACCTCTTAGATCCGTGGTCGGCAATCCCAGCCGTGTATTCGCAAGGGCATCTTGGGGCACTGAGATGTCTCTCTGACCTTGAAACAGAGCACCTCTGATAATACCTTCGATGCCTTGCTTTGGGTTACCGCCTGCAAGCAATCTCCAGCCTTCTTGGCGCAGATTCTCAGCATCGACGTAAGATACACGCCATTTTGTCCGGGTAATGTCCTCTAAGGCGGCAAGGATCTCTGATTGAGAAACGATGAAGCTCCTAATCGACAGATATTGGTTGGTACTGTCCGCAGGTTTCTGCAAAACGGACACCACACTCTGCGCCATGGTAGGAATTGTTGTGGAGTCAAAACGAGCTTTACCAGTGTCAAAGATCGTGGCTGTTTGTTCTGACGCCGAGAAGCCCCAGGCCCCGGAGCGAATGCCCTGGTTATCACTTGCGTTAGCTGCGGCGACGGGTAATCAGATACGATATTTGCTGCTCACCACATCAAGCAGTGCGCCTCCAGAGAGACACGTCCAGCTGAAACCCGGGTGCAATTGACACTTTTCCTGAAGATAACCAATCAACTCAGTCTTAGGTGCCATGAGCTTCTAGAAGTCTTCAAGTGGCTGAGCAATGCTGCTAGAGCCATATTCGCTCGGAATAAATCGCCTGACCCCGGCCTGAATTGCCGCGTCGACCATGCCTTTCTGAGCTGCAATAGGTGGCCCAGCAGCCACGGCACTCACCACAGCCTCTTGGCCCGTGAAGATCTCAACAAGTGACTCGTAGGTGTAGTCGCTAGTCGCGAAAGTCGCACCGTTGATTTCCTCTGGATTGAAGCTTGAACTCCGAGTCACGACTTTGACGTTGAAGCCTGCGTCGATCAAGGCTTTAACAATTGGCCGACCAACTTGGCCTGTCCCCTATACACCAAGAGTGCTCAGTACATGAATTATGACGATGGAAGTACGAGTCTTACGCCGAGAACTGCAATATTGTGAAAAGTTGCCAGTTCCTTGAAGTTATTAACAGAAATCTGTCAAGTTATTGTCACTGCTGATTAATAATAGATGAAGTATATTTGAGGATTCTATCTTCCATGAGCTTATCGCGCCCATCATTTATACCGACGACAACTGCAAAAAGCCTTTGACGAGGCCACCAGCTATTACCGAATATAGCATAAATTACGTATGCCAGACAGCCTATTCAATGACGCAAGCCTGCGCTCTTTGGAATCTTGAATGCTCGAGCATAATCTGTTGCAACTCTACGCGAAACAATCAGCCCTAGTTTGAGTAGGTTGTCAGTCACAGCCACCTCGCGACGTACTCCGCATTCAGCTCCGCATCGTCCGATTAATTAGTTTGTAGCCTTCAGCAAGAACGCATAATAAATACATGAGTGCGTTCTTGCCCAAGATTCTAGAGCTGTTCTTTCTTGCAACTATCATTGCTCAATCATCAGACCTTTTCACGACACTCAATATGGCGGCAAGCACTTACCATCCATCGACAATGCGCGCTTGGACGTTCAGCAGCGGTGGTGCACCAGAGCAGGTCTTATCATTCAATTCGTCCTTGTCTGCGCCCGCAACCCCAAAGGGCTCAGACGTCCTGATCAGAATATCACACGCTTCACTCTCTTCTCCTGGCTTGAATCTGATGAGAGACATTCCGTCTCTCTTAAGAAAAAACGCAATACCGGAGCTCGACTTTTCTGGACGGGTGGTCGCGGCAGGTCCTGCTGTTCCAGCTGAATTCGCTTCAGGAACGGCTGTGTTTGGTAGCGTTTCCAAGTTGGGCAGTATCGTTCACAATCAGGGAACGCTGGCGGAGTATATTGTGTTGAATGTTGATTGTATCGCCGTCAAGCCGACCAATATGACATTTGCAGAAGCCGCTTGTTTAAGCTGCCTTGGACAAGTTGCACTGGAAATGGTCCGTCAGGCTAAGATAAAAAAGGGCGATCGAGTTCTTGTCAATGGAGGTAGTGGTGCGGTGGGAGCAGCCGCCATCCAGCTCTGTAAGGACTTGGGCAGTTTTGTGGTGACAACGTGCTCCACCAAACACGTCGATAGGATGAAGCAGACTTTAGGAGTAGATGAGGCGAGTGCATCTGATTTCATATCTGCTACTGACAACAAAGAAATGGCTAACCTCTTCTCGTTCAAGATGCAGATTATTGATTACTCTCAAGTCAACTCTGTACCTACCGCCCTTGAGACATCTTACCACGCGAGCCAATTTGACGCAATCCTAGATGTGGTAGGTTCCCAAGAGCTGTTTCGGCGATGTCCAAAGTATCTCAAGCCTGAAGGCTTGTTCATCAACGTCGGCGACGGCGACGCTCAATCTGGTCGGCTTGGTTTCATTCTACGCACACTTCGAAATTTGTTTCAACCGGCCATCTTAGGTGGCATACCGAGGCGATATATGACGTTTAGCGCGCCTCTGAGCGGACAAAATGCGGCGCACCTCGCAGACTTGGCTTCGAGCGGCAAGCTGCAAGTGTTGATTGACTCAACCTTCTCATTAGAAGACGTCATTAGCGTAAGATTGACACCGGACGGCGGCGGGTTATATATGCCTATACTAACACGGTTTTTAGGGATACAAACGCTACAAAAGCGGCCAAGCTCAGGGCAGAGTTGTTATTGAAATAGCGAATATGGATAAACAAGGTCAATAACGTCGTATTCTGTTAGCACTGTTAGTTAGGATTCTCGTCGTACTACTCGTCCTACGACACGGTTGAGATATTATGTCTGTGGAATCGCGCAAAGAGCCTCTGTGGGTGGTTTATACTGGTTTCAATGCTATACTGATAGATTTTTGTATGATTTGATGAAGAGCATGATGATGCAGAACATATAATAATGTCTGATTGGAGATTTGCCAGTTATTATATTACTGGCTTGGCGAGCAGCGACTTAATCAACTCTTCTTTACACTAAATAGATGCATCTATTGATGCAAAGAAAGTTTGACATATTAGAGAGGGATATCAGTTACTAAAAATCTGATACAAAGCAGTGATGCTGTTCAATTTGACCTAGAATTGGTCCAGGGCCCGAGATGGGAAACTCAAACATCGACTGTATGACAGAGTCTCAAACTCATTAACCAATTCTGCGGAGCGGAGATTAATTCTCCGCATGTCAGGAGCTTAATAAATCCAGGCGCCTAGCCACGTCGCTGCAATTAAGAAGCGATCGTCGAATTTCACAACAAAGACTAAAGGTGAAGCTCTGCCGATTGGTTGGATCGGCCTGCCAAGTTTTTTTTTTTTTTTTTTTTTTTTTTTTGCCTTTTTCGGAAGCTGTACTATTTTAGGTAGCCGAGCTAAAAGCTCACCGAATGAGCCGCAGCACATTTCTCCCAGAAGCCAAGATAACTAGAGATTTATCACAAAACTCTGGGTCCCCCCAAGCCCCCTTACCCAGGAGCTCCATAGGGCTCCTCTATCGCTTGGGGCCTGCTGAAGCCGTTTGCAACAAAATCCGAGTGCCAAGCAGGGCTGCCTCATATCAAGCCATAGCACCCGCCACCCCTCATAATGGATGGGAACTTCACATTCCTCTCTCTTGTTTCTCGGTAGATTTCAGCCCCCATCTATCTAGGTCCAAACCTCGAACCTCGAATAGTTCTTGCCTCTTCGCCCATCCTGCTACAGCTTTCCATATCCTGCTACCTTCTATTAGTATGTAAAAATATATAAGGCACTTCACAATCTATTCATTTATTTTACAGATTTCATATTAATGAGGGATGTTGAATAGCCGTTTCCCAAATCAATGGTCCCGAGCATTTCATTTATATAGAAGACATAAGCAACATCTCAAAGTCTTTGAATTCCAGTCAAACCTTCCAACTCGCATCTCTTTTAGTCGTCAGTCTCTTTAACAAATCCTCCATTTCCTCCCTAATAATCTCTTCCGCCCCAGCAAAATCTCTTTCCTCCGCCAAATCCAAGGGTATTCTTCCCTGAGAATCCTCGTACAACACATCGGCCCCATGCTTCATCAACAGCCGAACACAGTCATCGTGCCCTTATAAAGCGGCCAGATGTAGAGGCGTCCTTCCATCGGCATTGCTACAATTCACGTCAGCAGAGGCTTCGAGCAGGGCCTCGACAATCTTGGGTTGCCCCGACAACGCCGCGTAATGTAGAGCACTCCGTCTCTTTTGTAGATACTTTCCATGGACATTGTAGCCAGCTTTTATCAACTCTAGCGCAGTCATGGACGTCTTGTCTCGGATCGCTCGCACAAGTGCCACTCCCTGTTTTTGTGCCCCTTTCTGCAACAAGAAATCCACACACTCCTTATCCGAGTTAGATACGGCAGTGACAAGTGTGGCGGAGAGACCATCCAGGCCAAGGTTTTTACTTATCAGGAACCTTGATACCTCTATATGCTGGTGCAAAACCGCTCTGTAGAGCATAAAAGCGCCTCTCCCAGTGGGAGCACCCTTGCAAGCAAGAGACTAATCGCGCCGAGATGCCCACCGGCGCAGGCAGAGCATAGAGCATTGTGTCCCTCTTTATCTATTGACACTAGCGAAAGGTCTAGAAGGAGACTCATGGATTCACAATGTCCCTCACCAGCTACGCTCATAAAGGCCTGCGTCGCAACCTCTTGGCCTCCGTAATTCTGTTTTGAAAGAATGGTGATCACCTCGGTATCATTATCCCTTGCCGCCGTTACGATCGGCTCGCTAAATTTATCGAACGAGCTTCTTAGAGAAGCCATGCTCCGGCCGTCGTTAATACCAGGATACGAGCATTTGTAGAGATACTCAACAACTTCGAGCCAATCCATTTGACAGGTCACCCATATTGGACTTGGCGGTAATCGAGCTGCCGACCCAAGAAGCTTCTTTTGGTTCGAGTTTCCGATAACCCTGCTCATTAGAGCGCTCCACACGTGAAAGGCTCTGGAAACTTTGTGGGCTGAATCCCCTATTTCGCTGCTCTTCTCTAGCATGAAAGCCTTTATCAGGTAGGCGAGAGGGCTTTCCAACCGGTGCTTGTCGCTCTTCTTAATATGATCAATCACCCAGGTTACAGCGTATTCGTTTGGCTGGCCGTAAACATCATCAGATGATACCACTGCAAAGATCTCGAATCTCATATCGTATAATTGCTCGTCATTAATTTTCTCGGTCCACTTAGCGATTTTCTTAGCTGTCTTTTCCGAATCTTTTTCGTCATCTTGGCCCGTGGAGGCCTCTCCGTCACTGATTTCATCAGTTTCTTTCACGTTGACATTCACTTCATCCTGGAGGGGTTCGTCGTCCTTCTCTGCCGTAATCTCGCCTCTCTCCTTCTTTTGCTCATTGGGATCACCACCAAACCCATGTTTCTTCATGAAGCTATTCATAACTTTCTCTCGTAATGCATCCCCTCTGTTTTCAACTTGAGCCAAGTTAAGATATCGCAAGCAAGCGGTTGCAATGGCGGCGTGGCTTATCTCCGACTGATAGCTATGTATGTCTCAGTTGTGTAGTCGCTCGAAAAACTCTCGAACAGACAAGTGAGCAAAGTCAAATGAGTTCTGGCGAGTGACAATCAGATTTGAGCAGACGTCCAGGACCTCATCGCTGGAAAAGGCAGTTTCAGATTCGGATTTCGACTTTGTGCACGCGAGCACAGCGAGCGCTTCAAGGGAGATGGATTCTTGCGCATACAGTAGCCATTGGAAAGTGAAGTTGGCGAGTCCAAAAGCATGTTCTCCTGACTCTTGGATTTCTTGATAAATTTCCCAGTACGATCCCTCAAGTGTATCTGGTAAAGCACCGAGACGCGCCTTCAGATCAGCAGCCACCTTGACCCTTTTTAGCGACTGGATCTGAAGGCCGACCAATTGAAACCTGATAAAGATTGACTGATCAGAACAATTTTCATGCAATACTGTCTTCTAGTAAAGACTAGGGACTTACATTCCCTTGGCTCCCTCCTCAAGCGTATTAGTAATTTCCTCTCGTAGACTTGGTGTGAGTTTTCCATGCAGTAGTTTTGCAGACGTAAGTCGTGTGTCACTAAGAGTCATGTTTAGCTTGGTCTTCAAATGGTACATGCAAGTCTCGTAAATGAATGTTGAGATATCTTCAGCATTGTCATCGGCTTCGATATAAATATTCGGCGTCCCGTTAAGATATAGAGCAATGTCGTAATTGCTTCTGCTTGAGATGAATACTCTGACAAGAGAGTTTGACTCCTGTAGAATACGATTGAGCGCATCTAAGAGTTCCTGTCTGTCCTCTTGATCCACTTCGTCCATGGCATCTAGAATAAATGTCACAGCAGGATACTCGTCGACAAGCTGGACCAAAACTTCGACACACTCGTCTGATGTCCAAACCTGGCCCTCGAATCCCACAAAGCCTTCGATAGCCTCTTCGTAATGCTCTTTCACCAGGCGGCAATATCGGATCGCTTGGTGTGAGGCTTGCCAATTGGCGAACAAAGCTCGCAAGAATCTTATCGCATTGTGCTCGGTGTGGCTCGGCCGGATTTCTTAGGCAGTAGAAATAGGCCATGTGTTCTTTTCCTTTAACCTCGTCCACAACCAAAGACGCCAGTTTTGTCTTTCCTGAGCCGGGAATGCCGTGAAGCCATAGCACAGATGAACTACTTCTCTTTCTCCAATCACTGAAGTCGATTTCTTAAAAGCCATCTGCCAGAGCCCTCCAAGAGAACTTTGCTAGCAGTTTTGTGGTGAACACCGTATAGTATGGTGGAAATGGCCTTGAGGATTTGCGTCCGCATCTGCTGCTCAATGCCATCTTGAATCTGCCCAAGACAGCTGTCAACGCGATCGATGGGTTGGTGCAAATCCTTCATGGCATTTCTAAGGGACTGCATTTCCATCTGATCCCGTTCATCCTTATCTTTAAGGTGCTGTTCGATTCCTTGGATACCTTCAACAGCGCTCCCGAAGTCTTGAGCTCCTGAAATCTCCGTAAGGCGCCTAAACTTGGCCTGGGCAGTTTCGACGGGTTCATATTTGGCCTTCATATTATTCTTGGAAACGACGTCGCTTTTTAGTATTCGTTAATCCTTGCTAGATATCCCAAGATGGTGGCGTAGAGGTCCGTTATGCATTCCGAAAGTTGACCAAACAGCTCGCCACCGTTATATTTCGCATGATAAGTCCCTCTATCATCATTTATTCAATTGAAAGTAAGCAGTACACCTACCTTTGCTTTCTCTTGTCCGTAAGGTATATCACCTCAATAAGTTGACACTGAGTAACAAGATTGCTGATGTTTTCCAGTGAGCTGAGGACATGGCCAAAGATCTCGATGTCGTTGATGGTGGCTTGCATAATGAGTTTTATAGCTGCCCAGGGTATTGCTGTATGTATAGGATCATATTGAATGATAACCTCACCAATAGCCTATAGAGAATTCAGCGATGAGCATACATTTATACATTAAAGTATCGGAGGCGTTATGCACACTAATAGCTTTTGAACCCAAGCACTAAGTTTTTTTAACAATGTCTCTTATACTTATTGTCTGCCCTTTAATTACCAGTTTCCATCTCTTCTTCGCACTCTTCCTTTCGCTTGTTAGTAGCGGTAAGTACATTGGAGAGGATGGTTTTCGGGTCGTCTATGCCCTTTTGTGCAAGCTCAAACTGTGTTTGATCCTCTTTACTTAGCCTCTGCAAGGCCTCTTCCCCCCTGCTTGCAGACCTACCTTCACTGGCTTCCTTCTCGCCGGAGGCGGATAATGAGACAGATTCCCCCATATCCGCTTTGGAATCTCCTTTTTCTTCTGATTCGCTCATCTCGTCTAGTACGCCTGCATTTTTTCATAGGGATGTTGAGACAGCGGAGATGAGATGTTTTGGAAGCTGAGTTGCATGTACACAGGGCGGGGTATTACCAGAGTGGGTAGGTAGGTATGTATGTGCGTATTCACGGAATAATTACACCACACTAAAGCAACATGAATCCAATCAGGTTACTAATAACTTTTAGAAGCTTATTAATAATTGTTAGCTATATAAGTATAGTATTATAATCTTATTTTATTAACCTTACATGCTTTTACTTTATTTTTCGAAAAGAAAAGCCAAAAAATACTAAAACAATCGTTAGGTTTCTTTCCTTTTCCTACCACAGTAAATCCCTTATCCGCTAGCTGTGCGGATTAAGTCGAACATCTCAGTTCAGCTTTCAGAATGCCTGTTTATACAGCCAGAATCAACAAATCGTGCGATCAATGTCAAAGGCGCAAAGTCCGATGCATTCTCAGTTAGTAAAAAAGCTAGAACACTAAGACTCTTTACTGAACCATCTCACTCAGCTCCTGAAATGCGATCGGAGAGAGCGCTTCAATGCGAAAATTGCTTGGTAAGCTATGCCTCTCCAGAGACTAATACTATTCTTACCATGAGATTGTTCAGAGGAGAAACGAGCCTTGCCAATTTAGCAGCATGAAGCGCCGCTTCAAGATTGCAGCTACTGAGAGCGCATCCTATCCAACTTCTTACGCGTCTCAACAAGGCTTGTCGGGCCTCTTTATCGATCATCTGATAGAGCAATCTGTGGAAAGTGCTTTGCTTTACAATGAGTTTTCTGTGTTGAAGGTAAGATTCAACTCCCGCGATTCGAGTCAATACCTTAACTAGATAACCAGATTCATGATCATCGTAGTAAGTTATACGCGGAATACTTCTAAATCCTGAGTGCTACTAATTCCGGTCAATGAGCTAGTGCCTAGCTCTGGTTTAGCATTTTTCTCCGACGCGAAAGTAGATTCCCTTGTGCAGAGAACAAACAACGAAGAACTTCGATATTTAGTTGATGTTATAGACACGACCTTACAAACTCGTCTCTTAAAAAGAGCAGATGCAGAATTCTCTACACTATGTTTGTCTGGATCACAATGTCAAGTGTCTTTAGTGCCTGAAGAAGCACCAATCTACTTAAAACGTTGGTTTAACATCCGATAGCATGCTCTACAACCACTGACATAGGTATAGACTACTTCGATACCATCCATCCAATCTATCCCTTCCTTGACCAGGATGAGTTTGAACGGAAATCGCTGGACCTTAAATTGCACCAAATTCTTGAAGCTGACAGCTCTTTCGCTGCTCTTTATTATACTGTTCTTGCACTTGGATGCCAGCATAATGGAGGGGGCTCATTTGAGCCTGGACAAGGCCAAGCCTGGCAACTGTTTCGCTTTTCTCTAGGGAAAGTGGCCAGCATGCTGGTCTTGACACCTTCGTTGACAAGTCTTCAGGTTAGTGAGTCGTGATGAGCAAACGCTTCCAACGCTTACAGATCTAGGCGCTTACTGCAATGGTACATGACCAAGTCAAAGACGATTAATACAATAGACAGTCATAACTAATATAGCGCCACTTCAGTCAATTTTCGCGATGAATGCATGCTGCCTCCAAGTTGACCGGACTCTTCTTGCACAAGCTTGTCGATTGGTGTTAGCACTTCGATATCATAAATCGTCCGTCCTAGACGAGAATCCAGATACTTGTTACAGAACATTTTGGGTCATCTATCATATGGAGAAACAAGACTCTTTTCAAGCCAGGAGCAGCTCCGTAAGATATCATTTTGCTTCAATGTTCTGCAATGTTAAGCTGACAGACTTTTGGGAGCTACAGACCATTGCTGATTATGACATTGGATGCAGAATTCCAGCCGTGCCTGAGTCCATGTTTGGAGAATATAACTGGTTTGTATCTGCCATTAGGTTCTCTAGAGTTCTCTCGGTAGCCTACGAAACGCTTTTCTCCGTGAATGCATTCATGGGCCCCACAGCATCTCAATTACAAGCCATTGATTACGTCCACGAATTACTTGAGGCTTGGCGCGTATCTATCCCGTTGGATTTTCGACCTTTAGAGAAACATCATACAGTGCGTCTTTCAGAACGACGCACCAGACTGGTAGCGGTGCAAACCCAGTATTACTACTATCATCTCATCATCGCCTTGGAAAGATTGACCCTGTATCTGGATCAAGCCAATGGAGCAAGACGCTCAGCCAGCAAGAAGAATATTCTACTTGCCTCTAGAACAGTCATCGAATTAACTCGATTTGTTGATATAGAACCATATACACCGATTTTGTGGGTGTCTAGATAAACATTTTTTTGTTGACGGTGTGCTAACTAGTACGCGCAGCATCCTCGCTATTATGCCTCTATCGGCGCTATTCATCCTTTTCGATTTTGTTATTCACAATCCTAATCATCCAGATACCCAGAGTAACATAACGCTGCTGAATATTGTTTCTGGTCACTTCAATTTCCTGGAACACGCTTCTCATGGTGCTCTTCCCGGCAGTCATCTTTCGCGTTTTGCGCATATAGCGCAAGAATACATTCAAAAGCTAACAAAATCTTGTTCTAAACTTGTTGAGCCAACACACCATAATGACGAAGCAAGTCAAATATTTGGCCATTCTTCAACAGACAAGGATCTCTCTACAAGCCTACAAGTCCAGAGAACATCAACGGTAGAACCCATATCAATGGTCATGCTTCAAGCTACCTGGAACTAAATCTGTGTTAGGAGCAGAGTTTACTTGACTTGGAACGAGCAAGTGAGGTTCCTTCGACTGGTACTTCCACGGAGGAGGTTCTCGGGTTCGATAATGAACTTTTATATCCATCATCTGACCTCTTGAGCTCATTCAATCTGGAGACAATGACCGATATTGACTTCAGGAGTTACTTTGGTTTGTTTATTCCGGATACGCCGCCTGCTTCCTAAGTTAGTTCACTGCAATATAGGGTTTTCTGCCTCTTTGTTGGAAGTATAACTTGAATTGCGCATGCAAAAGGCTTCTCCTAACTACTTCGATGATAGAAAACAATTAGAAGAACTCGGCATAAACTTTAGCCAGCAGGAGTCAATCTAAATGCTGAATGGAAAGACAGGGATATTAAAAACCTGAAGCCACATTACGACGATGTATGGTACATGTCATAAGTGTTGTAATGATTTTACATGAAACTTTAACACTTCAGTGGTTTGACCCCAACACTCGGAAGGTAGTATACTCCCCAGTGGTCGTTTTATTCCACCCATCTTATTCTGCGTTGGTTACTAAAGGTGGACCCAACAAGGACATGCATTATAACTAAACAGCTATATTAAGATATCTTCAGGTGTCCCCTAATAACCCCGAAGTGGATGTTCATATCTCGTGAGTCGGGTCTTGGCAAGTCGTACTGTATATAATTATTCCACCCCGATTGGTCAATATAGGTGAGCCTAACCTAACTGATCCAAGACTTCGGCGCTCGGGTCTTGGCGAGTGACGCATCGTTTCGCACTGGGCCGTCTCGCCTTATTGTGGGCTCAGAAACAAACTACATTGCGTATACATCCTCTCGGTCTTCGGGAACCGCATTATGAAGATGAATTCCATGTATCAATTATAAAAGACTTGTAAGTCTCTTGATGAAATTATTTTGCCGCATAAGTCGCGCCTGATGTTAAACAACAAAGTTTACCCCATCCCACTTATTAATCTTTTGGAAGTGTATTTACGAGCTGTGCGTCTAAATTCGTCGGATTTGACCCTATATATCAGTCCGTACTATTCCCATGGCTACCTATCTCTACACCACGGTTCGTCGACTATTGTCGTCGACTGCAGAGGCGAACACCTCAGACGCTAGGTTACCAAAGCCAGACTTGAGGTTATCTTGTACTCATGCAGGTCCTGAGCATCCGCGCTTGCGGTTGGATTCTGACGGGGGAGGATCTAGAAATATATTACTTACTGAAAATCCGTATCGAGCAGCTGATGGCCTAATACAGGCATGCCATGCGTGCGCTCTTGAACGTCAGGCTTCTCGGACTTATCGTTGGAAACTCATCGTTGGCTTGATGTTGCCATTTGCTCTCCAGGCTCTGGACGCCACAATGTAAGTAATATCGATGTCATCTATAATAATTTTATTAATTAAGCTTTATCAGAGTCGCTAGCTCGTTGCCTTGGATCGCCCAAGATTTCCGTAAAACCCACCTATCCTCTGTATAAAAATGCAACTGTACTAACACACGAGTCTCAAAAGATGAAATCGCTCAGATGAATTGGATCACTTCGGCCTTCAATTTGACTAACGCCGCATTCATTCCGTTCTGGGGCCAGATAGCTGACATCTTTGGCCGCCACGTTGCAATACAAGCCGTGCTTATTATCATGGTTCTTGGAAGTGCGCTCTGTGCTGGACCTCCGGTAACTGCATATGCGATGCTCTTATTGGGTCGTGCCTTACAAGGAATTGGCTGTGCCGGACTCACTGTTATCATCAAAGTAATTCTTGCTGACAAGGTCAGTCTGGAAGAACACGCTACAAATTGGACGGTGTTTTCTCTCATCGCAGGGTGTTCTTACGGCCTTGGTCCAGTTATTGGTGGTGAGTGATCCTATTATTTCTTCACGCTGAAGTCCAAATTTCTTTAATTCTTTCTAATACTTGATCTGAATGATATCTCAGGGTATTTAACAAATGTTAGTTGGAGATGGTGTTTTGGAATCAACCTTCCTATCTGCATCGCTTCCATACTCCTCATATTCGTACTGTTACGAAAGGACCTCATTGGCCCTTTAGCACTCTCAAACACGAATAGTGATGGTCGTGTTAAAAGGAAAAGAACGATTTTCTTTCGCAGATTAAAAAGCATTGACTTTGGTGGTCAAGCCTTTTTCCTCTTGGGATTCGGCTTGCTAGTTTTATCTCTCACATGGGCTGGCGTTATTTACCAATGGAATTCCTCTGCCATTATGGTCCCTCTTTGCTTTGGCATTATTCTCAGTCTCTCTTTTCTCGGCTGGGAGTATCTATTGGCTCCTGGGAACCGTCTCAGCCTCACATGGTCCCATCAAAAGGCAATGATCCCATGGAATCTCGTTAACAATCGCGATATTTCGCTTCTTTTCTATATCAACTTCGCAACGGGGGCTTCTATGTACGCAGTAAGATACACTGCCCTCCAAGTACATGAGTTTTAGACTGAATCTGTGCAGGTTTTGTATTACGTTAACCTTTACTTCACTATGGTTGAGCTCGAGAATCCAGACAAAGCAGGCGTGAAATTGGTTTTCTATACGCCAGGTATGGGAGCAGGCGTTTACTTGGCTATGCGAATGTGTAATTACTACCCAAGACAAACTTTCGTTCCACTCCTATTTGGATCCATCTTGGAGGCTGTCGCTGTTGGGATTTTGCCATGGGCATTACACAAAGAGAATACACCTACTATTAGCGGGTTGCTAGTGCTTGCAGGAGCAGGGGCTGGCCTACGGTCTATGCCAGGTACTGTATTACGTGTAGAGGCTTTTGAATCATCAAAAACTAATATTAAAGTATTTAGGGACGCTACATGGTATTGGCCTCTTTCCGAATGACATAGCGGCTGTTGTTGCTATTATGGCTGTGGCAATCCCTTTTGGTGGGACTGTGGCTATGACGATTATGTCCTCTGTTTTTAATAATATCTCGGGAATCTCAGAATCATCCCCACTGCGCGACTTCAAAATGATATCTACTCTTCCAGAGGCTACAAAGATGGCAGTCAAATTGAGTGCAAAGGTAGCGAAGTATCCCAAAATCATAGCAACTAAGACTGATTGAAATATAGAGCGGACTTGTTTGGGCCTTTATATCTATTACTCCGTTCATGATCTTGGTAAGTACAATGAATATCAGATGATATACTTGTTTTTTTCTTCCTACCAGCCAAAAGATCAAAACTTGGAGAAAACCTTGGAACCTTCTCTCTAATTATACAAATTTACAGTGTGTTGTGGCATGTCTGTTCTTGGGGAATGTTTTTATTACCTCTAAATATAATGATAAAGACAATCGAAATCAAGAACAAAAGGTTTGTCGAAACATTTATTTACTAAACTTGTATCAACAGAACAAGAAACTCAAAGAACAGATTTAAACAACTTATTACAATTAAATTAAGCTATAACTTGATTTATGACTTGAGATAAAATCCATTATAAGATTCTCTTTATAAATTTGCATTGGAAGACATTAGCTTAATATTGATAAATTTGAGGTTTTTACTTGTAACTATAGCTCCTGGTTGCTAAGATATGTAATTTAATTCTTACTAGCTTGGATACTTTCTAATTGCTCATGGCGTTTCAAAGCATGCTGAATGTCGAAATACGCTGTATTGTCCCCACGGGCGTATGCTTCATATAGTCTGGCGACACCTCGGGCCGCGGCTGGGAGTTCCTGACACCAAGCCTCCCAGCTCCAGCCAATGACTTGAACATGTTTAGTGGAAAAGTCGTGCAATACGATCTTGACGGGTTTTGAAGCTATAGTCCGCGGAGTTGTGCCGCCTTCGGCTATAAACTTGATCTCACCTTTTTCTCCGTGAATAGTCCATGTCAGATGGGGCTCGCCAGGGAATGGCGGACCACGGCGGAAGCTGACGAAGAGAGAAGCGCCATCCTGGATGTATTTCTCGCCTTTTAATAAGGCGGTCACGAAAACAAGGTCTGGCACGTCTGACTTGACTGTCTCAACGACCATGCCTGTACTCGAAGAGGTGAGCCCGACTTCAGGTTGCTGCAGCTGAAGTCGGTTACAAATGTCCTGAGCATCCCCGAGAGCAAACTGCAAAATGTCCCATACTAAAAATTGCATCAGTGCAACGAGCATGTGACGTTAAATCTGACGACGAAGAATGAAAACCTACAGTGACCGAATCCAATCGTAATCGCGTTTCCTCCCACTTCAGACTGGGTAAAGTATCTCAAGGACTCTGGAACTGCGTGGTAGTCACCCGTACCTGCACTCGCCTTTACCTCAGAGCTGAGAACTTTGCCGATGCGGCCCTGCTCCAAGAGTCCTTGAACAACGTTGACAGGGGCGGTGACGGGTCCGTGTAGGCCAATTACAGAGTTGATTCCCTTGTCCTTGGCCAGCTCAGCTAGCTCGCGCGCCTGGAAAACATTCGATGCCAAAGGCCATTCCACAAAGGCCGCCTTGCCGGCGATGATGCTGGGCTTGATGGACTCGTAATGCTTGTCGACGCGGGTGCTGCATACTACGAGGTCAACGTTGGCATCCTGAGCCAGGTCGTGGGGATTGCCGTATGGTCGAGTGCCAGGTGGAAGCTGGAATATCTCAATCGCTAAACGTGCAGAGTCTATGCTCGAATTGCAGACGGCGACAATCTTGTACTGAGCTTTACCACGGGGAGAGAGAAGGTAAGGCAAATGAGCTGTGCTAGCCCAGCTGCTGAGATTTGTACCAGACAGGCCGATGATTCCCAGCCGGATTGGAGTCATTGCTTTAGAATACGAAGGGGAGAGAAACTGAGTTTGAAACCGAGATGATTGTTTCACCAATTCTTTTCCCAGCAGGAAGTTCATCGATTATATACGCGTAGCAAGTAATCCCTGAATCAATACCGATACACCTATCGCAGCCCGATTCAGTAAGCACATAGCACCTTTGTGTCATGTAGCTTATGTTGGATCAATATGTAACACAGCATGCAACACAGCTCATTCTTAAGCATTAGGAGCCGCATATCATAATTGGAACATTCGACACTTCGCCGTATTAGCGGTTGGTACTACTGCAACCCACTGACGCGCTAGAGGAAGAGGGTGGGCTAGCGGAATCTGAAGGATGGCGCAAAGCCGGACCCTCCGATGACGTTGCCCCAAATAGCCGGACGATCCAGCACGGGGACCAAGAGTTTCAGGCATAAGTGTAGTGCAATAGTCCAGTATAGGTGGAGACTTCGAGGGCTTCAAGATCCGCTCGCCTATGTCGGATCGAGCCAGCTCTACTTTGCTTGAAACTAGCTCGCAGCAGCTTTAACAAACCCAGTGGAGTTGACCAATAAAATTGTGACACGATCGTATGCAATCTTACTTGAATTATATCTATTACGACAAGTAATGACGATAATGCCGGCCGTTCAAACAACGAATTCTAGCTTGCTGTGGAAGTATTCTATGACTCGTATGCTCTTCAGCTAGCACTCGACCACCTCGAAATTTGGCTACCTAGAAGCCAATATAGCGATCCGCAACCGCAATATCTGCCCTCTTGTGAGTTTTCAAGAAGCTCTCCATATTGGCTGGGACGATTCGAGGGTATTTTTTGTTATCAAGATCGTCACCAAGGCTTGCAACACCGTTTGTGCACCAATATACGAAGCAACTAAGGTTTACTATTAGTACACATACTGCTCTTGAGTGACGACAACCGGGCCAACCTACTCGGGAGCCCATGCCATAATGTTGTTCGGGTCCTTCTCAAATCGTTCCTTGACTGTACTGTAGAGCTCCTCAAGAGACCCGAGACGCTTTAAGTGGAGGGGAGATTCATAGACCTTTTCGTAAATCTCCTTGATATCAAAAACACTCTTGACGTCTCCCCGAACTAGTCTTGTTAGCTGATTTTATGCCGACTGGTTATAACGCCTCAGCTCAACTTACATCGGAAAACACCGGAGGCGTTCTTGTCGACTGCCAGAGCTGCAACATAGGCAGCAGCAGTTTCGTATGTCGTCAGATCCCACTTCTCATTCCCCGTGCCCCAGAAGATGAGTGTTTGGGTGTTGGAATCGAAGATCTGGAAAAATTCGCTCCAAAATGTTTCCATCAGACCACCGACCAGAACATGCACCCCCGCAAGCTTTTTTTCCACCAGATAGTCTTTAATAATCTGAGCCGACTCCTTGGGGAACAGTTCTCCAGTAGGGATGTTAGTGTAATCGACTGCAAAGTCGCTTGGTAGATACCGTGGGACGCCCTCCTTCACACAGGCATCGATCAGAATTTTCTGACCCCGAGTCATGACATCAGTGTTGCCAAAGTAGCAGCATATTACAATGTCAGTTCCTCCAACGAAATTTTGGATGGCCTGCTCATCATCAAATTCGCCCTGTATGACTTCGATCTTATACTTTTCCATAGCCAGCTGTGGCAGCTTTTGCGGATTCCGGCAAAAGCCCTTGATCGTCACATTATGACATGCGTGCAATTTCTTCACCACGCACTGAGCAAACTTGCCAGTAAGACCAGCGATGCCCACGGTAATTGACATTTTGAATCAAACAAGGAAAATCCAATAGCGAATGTGTATAAGATGGGGCAAGACACAATAAAGTTGATGTCGAGAATGGAGCGTGCTAGAAGTAGACGGTGGGAAATTGTAGTTGTTGGTTATTCATGAAGGATGATCCCCGCTGAGCACCACCATGGATTCCTAACGCTATATATATAGTCAACCCTTCTGAAAGAATCTCCTTTGGCTTATAAATCACTCAGTGCGGATTGTGTATATAGCTCAACCGAAAAATAGGGGTGAGAAGATAATCGGGAGAGCGAATAACCTTATGGGACTTGCTAGTTTTCGCCGACCTTTCGTCGTTCCCCCTTTTTCTATATACAGATTTCCAAGTGCATCTATAGGTAGAATATTCTACCATGGCATCATTAGTTACAAGAATTCACAAGAATATGTGTAATAATGGTCATCATGGTTGCAGCACTTTATATTGAAGCAGATTCGTTTACACATAGTGTATACGCAATATCAACATTGTCTCATATTATGTAATATGCGTTGTTTAACCTCAGTGTCTATCAGTTACCTGGAAATAGCACTGTTCCTAACCTCAATAAAGTTCTTCTCGCCAAAAGCAGAATGGACACTTTCATCCTGAATGACCCGTAGATACCACTCCGTTGTACGGCTGTATTCGGCCCTAAGTGCCCGATCAATGATCTGCGCAAATCCCCAGTATAGGCTAGCGGCAACGGAGATGTCCGCTAGGCTAAGCTGCTCCGAAGCGATATACTGACGACCTTCTAGTTGCTTTTCCAACACCACAAGGGAGGCGATGAGGCGCTGAAACGCGGACTTGTCTGCCTCTTCGTCAAAGGGGGCCATGCCGTACCTCCAGAGAATCAGAGTCGTCAAAGGCTCAAAAAGCTCGTGGTCGGCGAAACCGATCCACTGTCGAATAATAGCGCGCTCCTCCACGGTGGAGCCTAGCAATTGGATACTCGAGGGGCCACACTCGGCGACATACTGGGCGATGGCATCTGATTCAAAAATGTAGAGGCCTTTGGCAGATTTGAAAGTCGGAACCCTTCCCGTAGGAAAATCGCTGACAAACTCAGGCGACTTGTTCGTCTTGCCCATGACGAAATTGGGAGCATAGTCTACCGTCCGTCCGTTTACTGCCGCTACGGCCTCAATCTGATCTGGAAGTAAGTAGGCGAGAATGCTAGGAGAAGACGGGGATAAATAAGAACAAGAAACAGAAAGCTGCATTTGCAGATGGAAACCGTACCTTCATAGCCCGTGGGTTAGATGGGTACGTCCAGATAGTTCCGATAGAGCTCATGTTGGCGGACAGAGTCGTCTACACTTTGCGGATTTTGAGATATGCTCAAGCTGTAGAAGTGAAGATTTTGGATTGATCCTGAACATAGGTGCTATGCTATATGCTTTTATAGCCTCGCTTTCCGGTAGTGGCATCAAGATGGCGAAGACAAACTTTCGTTTCTCCATAAGCTCCTCCTCTTTTCTCTCGCCCGCTCTCTTGGCCTCTTTTTCTTCTTTGAAAAGTGGCCAGAGAATTTCACATGAGCTGTACCTATGGTAACGGTGCTGCCTGGCCACTTACATCCACAACGGAAATGACTTTCGACTACACCATTTGTAATGCATGTGGAGCACTAAACAGAAGAAGAAGTCCTCTGTGGGTTGTGCAAAATAGTCTGCCCTGGCCGTGTTACCAACACATCCCAGAGACATCATAAACTAGCATCGAGCGTCAGTAACTTGCATAGGTTCTGCGTTTGCATTTGGAATAGCGCGTCAGTAGCCGCCAGCATCTAGATAAGAACCCATGACTTACATTCATAGCGCGTCAGTAGCTCGCATTAGCGTCAAATTCGGACACTAGAGTATGTACAGCAGCTGTGAGTTATGGATCGAAAATCGCAGCAGTTCAGTTATTGTTCTTCTTAGGTGTGGCCATATGACTCGGTGGGTTACCCTCTGGGACATACAGCATCAAATCTTGCTTAGTGAGCGCGTCCTAGTGGCGTTGTGCTGTGCCGAGATGACGACTGTTTGAAGCTACATTTACTTTATATCGGCATCAACGAGAACGTTAGGTTACACTATGTTATATTACCGTTGTAATGTAAATTAGTGAATCTAAGGATAAGTACACAGTAGAGTTGCGTGGGTAAATTTGAACAAGATCGAGAAACCTTTGAGCTAAGTAAGATTCAAACTCTTTTAAAGAGTAACAACAATCTTCTTCGCTGAAACACCCTTGCGTTGCACATCTATAGCGCTCTGAATGTCTTTCAGACCGTAACCAGTTACGAAGGGATCGGGCTTAGCCTTGAACGAACCATTAGCCAGAGATTCAGGAATGAACTTTTCCCAGATCCATTCGCCAATGTGCTGATTGGGCGCTTGAATGATGTCAAAGGGAACGACTATAGAACGGGGTTAGCAAATCGTAATATATATTGCGGTTGAGTTAGTACTAACCAAACACAGGATTAAATCGCTCGGTGTTCTTATTGCTGGGAAGGACACTAGCAACGGGCACTGCCATGTCAAGTCGATCAAGAATTGCAGATATATTATCAAAGCTCGAATCTTCGCCTATGGCATCGTACACACCGATGAAGTCATTTTTATTGAGACTGTTCGCGATTTCCTCAACGACGGTGGGCGACTTATAGTCCAAAGCGATGGTGGCCCCAAGTGACTTGACAAAACCGTGATTGGCAGAGGACGCCGTAGTAATGACAGTCACTCCCGAGGCGGCCGCAAGTTGGATAGCCGTTGCGCCGACGGATGATGCACCGCCCCAGATCAAAACGGTTTTGCCATTCTTCTCACTCTTATCAGTCAAAGGCAGTGGCAGGTTGAGGTGGCTCTCAAGGTATAGGCCGGCGCAAGCTGTTGAAATGGCGAGGGGGAGAACAACAGCCTGCTCAAATGTCATTGAGTCGGGTATTGGGGATACCAAGGCATCAATGGCGACCGGATAGGTTTGAAAAGCGGAATTGGCTGGATTTTTCGTCATTAGGCCATGGCAGTGGCTATATTGACACGAAAGTGAGCACTTGGTTCTATGAAAGAAGCGCCATTAATATGCAGAATGAAACTCACGCGATGACCCTGTCGCCTTTCTTAAACCGGCTGACACCGACGCCAACCTCCTCTACGAAGCCGGCAGCGTCTTCGCCGAGAATAAAGGGGTACTGTGACAGATATCTGCCATGGATCCTACTTAATGTTAGAGATATGGAGACATTGATGTGGGATCGAAAAAGAATTAGAGGACATACTGAATCTTCCAGTCGACAGGGTTCTAACATAGTAGTCAGTTTTCGTGGTGGCTTTGGAAAGGCATCAAAGGAAGCTACTGACGATGGAAACTGCAGCAGCCTTAATGACAATTTCTGCAGGGCCTGCTGAAGGCTTGGGAGCACCCTTGACGGTTAAGGGATACTCTGAGGGAGAATCAATCCAGGCCGCTTCGTTGTGAGCCATGGCGTGGGCGATTTTCGTCCTTGAAAAGGATGCTGCTATGCTGTAGGGACGAGAAGTTGGGGTAGCCTCACCACAGGAGCCTACACGGGTTATATAAAAGTACATGTTCATGTACTCATGTACAAAGAAGACGTAGATGGGACTTTTGTGATTGGCCCGTTTGTTGCCTGTATCATTGACGGCAAGTGGCGTTTCTCATGTGTAGAAAAGCCTCCGTTTGACGGGTGACTTTGCCAATTGCCAATTGCGGCTTGCTTAGCGCGTCAGTAGCTTGCATTAGCGCGACGCAAGGCAATCGCCGGAAATGCGCTATACGGCGTAAATCTTCCTGGGGAATTATTGTCGGTCCGGAGAATACAGTACAGTCTATGTATGGGACAGTCCATCCTCTATAGTCGCCACGCCTCAAAGTCCCTCAAGTTCGCTCTTGTTCAGGCAATGGAAGAATGGTGTGGCTCGCATAGAGTCATCAGAGAAAATCACTCAATGACTGCATGGCATCGCTTGTCCGTTTGCATCACTCGGTGGAATGGACAGTAATGCCTCCAACCTCATTCCGCTCCAACTCATGCCGGAGCAAGCCTATGCGGGCCCGGGCAATGATTGGACTGGGACCAGCGACCCAAAAGCGAGGAAGAAGATTCAAGATCGTATCCATCAGAAGGCCCGTCGTAAGTCCTCCCCTCTTTCTTTCTCTGGCCAATGCCTGCAAATCGGGGCCGTACTGTCCACATACTGACCGTGACCTTGCATTTGGCGAGGGCCAGGGCAGCGCATCAAAGCCAGGACGAGCTACCTCTTCTGCCCACGACAGGAAGGCCGTTCTGCACCTGTTGGCGTAGCAAACATTCCCTGTAGCGGTTTCAGCGAAGACCAAGCCGTCCCTAGTCTCTGGGCGAGCAATGCCGTTTATGACTCACGAAACAATCAACCCTTTAATCTCAGTACATTTACAGCCTGCGAGCCAGATTCTGAACGGACCGAGCAGTTCATCCTTCAGTTCACCGCCAAAGCGCATGAATATTTCCTCCACGGATCACCTCGCACGGACATGCTGATCAACCTAGTCCAGTTTAATACGACGAGAGCTCTAGTGACGAACGCAAGATTTATTGGGGTCACAAGGGAGCTTATGGCGCCTGGTTCTCGGTCACAACTTACTTCCGCAAGTGTCGGTGTCTCAGCGTGCAATTCGCTACCTCCAAGCCTGAAACCAACTCATCTTCAGCTCACCACAAGTCATCACCCTTGGATTGATACATTGCCGTTACCCGAGATTCGGGACAACTTGCTACGTCGCGACGAGAGTTCCTATGACAAAAAGGAGTTGTGCCGTGACCTCAGAGGCTTCCAGGCGGTGGCAGATGGCTACGGGGGTATGATTGTATGGGGAGCCCCGTGGGACTCTCAGGGATGGGAGGTCACAGACGCATTTGCGACCAAGTGGCCGTGGGTAATTAATGGCTGTCACCAGCTTCTCAAGTCTACAAGTTATTGGAGAAAAGTAAGGCATGAACGCAGTGTATAAAATCTCCCTTGCTATACTGCGTAAGCAGATACGTCTGCCCTCGTTATAGTTCCAATCTGAAAGAGCAAAACCTCTGGCTGCTTTCTTTTGGGCTTCGTGTTACGATCCGACTCTTATGGTCGCAACAACGGGGCCTACGAGGTAGAATGGTCCGAAGGACCAATCAACGGGAGCTCGATCAGCTTGGCTCACGAGCCATACGAGCTCACGACATCAAAGGCTCGATCAGCTCGATCTACAAGCCTCACAAGCCACCACGATCCAGGGAACCAACTGGATACATAATTTCACTTCTTACGCTCATTTAAAAAACCCTAGATATCCAATTGTGAACACGGAATTAAGATTGCAATACCATTGCTAAGTCTTACTTTCTGGTGACATTTATTACTATTGTTGCCTATAGATCTTGATATTTACTTTTGCTCTTTGCTTTAGAAAAGAAAACTAATACAAACAATAAACTACTGAGCTTTTCTAGTTAGAAAAGTACAGAATCATTCAACAAGCCAGAACCTAATTTTTTATTTGCATGAATCTAGAACTAGATTTAGGTATATAACAACTCTCTTATATAAGGTATCTTTGCTATACAGAATAAGAAACTATACCTAAATTATCTGGAGCCAAATATGGGCTTATCCCATTGGCTTCTCCTCAACTCTAGATTTGGATCTAAAGACCAACTAAAACCGTTTCAAGAGCAGTGAAGTTTGGAGATCTGCGTACTTTAGGTCAGCTGAGTCAAATTACACAGACAAGTTTCCAGAATCATACCCTAGTCCTGTCACTGGATCCCATCCGGCAGCGGCGGGGAAACCCCAAAGAGTTGTTTCATCAGGAGAGCTACAGCCGTCGTTATTGCCCTCAGTGATGTCCTTAAATGCCTCCGGATGCGCATACTAAGAGTAGTCAAAAGTTAGCAGTCATGAAGAAGCCTCTATGGCCAACGGAAATACTCTAAAGTACAGCAGCACTTACCAGAGCTGGATTCACAAATCCAAGCGTGCTCTTGCCTGCAGCAATGCGCTTCTCGTTGATGAGAGTCAGTATAGAACCCCAAAGAGGAGCCGAAAGCGAGGTCCCGCCAATTGTGTAATAGTCTCCTCCATAGACAATAATCTGATTCTCTCCCACAGCCGCCACATCTGGATAGCCTCGGCCACCACTGTTATACACCTGATTGACGTCTGTGATGTTGTCGAAGCTGCCGTTGACAATGATCTGGTTGTATGAGCTAAATGGCAACGAAGCCTGCACCTGATCATAGTACGCCTGAATGGCATCCTTCTGATAATCGGCGACTTCATGGATGTTGCTGAAACCACCACCACTGGGAAATTGAGTAGTAGCAACCTCTTCGAGTATCTCCCACTCAACCGGGGGTGCACTAGGGTCCGGCCGCCTCAGCTCGGTACCGCCAACAGTGAGGATATAAGGGCACGTCTGGGGGAAGGATGGTGTGAATATAGTCCCTACAGTGGGCTCCTCGTTAGAGCCGATACAACCCAAGTGAGAGGCAACGCCATCATCGCCTGAGGATATAACAACGGTAACCCCCTGCAAACCAAGCTTCAGATACTCGTTGCATTGGCGGTACTGGTAGTTATTGGGAAGAAGATCTTCAATGGCGCTATAAGAAATAGATATCACATTAGTAGGCTTGTACACGCCACATTGCAGCTGTCCTTGATATCCTATAGGCGCAGGATAATTGGTGTTTGGGTAGAAAGGATCGGCGCATGATGGGTCGGTGCAATCGCCGGTCTCGTTAAATGCGCTGTATGTGCAGTAACTGCCATCAATAGCATCAAGGAAGGCTTGGCTCTGTCAGCTAAACATGTGAACGAGAGACCATGGATTTATCTTACTGTTAAAGAAACCTTCAGATCCAACAATCTCCCAGTACTCATCATCTGTCTGGAACAAGACGGTTGTCTGGGGCCATATAAGCGGGATGGAGGCCTGGAAGTCTAAAGTAGATTCCGCTCCAATACTGGTCCAGTCAGGACCGAGAGTGGCCACGATGTCTTCATAAGACCCAATGGCGCCATCAACAAGTCGGTTTTCGGGATATGTCCCTGCCGGGATATCAAGGTATCTGCAACAGTATGAGATTCGGGTTTTTGTAGTTTGCATGGGATATCATTGGGGGGTCCTTACGGATACAGATTCGCCAAGAGCTGATCAAGATCAGCTGTACTATAATGATCGTCTAGGGCTTCAAAAATTCCCAGCTCATTTCCAGGGGCAGCAGTCGTGCCATTGACGACGCCGTACTGAACTACGCTGTACATTAGCCCAGTCAAGCACCCTAGATGCGATTATGGGGCCTCTCACCGCGGATACAATCAGCAGTAATAACCGTGCTGCAAGTGGTGGAGTTCACGCCAGGGATGTCGTTGGCAGCACTTATATAAGCAATGTTGTTCTCAGCAATTGGGCCGTCCCTAAGTCCGGGGACCTGTTCTCTGCGCTTCTTGAGCTTTCGCTTCAAGGCTCCATTTTCTCGCATTCTGATGCCCGGAGTAGCATAGTCAATGTGTTCCTGGATATGGGTGGGAACATGATACTCGTCACAGGCAATATCTCTGTGCGAGCCTGTGCTGTCCTCCCAGAAATAGAAGTCGGTAATGAGAAGGTCTTCAGCCTCTTCGGCCGCAGCATCAAATTGAATCCACTGCAATGCTAGTCATTAGAGAAATTGAACCAATAAAAATGAACTATTAAAAAGGTCGCTTATCTGCCCCAGCTTTGTGCATAAGGCCTCAGCAATAGCCGGGCTTGTAAGATAAAGGACTTGCCTGTTTATTAGCTGATTGGCTAATGCGTTGTCGTTCAATGCCGGAAGACACAAGCCAATTAATGACAGCATCCACACTGGACTGCGCAGGAGCAAAGAAGTCGATAATCTCCTCCGAGGTCATGTGTTTGCCGTAATGGGTGGAACCTGGGGTAGAGCTATACTCTAAATGTTAGTGTCACTCTTATGCTCCTATCTAGATGCATCACCAACATTTCCATAAGTCTAGTATGCCCCGCATCTAAGTTGCGCTGCTTCAAGCCGATACGCATCGGCAAAACAGTCTTGGGAGACAATCTTTCTCTCTTAGTCCAATGTTGGGTTATGCGAGGCTTGTGCCGTTCATGGAGCGTGTGCGTGTTGGGAACATCACGCTTGCCTGGGGCTTTGTCGCGCAAAAGAGGACTTGCAACAACTTCAAGGGCCAGCCCAAGGCCAAAAGCAGCGACGAGAGAACGAAACAACATTGCCGTCTTCTATCAAGTGAACTGACTCTACCAAAAGAGATAGAGATACTACAGTATACAGCTATGAAAAGCATCGTAAGAGAGGCAGAATAGAACATTATTTAAGTCTATAGCTCTATCTTGGTACAAGAAGCAATTGTTGCATTGACATGAACAGGGTATTGCTGGATGTGGAAGGTACATTAGGCAAGGTGTGTCAAATGATACAAGTAGAGATAATGGATCCCTGTACTTTAGCCGGATATAGGAGCGATTGCGACCATGCATACCTGTATTAAGCTCTCTATTAAAGTATTTCTATAATGCTTTACAGATGAGATATGCCGATCAATCTTTTAAACCCATCTTCTAGTTATAGTCATAATATCTTCAAGATGTGAAGGAAGAAAAAGACAAAGACAGGCAACTAGTTTTGGCAAATCAGCAGTTATGTTAGACGAAATTGTACCTAGGTAGGGATAATATAGAGTCATTCTAAACTTCCACTTCTTATAAACCGTAGGCACCTCTGAATATCCCAACGAACCAGTCGACATACATGCAGATATGGCGCTATTGAATCATAGGTAATGTTGATATTAGAGAGTGACTTGAAATCAGGTTAATTTTAGCGGAGAAATCCAATACTCGAATCTCGCCTTTCCAAAAACAGATGCCAAGTCTTCATTATGCGCTATGCGCGTGCTCTTGCCCCTCTATTCCGTCAACAGCGTTATCTCTAGATTTCACAACATGAATATTTAGTCACGCATAGCACAAAGCTATAAACTTTCGTAGCTAACCCCTCATCGTTCAAATCAGACAATCCCTTCCTTCTTGAATAGGATAGTTCCCTACAACTTTTGCCTTGGTTTGATGTAGATAACAACACTGAATACGAGACTGCTCGTGGAAACTAGTGTTCATACATTTTGGTAATCTCTTTATAATCACGTTATGTGCAACAACTACGTCTTCTTATCTACAAACAACCTGCAGCTTGCATCCATCTTCTCTTAGCACTACTACCCTCCTTCGGTATCACGACGTTAAATCAACACTATAATTCTCAATCATACTGAAAGAGGTCTTGGCAGGTCTATTAGCGTTAGCCAGTTGTGTGTTCATCACACCATCTCCATTGATACAACAACCGAATAATATGTCTTCCATCCCATCACGAGCGCAATATTACCGGCCGGCAGCTTCCGTTTGAAGCTACGGGCTTCTCGGGATGATTTCTCATTAAGGTCTCATGTCGACAACTCCCGCGATGTCGGCATATGTATCACCGACTCTATGCAGGCTATCTATCTGAGAGAGGGGGTCAACGGGGCCATGCGGCAATTTACTCGCGATGCGGAGACTAAGGACGTCTGGCGAAGAACACATGTGGTACCTAAAGAATGAAGTCTCCAAGATACAATACGTTTATTGAAGACTGCAATGCAACATCAGTTACGAACATCCGTCAAGCCATAAATGATTGGAAACCTTGAGATCCTATCAACAAATCCCATCAACCTCCTTCTTGAAACAAGCGGCCTTCTACTTCGATATCCTACCCAGAAATCCAGTGTCGTGAATCTCATATTCAAGGATAATACATCAGCAACACTTGAAGCATAGTATTCTTTCATCGTAATTCAAGCATAGCTTGCCAATGTGGATCATTCTCGTAGTTTAGCAACTGTCTACTAAAAGCCAGCCCAACCTCGTGGTTTATGTTGACTTCTTTGCAGTCAGTCGTTTTGCATCTTACACGCTCTCATTGCTGATTGATAATAGGATACTTCATATATAACAAACTATTGTCAATAATGCTGTCTCTATAGAGGTAGTGTTGGATACTGCATAGGTAAGATACCACGTACCCCTAAATAAGTCACTTAGTACTGCTCTACTCATATCTCTGTTGCTTAAACAAGAGTCTATGTTACTAAATGAGCCAAATTTACATCTAAGTCAAATGACCCGCTGAAGGAATTCAGCCTCTTCCAAATATTGCAAACGATCTTGACCTATATGATACTGCGCGCCTACGAACAGCGCATCGATTTGTGCGTTTTATCCCGTTCTCATCCCTCAAAGTTCAAGAGGAATCATGGTGTGAAAATGGTGTTGCTGTTATAATCTCCAAGAAGCATGTAGCCCCAAAAATGATCGTGTATATGGCCAGGAAGTATTAATTTTCGGTATCCACGGTAGCACAGCCACGCTCTTTTTACATGATAGTTACAACTCCACGGTATAGTTAGCGATATCCTTTTTATCTCGTTTTGCTACTTCATCGTCATCACATTACCCGAGTATCTATTCAAGCGCTGCTATTAGAGGCATGGTCTACATTAGTTGCAGTAGAGAGAGGGGAACATGCCTGCCTTTGTCTTACTCTGCAAAGGATAAAGAGAATGACGTTGTTTTGTGAAGAAGATGCGCACTAGCGGGTCCAATAGGTGTGTTACAGCTTATTTCGAGCTCTCTGCCCAAGTGTGACGTCTGGAAAGTAAAACAAGTGGCACAGCTTCAAAACAGCAAGTCTCGGATGTGGTCCAGATCAAGGTGTACATCATGACTATAAATGTATCAAAATCAGAGCCCGTATTGCTTCTTGTGTCATACCTATAGTGCCAACTTGACTCCAAAATGCACACCCAAATGAACGCGATTTTGGAGTCTGTCGTGATATTTAGCTAGGCCATATCTTGCTTTATTTTCCAAGATGCATATGTGTAGCAAAGTAGCGTGCTCCTGTGGAACAAAGTATACCTGCTTTATACCACCACCTGTGGCTAAATATGCCGTGTCTTGGATGTCGACCGTGGAAGAAATGCCATGGATGACGTGTCGCTATCCATCTCCAAGAGACTGTGAGACCGTCTCACCAGCAGTTCGGACTAAAAGGGATTCACTTCCCGTAATGAATCCTCACATGTATTTAAAAAGATCCTGAAAGTGAGACATATTGCACGTCTCCCTAACCAATGCTTTAAGTAGGTATTATCCCAAGGTGAGAACGCCAATCAGTCCTATTTATACCCAGGACCGCATGCCATTATATTGATCTATTTCATCACATCTACTATAATTTTTTAAAAACATTGAATATGAGACTATCTTTCATCTTAGTCTTCATTACTCTCGGGGCAGTCCCCAGCCAAGGGCATTACGTGCCACCGATCGACCATGAAAATAAAGACAAACAGGACCTAGGGTGTCTTGTTGAAGATATACAGGCAAAGGTTTTCAAGTTCCTTGATAATAGGGAAGCTGAACTTCATGCGAGAAATGAGAGTACTCAATGCACAACAAAGAATATTGTGTTTCGCCGCGAATAGTATGTGAATAACACACCGTGTAATTGGAATTCAGCCTAACATCATCACAGCGGATCTCTTACCGAGGCCGAAAGATTAGACTACATCAACGCTGTGAAGTGTCTTCGGAAGTTACCGCCACGATCTCCCGCAAGTCTGGTGCCTGGAGCGAGGTCTCGAGTCTGTGGCATCCAATCACAATTGACACCACCATCCGCAAGCTGTGCTGACTCAAGCTATTACAGTATGACGACTTCGTTGCGGCTCACATCCAGCAAACACTGTCTATTCACCTCACTGGAAATTTTCTACCATGGCATCGCTGGCTGATACATGAATATGAGCGTGCATTGCGGGAGGAATGTGGCTACAAGGGTTACCAACCTGTATGTATATCTTGTATGAAGCGCGGACACTCGTTCCGGGCATTTACTGATACCAGAAATAGTACTGGGACTGGCCCAAATATTCCTCAGCGCCAGAAAAATCTCCCATATTTAACGGTGATCCCTATAGCCTGGGAGGGAATGGAGATTTTGTCCCTCACGATGGACGTATCCGCCAGTCACCAAATGACCTCCCTATCGCCGGAGTCGGGATGTGGGTGCCTCCCGGCCTTGGAGGCGGCTTTGTTACCAAAGGGCCATTCGCTAATATGACAATCAATCTTGGCCCGCGCGATAGCGTGGCGTATAATCCTCGACGTCTCAAGCGAGATGTCGGCTCGACTTATAACACTCGATTCGCTAACTATACAACTGTTTTAAGTGAGAAAATTCGTGTGTAAAAGAGAATATCACTACTTACCATTGTTGATAGACATTTTGCGGCAGCCAAATATCGAAGAGTTTCGGTATCAACTAGAAGGCGTGCCTTACAGCAATGAGATTGTCGGGCCGCACATCGCTGGACACATTACTATTGGGTAAGCTCTCTTTGCTGTCTGGCGACGTAACGAGATGTTCTGAACTCGAATGTATAGCGGCGATCCTGGAGGTGACATATATGCCTCCCCTGGCGATCCAGCATTCTATGTGCACCACGCAATGGTAGACCGGATATGGACTCTATGGTAAGTGCTTGTAAACGGCCGCTCGCATTCAAAGCTGCTCATAGATGTTTTTGCAGGCAAGCGGTTGATCCTGAATCACGGCATAAGAAGCTAGGGGGCAGGGAATATGGTCACATCACCTGGGCAAACACGCCCCCTTCGAGGGAGACGAAGCTGGGTGACAATATCGACTTGGGGTATGCTGGTGAGCCTATACAGATTACAGATGTTATGGATACACTGTCTGGACCGTTGTGCTATTTTTACCTATAGCCAGTCGGTACATGATGATGTAAACACAGGCAAAGTTGTCCCAAGTGGCAATGTTCTGGAGATATCCCCGGAGCTTTTATTCAGAAGTGTGGACAATGTCGAAACTGCCCGCGTAATAAACCTGCTTCTCGAGCTACGAGATGATAGCTAAAGTATTAACAGTGGCGACTACAGCATATACTATCTAGTACCAGGTACTTTCGTCTTCGATGTCTATTGTCGCTACACTGGATGTTGTCGCTTCGCTTTCTGATATCGCCTCCCTTTCTGATGTCGCCTCGCTTTCTGATGTCGCCTCGCTTTCTGATGTCCACCTGCTTTTTGTTTTCGCCCCCGGATCAACTGGGAGATCCCTTCTAGCAAATTTCATGCTAAGCAAGACGTTCCTTTGAACATGGCCTTCGTAAAGGAGATAATGCACTATTCGCCGTCGGTCATCATCCGTATACCTGTTTATATGAGGCCAACGAATTGGCGGCGGGCTTGAAGATAAGATGGCTGGATCTGCTCCCGCCTCCTCAATCAAGTACTTGACCACTTGAAAGCTTTTCCCACTGATGATCGCAGCAGCCAAAGCGCTGCCATACTTTCCGCTGAGGTGCGCATTCACGTCGGCTCCATTCTCCACCAAAAGTTCTGCACATTTCAGCGAACCTGCGTATGCGGCTGCTCCTAGAGGGCTGCCGTACCGGCTTCCTTCAACCTTCAAGTTCACAGTCGCTCCATTTTTTATCAGCAGCTCTGCCAAATCAGCCTTGCCGTGATAAGAAGCTGCTTCCAAGGCGCAGCCATAATAGCAGCGTGAACACGTGAAGTTGGGATCCGCTCCAGCCTCAAGAAGAAGTTTAGCAAACTCTTCGGCCAGCTCGGCAAGTTCAGCAGCTAGACAGAGCGGACTTTTACCATTCCTGGTCACGTTTGGATCGGCACCCCTGTCCAAGAGCAGCCTTGCCGTTGTGATATGTTTCCCAAAGATAGCTTCCATGAGCGCGCTTCCAAGCCCAGTATCCAGCTCTCTGTTTACGTCGCTTCCCAGGTCAATGAGCTCAGAACAAAGTTCATCATGACCGTATCTTGCAGCGATTGCGAGCAAATCCAGCCCCCATTGATTGACTTGCGAGACATCGATGTCTTCATCCCACCACCCCTTGAGCAACTTGTGAAGCCCAAGGGCACAAATACCAAAAATAGACTTCTCTGATGGCTGTATATCCTTATGGTAACCGTAGCTGTGATGAAAACGAAGGAGGCGCATATGTTTACACCATGCTTGGTACTGTCGACTTGAGAGTCCCTGAGGGCCTTGTGTCCCCAAAAAGCGTTTAAGAATTTCTGATAGACCTGTCGCCTCCTGGTACTGGTCTGGAGTGTTTTGCAGATGCTTTAGCCAATATTTCCTTGTATGTTTTTGAAGAGGATGTCGTGGATCTAGATGATTGGTCAAATCTGGTGTCGATTCGAGGAATTCAAGCGTCTCGGCGTTGGTTCCAGTCAGTGTCCATTCCGTGTAGCAACCCATCAAACACGAGATCAGCTGAATCGCCACATCTTCAGGGGCCTTATCTATCCAACTCTTATGTCGATCCTCAAAATACTCTGCGACTGATGCATGCGGAAATCTCCATACCTTCAGTTGAGAATCTAGGACTACCAAGTGTGAGCAGATGTCTTCCAAAGTCGACTCGTCGATGGGATCTGATAGCGTGAGGGACAAAAGGCTGCTCTCCAAGCGAACGGCCGCTAGAAGCACCTCGCTTGTCAAAGGTTCTCTGGCACATAAGACCCATTTTACTGCCCGTTTCAAGACAATCTTTTCTTCATTCTTTGAATAGATCTCATCGTACGCTTCTGTGAGGCCTTCGGGAAGCCTTCCAAGCCGCTCAATGATGCGCTCGTTGGTTCTTAGTTTTTTGAGCTGCTGCCATTGCAGGTACGCCCATCGAAACCTGTCAATCAATTAGCCTGATTCAGAAGAGAGAAAAATGAATCGAAGCACCAATGCGGTGCCACAGGCAACGTACATTCCGTCGCTTTTCTCTCTAATCGTTTTCTTGACTTGCTCTTCAACATCTGCCGAAACTGCACGCCATGCGCCACCAACCTTTTTTATCTCCGCGTCAATGTACTTCCCGATATCATTCCTATTATCGGCAGTACTAATCTTAACCAGCTTCTGTGAACCAAGATATTCTTCAATGTCAGCCTCTTTACGACTGGCAATGAAAACCTTGACAGTGCCTTCGCCCTTGTTGACAAGATTGCGAAAGATACGAGCAATGTTCTCTCTAGCATCCATCTCGCATTCATCTAGGGCGTCCAAGATTAAGGTGGTCCGGGGATAGAAATTTATGAGTTCCATCAGTGCCATCTCACATTCTTCGGTGCTAAATCCTCTTTTCTCCTTCTTGGCTTTGAGATACAATGCATAGATATTTTTCTCCATCATCGTTGGATAGTTTGGAACCCTAGCAAGCTGAGAAATATAGCTTCTGAGGATGTGCTTCGTCTCTCTACGCACTGGATCTGAGCGACTGCAATAAAAGTAGGCAAGTCCTTCATCGTTCTCTGCTTTCTGCTGGCTGGCGGCAATAGAGTAGTCAATTACTTTGGAAGTAAGAAAAGACTTTCCTGCGCCAACTAGAACAAGAATAATAGGAAAAGGTTAGCGCACAATGTGCTCTGCCTTTATGTCTTTATACTCAGATAAATGAGGGGAAATTACGTACCGCTGCCTTGAAGCCATAGGATCGAAGAACGTCTTGATTTTTCCCAATTTAGATATCTATAATGGCTTAATAGCCATTCGCATGTCTTAGGGGTTCTCGCTTCTCGCTTTTCCATTTGGTGTTCGCCGATTGGTATGGTGCTAATATAGTCGAGCGCTTGTTGCAATGTTCCATCTTCAATCTTCTCAAGCAGCTTCTTCACGCTGTCTTCAACGTTTCTTAACGGTTCATCAAGAGCCTGTAGAAGCTTTTGATGCTCTTGCGACGCAACTGCACCACAGCCTTGAGCTGCCATTGACACGTTGCGTTCTTGGTCTGCCAGCGCCGATATCAACTGTGCGCCTTCTCCACCAGAGATGAGAGCACGCAGAAATTGCTTCCCCTGCCCTTCATTTAAACGCGTGAAAGCGTGGGCTAGGAGCTCCATCAATGATTTGTATAGGTCAACAAGCGCATCTTGTAGATTCTTTGCTGCCATGCTGCAAGAGCCGTCGCTGAGGTATACTTCCTCGTATACCTTGCCGTGCCTTATAAGACGCAGGACTTTTTCGGCACATCCAAAGATGGCCGCAAGGTCCTCGCACTGAGACACATTTGCCTGGTTGTGACTTGACGGTTAGAAATGAACATCGTGATGGCGAGAAAGAGAAGATAAGGAGCAGAGAACAGAGAGTGAAAATGCACATATAAATAGTAACAGAAATGAAAGGCTACGTGTCATAGTAATAAAAATAATAGAGGCAATAGAGGCAATAGGGCAACGATGTGCGGAATAATAAAACTGCTCTTAGCAACTGCAAGATTCTTTGTTTTTCAGTTTCCCGCTTGGATATGTAGTCTTTCTTACCTTCAAGAGTACTTTGACAGCTGACCAGACAACCGGGGATGGTGCTGGGGCAAAGTTGATGGAGATATCCCCAATTGTCGTCACCCATGCCACCACGTTGTTGGCATAATCTCTCCATAATATCTCCTTGTCGCCGATTTTGAGCTTTGGAGTTGCATCTTTATAAACTGCTTCCCTTTCGCGGACGATTTTGATGAGATCTTGGGCCTGTTCCTCGCCCCCGTCTTTTTTGGAGGCCTCTGCGATCCATTTCTTGGTCTTTTCATCTAGTTCTTGATAGGCTCGAAACCACAGATCAGATGTGGTACTCTCTTCAATTATGTCAGTGCGAGATTCCGCAAGCGTGTCAGTAGCAAAAGTAGCAGTAGCAAGAACAGCACCAGTGGCAGAAGCAAAAAGTGCACCAGTAGCAGTAGTAGAAGTAGCACCAGTGTTTATAGCCGCATATGTTTCCTGGAATATAGCAGGTGGGATTGATGAGGCTGCACTTCCCGCTGGTGACGCCGCTGCCTTGGGTGATAGGCTTGGGGAGTCCTGTCTATCATGCTTCTTGAATCTTCGCTTGAAGTAAGCGGTTAAACGACTGCTTCTATGGACTCGCTCGTTCTGCATGGAGCCAGTCATGCTTTATACGAGTCAGTTTTTTTTTTTTTTTTGAACAAAGTATTGATATCGGACGCAGTGAGTGAGTGACCAGCGTGCAAAATCACAACACGATTAATGTACGTGTAGCTGGAACCTTTGATAGAAGACCTGCTCAAAAGCTGAGGCCCAAGTTGGGCACCAATGCGGAGCTGATTGCCTGGTATTAGCCGCTGTAACCAGGCTTGCTTCATAGAAAAGCTAGTAACAGCAACGTTATCGCATTCCCTGTTGGAAGGAGACCATAGAAATGCCAGTAGCTTCATTACGTCTATAGATCTCGCAGGAAAAAGGAACATACCTAAGACTTTTGGATAATTTGACTAATCAAAGATGATAGCCATTGTATATCGCCGTTTATAAAATGTTATATAAGATGTTTTCTGGGACTAGAACCAAATAAAGAGGCTGGAGTCTGGAATGCGGCAGCCCGCATGTAGTCAGCCTGCCGGCAAGCGGGGCCTGGAACGGCGTATAGAGACCAAATTAGTGTTCGATTGCAGCTCGGAGATCCTGTTCCAGTTTAACTTACTGGGTTATACCGGCTAAGAGAAAACAGGCGTTAGCTGTGATCAACGCGACTCATGAGCGCGTGTGGTAACATTAGTAGGCTTCATTTATTGACAAAGAATGCGGACATGAATCCAGAAGATCGATTCAGGTCAAATAAATGCGTATTTAGCATCATCTAATATATGATAATGTTCTTCGTTTATTTCACCTATCCGGAGATACTGCTCATGATAAAAATGTGTAAACTTGTCTCTATCGAATTATTTACATAAATCTTCTGATAGTTACGGAACTCATCGCTTGACTAAACCCCATCTGCGCATAGGAAACGACGGTGTCTTTTCGGACTTGCACGAGACGACTCCCGTAGACTCAGAAAAAGCCTCTCTTAAGTTGCCGGTCCAGAATGGTGGCAGACACCGCTAACACAAGTATAATCGGCATTGCAAGGCTGAGAAGCGCTGCAATTCCAACCACCGCACCCCCAGGTGCAATTCTTGCAGTATCCGCCAACGCAAGAGTAGGCCGACTGGCATGGAGAAGAACTGCTACAGTCCCAGCCTTCGCAGCTAGAAAAGGGTAGTGATTGTCAGCGCAACCTCAAAGTAAACGAAAATGAAGCATCTGAAACAAAAAGGATTGTATGAAAGAAAGGAGAAAGAACTAAACGTACCCCCAGGTGCAAGTATCAGCTGGATATCCACTGCCGCTGCCGCCGCCGCCGCCAGTAGGAGGGCTGGATCCTCCAGAGCCTCCTCCATTTGGAGGAGCACCGACGAAGCTCCAATCCTGCTTGGTGGTCTTGGTGTTTGCTTGCGAAATGGCGTATTGCAGATTTCCCTTGCCGCTGTTGAAGCCGACTTCGAAGCCGTCGTAGCCGGTGCAGCAGCCGCTGTTGCAGGACTGGGTACCGTCGGAGCCTGGTACCATCTGCCAATAAATCTTCGTAATTACAAGTGTTTGTTAGTAAAAATGGGGGGTTGGGACTCTCGTTATTGTAACGTACCCATGGGTAAGCGATGTTGTTGATGGCGGCAGATTGATCGTTGAAGTTGGAACTGTAACTCGTCGCAACTCCCCATTCCTCGATGTAGACCAGCTTGTTGTTGGATGCAGCACTAGCTTCAAATCCGGGCATGATGTTACCCCAGGTAGACGCCGAGCCGACGTAGGCATGGACGCTCATGAGGTCGATGCTCGGGCAGGACAAAGCCTTGGGGAGCATGTTGTGGCCGTGGCTCTGGTCTCCGCCAATGCCGCCAGTAGCAACCTTGATGTTGGAGTCGGTAATGTACTTCTTGAAGTTTGCTGCTCTGTTGCAAAGCCAATTGGAGGGATCATTGTTGGCGCCGTCAGAGGTGAATTGGAAAGGCTCGTTCTCGAGATCGAAAGCGAGAATGGCCTCGGACCAGTTGCCCCATGCGAGACCGCTGCTGGGGGACTTGTAAGTCAGGATAGCTTTGATACGAGCATCATACTGGGCTTGAGCCTGGGAGTTGCTGTAGAACGAAGTCCCGTAGGTGTGGCAGTAGATGTCGCAGCCATTGCCCGAGACACTACCATCATGAATGTCGTTGCCGTCGTGGGGAGAGATGATAGCCTTCATCCCCTTTGCGGCCAACTGGGCGAGAACTTTGTCAACTGCTGCCAGGGAGTTCCAGTTGTAGGTTCCAATAGTTGTCTCAAACTCGGAAACGCTAGTGACCACGTTGCTGCCTTTGACACAACCGGTACCAAGCCCGTTGATCCAGACGCGAACAACTTTGGCGCCATAGCTGGCAAGAGTGTTGATGTAGTTTGCTTGGTCCGAAGCAGAGAGACCAGGAAGAAAGTACAAGCTGGATCCTGCAAAGGAGTTTGAAGCAGCGGCAAGGCCGGAGCTGGCAAGGGCACACGCCGCCAAATTGAGCTTCATGATGAATCAGAAGCAGAAGAAGGTAGTGAGTGTATAAGACAGGAAGTTGAGGGTGTGTCTTGGGATTTCTTCAATTCACAACAGCGGGATCATCTTGCTCTTTAATAGTTCTAGAGTTTACTACTAGTCAATTGTAAGGCTACCTACCCGTCGCATGGCTTCATTCAGGGAACAACACACGAGTTGCCAAACTCAGCCAATGTAAACCTCAACTCATCACGCAGCTAGGAACGTCTACTCATCGTGATGCTCTGATACAAACTGCCCCCACCTAAATCTGTCAAGGCCGATTCAGGAAACCGCGGAAGGAGGGCTCCGCGTCCAAATTGGTACGTATTTCGGCACATCGCCAAGCTCAATGGGTCCGGTTGTCGGTTCGTGGGCCTGGAGAATATCCCGAGACTAAGCTTATTGGCTGAGGCTCACAGTTGTCGTCCTGTTTTGGAAAGAAACAGATCATGATGCCCCTTGGGTAATTCGGGCCGACCGCGCTTTGGAGGGATCGGCCGTGTAGTCGTATAGCAGCGCGCGTATAGTAGACGTGATTGGATGAATCAAGTCTTATGCGTGAGCTGGAAGGATTGGAATTTGGGTGAATTGTGATTGAGTTGATGGTGGCTGACAAGAGCTGAACGGATTGTTGAGTTGAATTGACCAAGACACACTTCAATCGTTGCGCACGTCTTGCCCAATTGGGGCATTACAATTCGTTACGAGGACGCTCAAAAGGGCAGATTTAGAAGCTTAGACACGAATCTTTTTACAGTCACGGGCATAGAAGACTAGCATATCGGCAATAGAGTGCCCTACCTGGCCCCTTACTCCAATTGTAAGCTTCTACTTACAGCAAGGCGCGGCGGTCTTTCCCGAACCTATTCACCAAAGCCGTTGCGGCTCCCCCACGTAGTGTATAAGCGATAGGCTGGAAGGTCATGAAAACGCTGCAGAGCTTGGATCATATTACATACAAGCACATGCTACTAGTTTCCAGGCCTGTTGCTAGGGCCCCCAAAACCCCCAAGAAGGAACAGTTCTGGTTCGTGCATTATACGAGGTTGTTGCCTGGAGTTTGACCCCGCAATCCGACTGTTGACAGAAAACAACATACCATACAATTACAGTGAAGTTTTGGTGATTCTAGATAATCTTTATAGGTTAGATGTTTGTTTTTACCCTACGACATTGAGATTTTTAAGTTGAATCTTTAGCTATAATTGAGAGGCGGAGGCTGAATACAAGTGGCGTTTGCAGTGGCGTTCTAGTTGGATAGCATGGGTATAAGCTCCGCGGGATTGGCTGGGTTCAGCAGATGATTTAGTGTCAAATGAGAATGCAACTTTTCGCTTCTTTATTTACATTAGCAGCAAATTCTCTTATTTTGACTAGAACCACATGCCATTGTAGAGCCGAGGTACGATTTGCTCCGCGGAATATTGTCCGCGCACTGCGTCGTATACATGTAACAAGATCGGCCAGCCATATACAGTAGAAATTACGAGTATCTAGAATATCAATTTACAAAGCCGAAACAGGAATGGATTTGTGTCATTGGCTATCCAGTTCCTCTATATCCTCAAGGTCTTCAACACCTCTCTCTATCCAGCGAATTGTGCCGGTCCCCGGATCCATAATACATCCAAAATGAGTACATTCATTCATAATGGGAAACGTCCTCACCCACTTTTGCAACGTGTGTTCGAAAATAGCTGGACTTTCTCTCCCTCTTCCTTCCTTCAGTTTCCGTTCTTGCCTCTTGGCTAGCGCAGTCCATTTGCTGAGGATGCAATCCTTTCGCTCTTCACTTTCCTCGACCAATGACTCCATACCCAAGATTGAGCTGCTCTCCTTTTGAGTATACGCCTGACTTGACTGTTCCGTTGGCGCAAAGTCGTGATTAGTGTGCACAATAAAGTCTACGGCTGACCTAGTTTGCGCGTCGTCGAGATCTTTTTGGACTACGGTAGTTTCTGCGCCAGAGCAGAGTATTATGTAGCAAGGGGCAGCACATGCTCTTTCGATAGATGTAACGGCGTTGTTTATGGATAGCTGACGGCGCTCTGGATGGAGAAAATGTTGGCGGAGAACTGATGATATAGATGGTCGGATACCGAAAAGCACGAGGCCCTGATGGAGACGAAGCGAAAATGTAGAGCAGTTGTGATGAGGCCGGAAGTTGAGTGAAACAGAAAGGTCCTGCCTAGGGGGTCGTAAGCTTCATGTTTATCATCGTATCTCAGTCTCAATGCAGCCTACCTCACTCCGGTCAGCACGCCAACAAACCCAGCGTAGGTGACCGTCCTCGCAATCACCGTTTGAGGGTCCTCGGATTTCGATCTCACAAACTCCAGCACAACAAGGACGCTCCTTAGTTCAGGCATTCCCCAGTCCAAAGTTCGAAAATGCATCATCCTCGCCCTCCGTTCTGGATCGGCTTGCCTGTCTGCCAGATTTATTTCCCCCTTCTTGAGTCGGGTAAGTACACCACCGCTTGTGCACCCTAACAATGAATCAAGTAGCACATTGAACGCAACCAAGAAATACAGGTCTACTCCACTGCCCTTCGCAATGCCTGCCAGTTCTTGTGTTTCCTCGGATGAATATACCCGCCGAAGAACAAGGAAAGCCACAAATTTGATGATGGAGCGCAGCCATGCCCACGGCACTACTAACCCGAGGACTATGTCGAATAACGGTGTGATTTCCTTCATCCGAGGCGCAAAGTCCGTGGCCAGCTTCACATAACGCTCAGCGGGAGGAAAGTCAAGGTCGATGCGATACGTCGGGATAGCCTCTCCCTCTTCCACGGAATCAACATCCAGCGCTGAGTGTTGCGATGCCATATTGGGGCTTGTATTGGGGCTTGATGTTGATGTATCTCGGTTTGCTCATTGAACAGGAGGAGATAAACTCTCTCACACGGGGTTTATGTTCATTGCAAGCCATTGAACGCAGCGGCAGGGGGTCAGATGACTCAGATGCCAAGGGCCAATGAAGATTTTCCTCTTCAGCTGTTGACGTTGTGATTTGCTCTCCGTAGCAAATAGTACGTTACCAAACAATTGTATTCAATACGACCGTGAAAGTGATATAATACGCATCTTCCGGTAAAACATCGCGAATCTTGAGTTTCCCAAAACGGGGCTGCTGCCTGAGCTAAAGGAACCAATATCGAGTTATTGTGGCGCTCCCCCACCACGCTTGACCTCTTATTCGCACAGATGCCAGGAAGCGCGATGGACTGCCTGGATCATCCTTGGCAATTGCTGTGTGCCCGAATCTTGCGCTCCTTGGCAGCCATGTTTAGATTGAAGTTGTACAAGTCTGTTTTGTATACGATTTTGCGTTTGTAGCTTTAAGAGCTAAAGTTGAATTGCTTGCTTTTGGCTCCAGTCCTGCCTAAAGATTGACCCACATGCCTTGGACTCGCTTGGACGCGGTCTGTTTGAAAGTGAAGCATAAAAATGGCATCGTCCGCATCTCTCCTTACACGCCGTCTGTCTTTAATGTCTCGAAATCATTCAACTTCCGGCTGGCTCTCAAAGGCCTTTTCAATCTTTTCCTAGCGCAAATCAGATAAAATGGCCGGCTTCCAGTACCCCGGAGTCAATCTCCCAATGGGACCAGAACACGTCCGCCATGATGAGCGGGTGCCCATCTATCCAATCGGTCTGCCGGATGCTCGCGCGGCCGATTCGTACATATTGCCCATCAGAGAAGTCGCCATGATGATGCTCATGGACACTCTGACTGACAAGCCGAATTGGCACGAGAAGGTGTTTGATGAGGCCATTGTCGCGAAATGGCGGCACGAGGCCATGACGCAGCCTCAGCACGGCCTCTTTTTGAGGATCATGGAGGGCAAGTGGGATGTAGATACACATCCCTTTCCCCAAGGCCGGATCCTCTCGGAAAAAGCCTTTGAGTTTGTTCGTCGAATGTCCTCCCTCTTGTGGCAAGATGATACAGTGGACTAACAAGAGACCGTGTACCAACTTTACAGTGCATTGCGGAATTGCGCAACAAGGCCAAGTACTTTGTCGAAACCGGTCTCATCCCTACTCTTGACTCGGCGGGTAACACCATCGTCAAATCAGATAAATTGATCAGTGACCGTCTTCGGGACGAGCTTGTCGAGGCATTTGAGACGCTTCGCGCAGACCAGGCGGTGAATGTGGACTGGCATCCTCGAAGCAACGATATGGTGCAGAACCTGGTACATCCGTCTATGTATCCATTTGTATTCGGTATGTGCTTATTGTCATTTGCCTTTACGACTAAGATACCTAACGGGGTGAAAATAAAAAGGCCGGTCCAGGTTCCTTGATGAGGAGCAAGTTGGCACAAAAAATGCCCTCGCGTTCATCGGCGAGGGCAGAGTTGTACCCGAAATCGAGACCATGCCAGATTATGGTGAAAGATTTCTCAACTTCTATTGGCAGGGGGTCAAATGTGCGGTTCCTAAAGAGTATCGCTCGAGCGTGTACCAGTGGCTGCCCGCCAATGTGGCATTCCGCGACGACGGGACAACAGAGTTTACCAGCTACATCAACAATCTGCATCCAGAAAAGTATCCAGGCATTTACGAGGCAATTGAGCATGCCATTGACACCGCTCTTCCTGCGTGGGACCAGTGCCTACGGAAGAATATAACCTATAAGCATGATATTGTGGCTGGGAGAACTGACTCCCGTTTCGAGCTGATAACTGAGTCAAGGTCTGTTTTCCTTTTGTTTTTACCGCAGGAAAAGCTTTGCGTGTGTATGTGTGTGTGTGTGTGTACTGATGGTTGATTATCTGGTAGTGACGAAGATGAACATATATGGACGAAAGCAGCGACGTTTGGTGTACCGGATAAGGACTACGAACCAGACGAGACCGGCTATGTTCGCAGTGAAACCTATAAGGCGTTCAGATATAGATGGCGCGATGATCACGTCAGTGTCGGCCCAATACTCTATCCCGGCGAGTGGGTTCAGGGCCGAGAAGCCATTCTCCCGGAGCCGAGAGAGTTTGCAGAAATCGACTATGCGCCGAAGAGAAGACTCGGCAAGATGTTCAAGAAGCACGGACTGCAAATTATTGTGAAGATGGCGAGCATCGAGTTGACTCCCGAGAAGCCTCATTTCCCATCTGGGTCATGGCATGTAAGTTCCTGTTGTCTCTGTCCCTTTCTGCCGACAATTGTGCGTGTGCTTAATACTGAAACGTGGATTGATAGGTGGAAGGCCAAATGAACGAGAGAATATGCGCTACAGCGCTGTTCTATCTTGACAGTGAAAACGTGACGGACAGCCATTTGTCGTTCCGCATGCAGACAGACTCATATTTGCAAGACAGTATTTCGACGGGACAGGACTCATACAACTACATAGAACGCGTCTATGGCACCGGCCTGGGACACTCTGATGCCGCTTGCTTGCAGACCTTTGGAGACGTGAAGACGCCACAAGGGCGGCTGCTTGCTTTTCCCAACGTTTTGTAAGTTGAACAACTCCTACGACTGATATGCTTACCTTATACTTGCCACATTCTGACCACCTTTAGCCAACATCGAGTTTCGTCGTTTGGGCTCAAAGACGCGACCAAGCCGGGCCACAGACGATTCCTGGCTCTGTGGCTTGTTGATCCTCACGAACGCATCGTCTCTACCGCCAATGTACCGCCTCAGCAGCGAGACTGGTATGCTGATGACCAGAACTACCCACCTGAGAGCCTCATGACGGTGGAAGAGGCGCAGGAGCATCGACTGAAGCTGATGGACGAGCGATCGAGACACGACGTCAAGGTGGAGCGTGACCTGCAGAGTGCTTCGTATAACTTTTGCGAGCATTAGCGATGGACAGTTGTAGCGTAGATTTTTGTATGCAAGGCCAGCATATGTAATATATTCGTTCTCGTCTCTTCATAAGAATGATATGCCCATCCACGTTTTCTGCTGGTTGGCGGGGTATTCTCGACGCGGGGCAGCTGTGGCTCAGGCCCTGTAGCCGCCGTGGCGCACGCAGCGTCTCATTCGCCACTTTTCCAGATTTTTTTCTTCTAGGCGGGGTGACTCAATTTTTTCTTGGTGCCTCAGGCCTCGTCTGGTCCCTCTCCCCTCTGCTAGGGCTCCCGTAGTGGGGTTGCATCAATACTGCGCATTTCTGCTGGCTCTTTTTTTTTTCTTGCGCCTCCTCGTTGATACCCAAAACTCGATTCTCCCACCTCATACCACAACAAACCGCCCTTCCTCGTCCCTTTTTCCTCTCCATTTCCAGATACCACCTCACAACCGCAGCCATGGGTTTCACCGATCTCCTCACCGATGCTGGCCTTTCCGGTAAGCGCCCTCGAAACCGCAGATAAACCAGAAAGTGGCTAACAGAGTGTCCATAGTCCTGAACAGCTGGGTTTCCACCCGCTCCTACATCGTTGGGTATGCCAAATCCCTCTGCATAGCGACAGCGACGACGACTTGACTCTCGATTCTGCTACCGCATACATCTATTGCATCTTGTTTTCTCGTCTTTCTTCTGGCCTTGTTGAGTCACAACCGCTCGATGGATGATTTGCATGCAGCCTAGCCCCTCTTTCATATTTTTTTCCCACCCCTCACTTCAGTGCTTGCATGAACTTCAAGAAAAAAAATCCCAAAGATGCCCCTCACTAACGTCTGCCCCGCCAAACTCCAGCTACTCTGCCACCCAGGCCGACGTCACCGTCTTCAAGGCCCTCAAGGAGGCTCCCAACGCCGCCAAGTACCCCGCTGCCGCCCGCTGGTACAAGCACATTGCTACATTCGAGGATGAGTTCGCCACCCTCGAGGGCGATGCCGGCAAGCCCTACACCGTCTACGGCCCTGAAGTCGCCGAGGTCACCCTGAACCCCGCCAAGGCCCCCGCCGCCGAGGACGACGACGATGTCGACCTGTTCGGCTCTGACGACGAGGAGGAGGATGCCGAAGCTGTCCGTATCCGCGAGGAGCGTCTGGCCGAGTACCGCAAGAAGAAGGAGAACAAGCCCAAGGTCGCTGCCAAGTCTGTTGTTACCCTGGATGTTAAGCCTTGGGGTACGTTTCATCATCATGCAATTTTTTGCGTCTATTATGCTAGAGCTCTCTTTCCGCATTATACACTGCAATTCTTGACTCTTCAGGTCTTTGATGCTAACCTGAGATTACAGATGACGAGACTGATCTGGCTGCTATGGAGGCTGAAGTCCGTGGCATTGAGAAGGACGGTCTGGTCTGGGGTGCTTCCAAGCTGGTCGCCGTCGGCTTCGGTATCAAGAAGCTGCAGATCAACTTGGTCGTTGAGGACGACAAGGTCTCCCTGGACGAGCTCCAGGAGCAGATCCAGGAGTTCGAGGACTACGTCCAGTCCACCGATGTCGTCGCCATGCAGAAGTTGTAAAGCAACTTCAAATAAAAAAAATACGGGTGTTGCGCTGTTGAAACGAAATTTATCATGGGTAATGAATGACTGGGGACAAGAATCTATCAGTGTCTTACTTAGTTTGTTATGCGCTGGGTGAGGGACAATCAAAAGATGCCCTCTCGCATAGTCACGGATTCCAAAAGTAAAAAAAATACGAAGCCATAGACAAATATTTCTACTGGGAATAGGCCCTTCTTGTGGTGTTTTTGGAAGATCTTCCTTTTTGGCGTGTCATAAGGCCGGTCACGCAACATGTATAGCTTAACACCAAGCTCCCCATAGCCTATCACCTACGCTTCAAACCCGGACAACCCACAAATAGGACAAACAGATAAAACATACAACAGCCGGTATTCGCTGATGGTGACTCGGACAAGGTTTACTGATAGATTCAAGCGCTTGTGGGCTCTACTCACAATGTCTTCTCTACACGCTGTGAATATCCTTTACATATATTTCCGAGTCCCATTATGGCTAAAGAATGAACCTCCATACCCCTTCTCCAATGATGAGCGAGCAACCGCTGCTAAAAAGCTCTCCGCAGCGGCAATTGGGTCAGCCGCTTTGAAGCCCGGCGCATACTCTTCAAATTTGGCATTTATTGTCTGTAAGCGAGACAAGTCATCGTTTGATACTACTATCAGTCAGCAGGCTATCGTACAAGTAGGCTGTCCAAGATTGAATCGTACAAGTGGTATTACCCTCATTACCCTCAGCGGTGTCGATGAGGCCGGGGCAAATGGTGAAGAACAAAAGCCCTTCATCGTGATATGCTGCGTTGAATTTTGCAAACATGGTAGTCAAGGCCGCTTTGCTTATGGCGTAAGGAGCTGCGTTCGCAAGATTGATACCATTTATCAGATCTGGCATGAAATTAACGTTTATTCACATTTCCGATCCAAGCCCTCGTATCGAACGCCGGATGTCGTTCGCGATTACACAATCGGCAGACTTACCAATATCGCCCATACCACTCGATACTCCCACAATCTTCTTCAAGTTTCCCTCTCGGAGCAGTGGAAGGAAAGCATAAACGGTTTTGAGAACGCCTGAAACATTGATGTCGAAGCTCTTCTGCGCATCTTCCAAGACAGTTTGCGCATCATGCTCGCTGTATACAGGTGATTTAGCCACTCAATCAGAAGACCTGTACCGTTCATTGCATGCCTTACTAGTCTTTAAAAGTTGTTAATACCGTAATTTTGCTCACGTACGCGGCATTGTTTATCAAGACATCTAATCCCGCGCCTCCGAGTAAGCGTTTCGTTTCCTCTGCAGCCTTTCTCAGGGCTGTGTCATCGCAAATATCTGCGACTACAACGTGCACGTTGAGTACGCCGTCAGCGTCGAGGCGAGCTCGAGTAGCAGTTGCGTCTCGAACAAGTCCAATGACTGTGTTGAGGGGATTTGATGCCAGAACCTTGACCAAGGCATACTGTCACGTTGGAGTTAGCATTTACGATCAATGCTATTATCCATGGAACATACACCAAGTCCTCTGCTTGCCCCAGTCACAACGTAGCTTGGCATATTGAGTAAAGTATATGGTTGCTGTTCGACGTATTGCGCTGGTGTATCGTACAGTCAGGACGCGGAAGTCAAGTAATAGTGGACGTAGGATATGATAGCTCCATCCATCAGACGCGTCTTTTCCTACATATATAGTTATCTTTGTCATTTTGAAGTTACTTAGACGCATTCAATTCTGTGTATGGAATCATTGAATTGCAATTCAATTAAAAATTCGTTTAAACGACAAACGAAGTACTTTGTCAGCTGCAATAGGGTTCTCGAAATGTGTTTACTTTAGTCACCTCGGAACTCCGAGTACAGACGAATCGCACTTACTAGTACTAATGAAATAGTAAGTTTCTTTGTGAAACAAATATGAATTTTGTTGAATGACATATAATAGGCAATCACATTAAAGAAGAAAAAGTCTGCGCGTGGAAGTGAAACACTTGGGAGTTCAGCACAACTATGTGGAGATGCTAACCAGACTGATACACCTCGATAACCGAGACTTCGACTTGACAGTGTCATATCCTGAATTAGAACCTTTTTTTTTTTCTTTTTTCTCTATTCTTTAACTTTTGATAGTATGAATGTTTGATATAGCTACGTAGACTGCAACCAACATCTCCTTGCAAATCTACATATTTCCTAGGATGCCTTTTAATCACTGCCAAAAGTAATAGCGGGCGTCTGAGATCCTCCTTTAGCCTCCCCATCCAAGGCCCTTTTCGCAGCCTTTGTCCAGGCCACAGATGTAAACTCGTATCCAATTCTGCTTGGAGCACAATCCTCTTAATGGTTTCATCATCTGCCTTAACCGCCACAGCGGCATAATATAGACTTCTTTCCTTTGCTCTATCGTTGGACCATCTGGTCGAGCTGTTTACTCTCCTATGGCAAAAGCATCGCCTGACACATGGACAAGGATTGATACCAATGCTTTTCGAGTATTGGCTTGCTGGCCGGTATAACCCGTGGCCCCATAGATTATTGTTACAAGGCGTCTGACGGTAATTGCTATGAGGAAATTGCGAGTAAGTAACTTTAAAGCAGGGCTACTTGGATTAGAAATGCCCCAAATTAATACTCTCACATTTCCAACACTGATTTGTATGAATACCGATTTTTCATTCATAATAGCTGATTCAAACTACTCATCGCGTGCAGAAAAATTGACTATATGGTCCACCCTTGAGCGTAGACGGCGTATATACTCGGAGTTCCGGGTACGACATTGATCCAAGCACCACTATTGCCGACGCTTCTTTCGCGAAGACTTATATCGCGACTAAACAACATTTGTCAGGAAATGAGTTTGTGAGAAGATGAGTTTGTCAGAATGAGTTTGTCAGATTCTAGCTGCTATGAACTGGGACTGGGCTTTGATATGTTGTATGTTGAGCTAGATGTATATATGGCACAGAAGATATTCTCATCCTGACTATATTGACTCTGAGAAAACTAAATCTGTCACGTTACTTGTTCACCATCGCAATGAAGATCCAAAATCCCGCGGTTCCTTTTGGTTCCACAGTAGTCATAATCGGAGCCAATGGCTACATTGGCGTTGAGACCTGTGACAAGTTTCTTGAAGCAGGATACCGGGTGCGCGGAACAGTTCGCAATGTTGAGGAACATCGGGCTTGGATGCATGAGCTTTTTGACAAGAAATATGCCGGAAAATTTGAACTGGTTCAAGTTGTTGACTTCGAAGCTGATGGGGCATTCGATGAAGCATTCAAAGGTATGAAAGTTACTCTTGTTCTCATTGGAGTGTTAAATGTCCTCAATCGGCTTATTATGTCAAACATCTAGGTGCCGCGGTGGTGGTCTATGTCTCGACTCCCACCATATTTGATCCTGAGCCGACCAAGGTGGTGGACCCCGTAGTCAATGGGACCATCAACACGCTCAAAGCCGCGGCTCAAGCCGAGATCAAACGTTATGTATACCTGTCCAGCTCTAAAGCCGTAGAATCGGTCGTCTACAACGTGCCTCACAAGATATCGGTGGACACGTACAATCACGAAGACATCCGCAAGGCACGCCAAGAACCTACAGTTCCTACGATAGAGAGAGCCTTGGCTGTGTATGGAGCAAGCCGCGCTGCTGCAGAACTGGCCTTTTGGTCCTGGGTGAAGGATAATCATCCTCCCTTTGTCGCCAACTGTGTCGTCCCTGATGGAAACTTTGGGCGCGTTCTGAATGCGAATGCAGGACAGACCAACAAGACCTCCGTGACAATGTTGAAGCGCGTCCTAGCCGGTGACTGGAGCCAAACGATGAATCTCGGTTCGTAGTCACTTCTATTCTATGATTGGTCTTCTGCTGAACGATCAATGGATTTGGGACAATATGCTAATAGTGGAGAATAGCTTGGATCAGTAATGTCGAGGACACTGCGCTCCTGATGGTTGCTGCGGCCACTCTGCCTTCAGTTGCAAATGAGCGTATATTTTCCTACTACAAGCAACTTACTTGGAACGAAGTACGCCTGAGAGTACGCCAGCTCTATCCTGATCGCTCGGATCTTGTCGTTGGAGAAGATTCCGATGTCGTGGGCAGAGACTTGTCGACCGCGGATGAACTTGTGCAACGGGCCGAGGAGGTGCTTAAAGAGCTCGGCCGATCTGGTTTCATCAGTGTCGATGACACTTTACGCGATTTCGTGGATACTTGTTGTACTTAGAACGCCATTAGTCTCGTCACATGTCTCCTCAGACACTTGTGCTCTTTGAGGCAATCTTGACGCAATAGAGTGTGTATTTTCTTATTTTGAACTACGTTACACTGTGCTTCTATGGACATTTAAGCTGAGAGTTGACACCGCGGTAAGAATAGTTTCCGTGCATCGTTCACTACGATCATCGCAGCTCCTATATCTTGTCTTCCTAGCAGTACTAGAAGGTCTCTAGAAGCCCTTTCGCACATGTTATGAGCAATTTGATAGGCCATTGTAATAAGAATGATGCATGTCCGTTCTATTTTTGCTGATAAATATGATTAAGTGTTGTAATTCCGCTCTACGCTAAAAAGCTGGATCAAGACCTGAACCTACTGTAACGTGTATACGACACCCGGAAGTCCGAGAGAGCCCACTCAGCTGCGAGATGGCTAGCCCCAGTCAAAGAAGATTCTCCTGCGTTAGCGTTGAACGCCAGAAGATCCATTTTATTTTAGTAGTAATCCACGCCGTCCGGCTCAGCTCAGCATCCGGAAGTCCGAACTCATACGCTCTCTTTCTTATTGAATCGCATGCCTAAATTGGGAGTATCTACAGAATACTCAGACCTCCAATCTACTATATGTCCTCCCCACAAACTCGACCGACGTGTTCACGCTGTTCTCGCTGTTTTACGAAAAGTGGGTTTCTGTTTGTAATGATGCCACACAGACACTGAGGGCAAGGCTAATCGTGCTGGTTGTTTGTACATAGCATCGTCTTTAACGAGACACCGCAAGCGCTGCCTCCAAAATATCAAGGGGCCATCAAGGCGGAAATCATGCGTTGCTTGTGCAGGCTCCAAGCTGCGTTGTGATTTGCAGCGACCAAGTTGTAGTCGATGTCTAGAGCGTACTTTGGTCTGTGAATATGCGTCAAGAGATGGCACGGCGATAGCGCCATCATTGGCGGCAGTGACGGCCGGAGGGTCTATTCTTCACGATCAATCACCAGACGACCAGTCTCTCAGGTATAATGAAGCTGTAAATGCATCAACTGTTTCCTCAGCACAGAAAACCACATCATCTATAGAATCCATTGGCAGCAGTACACTGCCAGAAAGCGACGATCCCCTCTCACTGGTTGATTGCGGAGCAGAATCTACGCCTCCCTCCCAGGCAGACACCTCGCGAGAAAATGTATCACGAGGCAGCGTGTCGGATCGGGATGGCACGTTTGATTCCATGACTGCAGCGCCTGAAATTGGCCGCGGGGTATTTGAAGAGAGTGGGATTGACAATCCGGAAATGATTGCGCCTGAATTGATAATATCCAGCTACAGGCGCCAGATTCTACTTGGTGCAGCACGAGACACTCCGAATACCGATCCCGTCGCTAGACATACGATGCATTTCGTGATCCGGGTCCTTAAATCCTGGCCACGAATGATGGCTACACATCACACCAGCCATCTTCCGCCCATTATTCACAGGCTCCAGTTGGCAGATGGCATACCAATTCCTCTGGCTTATTGCTACACATTGGCGAAGATGTGGATCACGCACTCGGAGGGGAGTCGTGATTTAGTGCAAAAAACGATACACGATGAAGTTCGAAGGCTGCTTCGGGACGTGAGCCGTTACCTAAAGCTTCCTACTCGTTGCTTGGTATAACTAACACGACATACCATATTAGTACAACACTTACAATGTAATGGAGCTTCTTGCAGCCGCACAGTCCATGCTCATTCTCCTCATCATCCTCTTTTTCGGCATTGGACCCTCACCGGCACTGGCCCATCCGATTGACGCGCAACTGCTGATAGACATGTGGAACGTCAAACGCAGCTTGGCCAGCACGGGTTTGTTCCTAGAACAAGAATCAAATCACACCCTGCCATCCTGGAAAGAATGGGCAATTGTCTCCGCCAAGCGCCGCACGATTCTCGGCCTCCATCATCTCGAGTGGGCATGGTCGCTTCGATACGGATATCCCATCCTCACGTGCTTTGAGCTGGGGCCATTTCCTGCTCCTGCTGCCAGATATCTCTGGCAGAACGCCCATGAGAAGGAGTGGCAGTGTCTTTATAAAGACTGGCTCAGGCAGTGGGCTGATGGGAGTTACAAAATGATGGAATTGTTTCGAGTCAATGCTGGCAAGGAAAGTGATGCTCTGGATCCTAGAAGTGAGCTGTGGCTAGCAGAAGCAGACGAGTTTGGCGTGATGCTGATGGCGGAAAGTACGTTTCTATGATCCATTCCATTCGGGGTCCGGCCTATCACTGACGTATACAAGCCAATGGCATTGGTGTTCAGTACTAGACAGCCAGGCTGGGCTACCAACTTATTCACCTTGGTCCGTAGAAATACTGCCAAACAATGCTGTTAGTGTTATTCAAAGGGGATGTAGGGCCGCTTTAAAGACATTGCTCAAACAGATCCCGCAGGTTATCTTATAGACATCTTCCTCTGCGCTGAAGTTGGCAGCTTGAAGCTCACGAGGATATGGTTGGATAGGTTTGATTCGCGTCTGGACTAATTAGCGTGACCACCAAAAAAACAGAATCATATGGCTCTTAATTTGGCGTCAACAACAAACTTGAAAAAAGAGCTTGAGGGGTCCCATATATTCCATTGGAGACGGTCGTATGTGGTGATGTTCACTGCCGGAAGCACTCATGTCACGACCACCACAACTTTTCTAAAAGCAAAAGACAAAAAGATATAACATACAACAGCCGGTGTTCGCCAATGGTCACCCACTTGACTACTAATCTGCCGGTTAATGGCTTGTCTATGGGGGAGCAGACGGGACCCCGAATTCTCCATTACCTATGGTCGTATGTGCTTGTTATCGTGTTAAATCGAGTTATAAGGGTACAGTTACAGAGCTGTAAGGGCAAAAAACATACAACAGCCGGTGTTCGCTGATGGTCACCCACTCAACTACTAATCTGCCTCTCATTGGCTTGACTCTGGGAGAGCGGACGGGATCCCGTATATTCCAATGGATATGGTCGTATGTGTCAGCTTGCCTACCAAAAGTACTCATATTACTGCAGACAAAGCTTCTTCCAAAGGAAAACAAAAAAGAAAAACATACAACAGCCGGTGTTCGCCAATGGTCACCCACTTGACTACTAATCTGCCGGTTAGTGGCTTGTCTATGGGGGAGCAGACGGGACCCCGAATTCTCCACTACCTATGGTCGTATGTACTTGAGTTGCAGCATAATTTGTTTTATATGTTGATGAAGCACTGTAGGTACCAACTAACAACACCATCCAACATGACATTTTACCAATGGTTGTCCTCCTGACAACTAACCTACCAGCTACCAGTCATCCGAGGACCGTTGCACTTGCCTGGCGCTTGGTTGGGCCCAAAATCTCCATTTCTCGGCGTCCGGCGCCGTTTCTCTCGGACCCGGATAGGCCCCACTTATATCGCCGGTGGACAAACTGCTTCCCCCCAACGCGAGTCCAGTCCGTCTCAGCTCCAGGATGTCAACTTGAATCGACTGACGATTGGATTATGAATCTCAACTCCAAAATTTCCTATTGTCCCTCTTTATGCTATATTTTCATTGTCGTCTATAAACTTGTCTCTGCTGTCGTTGTCCAGATGCATGGCTTTCACGTATGAAGAGGTTAGAGGCACTTCTCTGAACGGAAGGGCGATAAGTTGGATATTTCTATTGCATTTTACATAGAGCCTCACTACAGCTTCTGCTTCGCCTAATTCACCAGGTGTTACCTTTCATTTGACCTTGATATCTCCAATCGGTATTCTACTGCCAGGGCTCAGCACCAAATACTGCTAAAGCATGGCATCCTCCAGTTGATATAGTCAACCGTCCAGTCCCAGCTGCTTCGTACCAGAATCTTAGTATTATAAGATCTGTGACGTCGACCGGCAAAACAGCCATGGCCGTTGTTAAGCCATGCTAGATCACCAACCAAGTCTCTCTGTCTTCTGTGGGCATTCAGATATCCCCAACGCTAACATTGGACTCTCGACTAACACTCTTCCAGCTTCGCCGAGCCCGCAGAGATATTTAAGTTCTTATATTGAACAGTCCTTACACGCTGGTCTACACCACGGCACAAGCCTCTATGAACTATGAGTTGAGGCTCCATCGCGGAACCACCCGCTCACTAGCAGATTTCCTCTTGGCGAAAAAGGCATTCATGATCCTCTATAACACAGCTATCGGCTTAATTATGTAGCGAACGAGATAGCATTCTTTGTATAACAGCATTCTCGGAAGCACATTCAGGACAGCATCATCGGCAGTGACTCCACGGGTTAGTGCTTTTCGCCACAGAGCTTCAATGTATTAGTACGATATACGTCCTAGCTTATTACATATCAATTTCCTATTCATAGTACCTTATATTCTATCTAGAGTAGAGCGCATAGCGCTGCATGTGCTCGGCCGGAATATGCTATTAGTTCTATCTAATTAGACGCGAAGCTGCATATACAGACAGCAGTTGATCTGATCCTCACCCGATTTCCGTCCCGAGTCTTTATATTAACATCTAACTAGCGCCTCATTCGAAGCATGCTTCATCCACACGATCTACTCGACGTCCTCACATGCCAGAACCTGAAGGCTGTACTTCATTATCGATAAACCGAAAAGACACCCCATACATCTATTATGATTATAAGTTCCCGTATGGCGTAAACAAGAGTCGTAGTGCGGCCCGTGACTGTCGAATAACTTTCTGACGTTATCCAAGAAGTCGAGCGCTGAATTCTTGTAAGTACCCAAATACTCGCGCGAATTCAGAACCTGAACAAATCTTTTTTTACTCCCGTGGAACACCTGGCCTTCGCTTGACATGACACGATCACTCTTATAATTGTCTCGCTTCAGGTTGTAATCGATGAGCCAAAGCGTTTCAGGGGTATATGCCAAATCCTTGTCGTCCATGCTAAACAGCGTGCGGATGAGAAGGCCCCTCGGGCTCTTCTCACTAGAGAGACGAGTTAACGTAATGTTCTCCATAAAGCCATCAATCCAGCTAGGGTCGTATTCGAGTGCTAAATTGACAAAGCCGCGCAGCCCCCTATCTTCCTCCACCATGCAGAAGCCTTTCATGAAGTATTCATATCCCCAATAAAGGTCAACTCTATCTATATCGAAGGTCTGTAGGCAAACGAGATCTAGATTTGGATATATGGGGAAGCACCAATTTCCACCGCTGCGTGGGTGGATAAATGGCACGCAGGGTTCAGTAGGCTCTCCAACATGCATGTAACTACGGCTTCGGCGGAGCCTCGCTTTCCAGTAGTCAAGATTGTAATGCTTTTCAATTACTGCGTTGGATTCGCAGCATGCACTCCACATACCAAAATCCCAGAGATATGCAGATGGGTTGTTGTTGGTCCACGAATGGCTGGTGCCAAATTTTGGTGCTGCAAGGCAAAAGTAACTGCCATGTCCGATTTTGCAATCAGAGCCCAGAAAGCACTGCACCCTGAGCTTTTTTAACGCATCACTATTTTCTCTGTAGTTGGTCACCGAGAAGAAATGAGCCCTGCGACGGGTTGGATTGATTGGCTGTAAGGCATATCTCCAAATTTTGAGCCTTATCTCGGTCGGTAAACTCTCAAATTGGTGAAATTCGGACATTTTGTAATGAGTTGCCGAATAAACTTCCTAATGATGCCGGGCAAGGATGGTCAAAAGTCTGGTCTGAGATGGCAAGAGGGAATATCAGAAGAGGGACTAACGCGGGAAAAAGCCCATTCTTGTAGGTAGGGGGGCTCGTAAAAGGATTTTCCACTGAACTTTACACACATGTACATACTGGGTATATGTGTGCTCGGAGAAAATTGGTGGAATCTTATGGCCTATGAGGCTTGGACATGGGGCAAAAGCTTCAGCCTACCTCTATTGTGGGCTACACACATAAAGTGTACAAACTTTAGATGTGGCCACAAAGCTTGTAATGCTGATGGCAATAAAAGAATTAGAACAATATCTGCCTACCTAATACTTACACGTCTCTACAATGGTTCTAGTCATTCTTGGTAGTTTCGATCAGGTTCCCAGCCAACACCACGTGGAGGTTGCAGAGGCCGATTTCGTTGCCCTCAGTATCAAGCCCTGCAGAACGCTACAGAACAAAAGCGTACGTAGGTAGCACAGCGTAAGAGCTTACTATGCTGTGGTTTTCCACTGAGCGAAACTGGTGTCTGACTTTTTGATGTTTGGCCTTGCGCAGCAGAGTCTGTGGCTCCACAAACGCTGGTAGTATGAGTGCCACAGCTTCAAACTTTGGGATTTGGCCTTACGCCGCAGAGATTGTAGCTCCGCAAACGCCGGTATGGTAAGTACCGCGGCCCAACTGTATCCGACTAGAAAGGCTGTAATTCCCTGCCACGGAAGAAGTAAAGGAACACCTCTTCCAGACAAGTTCCTGTCGTCAAATATCGCGGATTAAATGTCGACCCACTTGCCCCTTATGGATGTACGCAGTCATCGTCAAGCAGGAGGGCTACCTTTAGATTCTTGACACTATCGATGGCAGTATCGGCGGCATTTTGCTCATGATCAGTAGGGGTGAGTGTCCCATCAGGAGGAACAAAAAAATCAAGAGTCGACATTTTCGCTAGCGGTGTCATTTTTGCTGACGATTCGAGAGCTCCCTGTGTATTACTGGGAGAAGTCAAATCTGCAAAAGTCAGTACGGCCACTAAGCGCGGGTGCTCTGCATTAACATGAATGCGACTCAGTTGAATGTCCACGGATTGTCGCGGGAAAATGCTGAGTTGCTACTTTAATGTGAATGTTTTTGAAGGGAAAAGTTATACGTCACACCAATCCTGTTATGCAGCACTATAGGTAGGTACAGCAGCTATAGCAGCTATAGCATCTATCCATACCTGCCATGTACATGCAGACAGCTACCTACTACTGCTACTACTGCTACTACTGCTACTACTGCTACTACTGCTACTACTGCTACTACTGCTACTACTGCTACTACTGCTACTACTGCTACTACTGCTACTACTGCTACTACTGCTACTACTGC